TTGCCCTTGTCGACTTCCTGGCCCTGTGTTCCGCGGCGAAAAAGATTGATGCCTGGTTGATTTACGTGCAATCTTCGGGGCTTCCGGCTTTGTACCGTTTGGCTCACGGCGCATCCCGAAGCAAGACCGCATGTGTGCTGGGATAGATGTGCGATCACGGAGCACCGTGGTTCAGAGGAAGCTCACCACACGGCTGTCGGCCCCCAATTGAACATGTGCTGCCCCTCAGCCCTCACGGACATATCAAATTGATGGGTTTTGTCATGTTTGTACAGCACGTACCCCAAAAGTAATCCTTGAAGGATTGTAGAAGCTATGTACAATATTGCTGGGTCATTACTGTCCATTTCATGGTTCCTCATCGTTCTTGCAGATTGGGAGATATCGGTTTTTAATAGTCCCAAATCGGTTCCTTGAGGAAATATTGGTTGCGCAAAGTGAATCGACCGATTGACCTTTTTTTGTTCCGTGCGCAATCCATGTTTTGTCACTCTTTGATGAGTATGGCGTCTCGGTGGTGGTGAGTATGTTCTTTTCTAAACCCTTTTCGGTTTGATTTGGAGGAAACCACGGGAGTTTGATTTTCAGACAAATCAAAATTACTCTTCTGCAAATGAATATGGACTCTTGGGCGCCCTAGCCCATTCAAAGACCAACCCCCAGAGAACGTCTCGAGAATGACTTAATAGCTTTTTGGGATCCCGGGATATTAAAAGAACACAACGAAAACGGACCGAGAGGGGGGGGAAGCCACAGACGGCGCGTCCCAAACCGTTTTCTCAGGGACCCGAGCCACCGAGGTGGCCTACGTGGTGGCGCACCGGCACGCAGCTGGGAACTTCGCCATGGGGAACCTGCTGCTGAAGACCTCGGCGGCGGCCAAGCTGGGCAAGGCGATCGCGGGATGCGAGCGCTGCGGGTTCTCGAAAGCCGACACTAGGTTGTCCAAGGGTGTTTTTTCCCCTTCAAAGTGGTTTCTCATTGGCCGGGATTTCTCTTGGCACAGGTGAAGTTGAGCTCATGTGGTTGTGGGTCCATTTTGGGGTAGGTGAAGTCACCACCCATATTAGAAGCTGTTTTAGTGGGGATTGGGATGCTCATTGGGGGTACGGGATTTTGACCCATGGCCAAATCCGACATGGGATTCGGAGCTTCCTTTGGTTTGGCGAATGTTAGAGTCAGAGTGTCTGGAGAACCCTGAGCCAAAGTTTTGGCGGCAAATGCTAACTTCAGATTCATCCGGAGGACCCTACTAGTGAGAGGTCAGAGGTCGGGTTTTCAAGAAAGACAACTAGGACGGTTCTCCGGATTAATCCGAAGTTAACATTAGAGGGGAAACGAACAGGAAGCCAGGCGTTTGGAGGCCCGATTCCTATTTTGAGAAACAAACACTCAGTTGTTCAGTGGACTTCACCCTTAAAATCCGTGTTGGTGGGATGAGCGCCATTTAGTCCGCCTGTCGTGCCACCTCAAGCGGAAGCTCACCCTTTTTTTGTTCCGGAATTCTCAAATCCATGTTTGAAGTAGAACTGTTTTGTGTGGGTGTCACACATTTTTTGGGTTTCGCGTGTTTCACTGGAAGGGTTGCCCGCAGGTGGTGGCTCACAGCGGATGCCCGGTCGTGAAGGGCGCGCCGGCGCCGGGCTGGTTCGGCGAATGGCCGCTTGAGACCAACGGGAGCGGGTGACAGACCTCCCCCCTTTTGAAGGGAAACAAAGGCCCCAGCCTGCGATCTGAACTGTTTCTGCCGAAGTGATGACAGTATCTTTGGTTTGTCTAGTGTTGGTTTGGGGATATGGAGGGACAACAAAGCTAGGCTGTGCTCAGAGGTCCCCTGCAAACTTCCTTAGTACGTTATGCGACAGTGTCCAAGGGGTGGTGCAACCTCGGGCCTATGAAGGCCGCTTTCACGGGATCCGCAAGGTTTCCGCCAAACTCCAAAGCTGCCTAGAAGAATGTCTCATGCACGGGATGCAGAATGAGTCGGGAGTATTTTTGAATTGGTCAAACCGCCACCTGCCGAGAAAAGCAGGGCGCCCAGAACCCCGTAGCTCCACACCAGGTGGATCCTTTCACTGAGATCTGGGTCGGGTTTTGGAGGGTTCAGAATGAGGGTTCAGAATGAGTCTAGCGCGTTGCGTGGGGTTTAAGGCTGGGCTTCCACCTCCTCTTCGCCTACTTCTGGCTGTGGAACTTGCCGCACCGCATGCTCCTGGCGCTGACCTGTGACCAGCTGCAGGTCATGGGGCCCGAGGCGCGGCCTCCCACCTGCCAGGAATTCCAGCAAAGCACAAACAATCAACTAACGAGCAAGATCCAACAAGAAGCCAGAACGCCAGACACCCAAAAACCAAAGACAACTTATTGAGCAAAAGCTGACGAAAGAAGGAGCCACCAACAAAAAACGGGTTGGGCTTTAGGAGGACTACATCCTGCTGCACTCGGTGCTGGTCTTCGACGCCCTAGCGGCCCACGTGCGCTTCGACGGGCTCAGTAGCCTTTCTCTGGTGGGAGAACTGGCGCGGGTGTGCGGCTTCGAGGCCGGGGCGTGGGGGAGTCATGCCACGCTGCTGTTGACAGGGTCTCAAAAAATCTGGGAAAACCCCAAGGGGTTGTGGGGGTTTCCATTGGTCACAATTGGGGGGCGTCACAACTGGGGGGGAGTCCTTTTGGCTTCTGGGAGTTTGAGTTGCTTCGCTAGGCTCGTGTCTTTGGTTCCCCTTTGGTTTCTTGTGGTTACAGTTATGTAGGGGGCTGAAACAGTACGCTTCTCATGTGAGCATGAATCAATTTGGCTTTTAAAGAGGCCAATGAATTGCCCCCTTCCTGCGAGTCTATCGGGCACCGTCGTAAATTAACCGGCTTTGTCTTCTGGAAGCGGGGTTTGTCTCATAGAAACTCAAACCAGACCTTTTGGATCGATGAGAAATGCACCGCTTGTGAAATTGCTTTCCCAGGAGGGCGAGTGCACGCTGTGCTGGGTGGGCGCCTTCCAGTCTTTTCCGCGTCAGCTCTGCGGGGACGCCACTGCGGATTGGAAGGTGGTTGACAGCGTCAAAGGCGACAGAGAAACCATTCAAAAACCCTTGGGGACTTGGAGAGGGAATGTCTGACAGGGAAGGGGGAACACGCCATGAGCGACGCTTGCCTATATGTTCGCGGATTGTGGGTACATGGGGAATATGGGCAAAGTTCCGCATTTAAGCACAACACGTGGCACAAACAACGGGGGCTTTGCTTGTTTCTGGCTGACATATCTAGGGCATTAGGCAGCACTATGTAGCATATTTATGTGGAGTTTACTTAGGTATCAGATTGCTTGGGTTTCATTTGCTTTACACTGCAGTAACTTTGCGCTTGGATGCCCCACGCGGAACTTCCAATTGGGACTTATGTGTTCCTTTAAACTTACCCAAAGAATGCCTTGGCTGGCCATGTCAAATCCAGTTAGGCCCTTGCCAGCACAAGCACGCCATATTATGGAACGGCTTGGGGATGTCCACCCCTATGAGGCGTTGACACAATCCTATGTTGTGCATTTTGCCAGGCCTGACATGACGGCAGCTCTTACGGCCTGAGGTGCCCCAATACCTTCTCTTAAACTGCAGGCTCTTAACTATGGGGAGCATAAAGAGGTGCGGGTGTTCAACCCCCAGGAGCATGCATGTGTTTGAACGGTTTGCCTTTTAGCACACTCTGAGGAAGTATAACAAAAGGCCTTCCCACTTTCCACCAGCGTTTCTTCACCCGTTGTTTTGCCCGCCCCATGATGGTCCGAATGACCAGCCAGGTAGAATTGAACTCCGGGCTGGTAGATCAACCCCGGCGAAATCCCAAAATAGAGCTCGGTAGTTGAAGGGAAACCAAAAGGAACCCCAGCCGTTTGAGGGGGTTTTGCTATAGCTCAAAAGGCAACGGAAAAGCGGCACAGGCGTCCTTCGACAGGGCACCTACACCGTGCAGGAGCTTTCTCCGATGCCGGTTAGGGGGGTGCTTTGTTAAAAGGGTCCATGGTACATTGAGGACCCCTTTCAAAGGCAAATCTGCACAGAAACCCGTCATTGGAAAACCAGCCGGGCATGCAATCGCAGCTGGGCAACTTGTGCTTTGCCAGGCCTTTCTTGTGCCTTGTTAAGATCTCACCCAGCGGGGCACCCTCTCAAGGCGCTTTGGGTGTGTTTGGGGTTGAGGGCACCCTTCTCTGGGTTGTTTTGAAAAGGAAGGCCTAAACGTGCACAAAGCACGTGTTGAGCTGCTTGTCTTGTTTATCTCCTTGAGTCGTGGCCATGAGGGTTCGCAGGACGTGGAAGACCCGGCCTACAAGAAGCCATCTGACTGTAAAGAGATCAAACTCTTCAAGAAGCTCTCGCTCTCTCGCACGTTAAATGCTTGAGACTGCTCCAATAGCAGTCATGTGAGGGTTAAGCTAAGCAGTGAAGGCACTTGAGGCAAGTTGTTGATCTTCGGGGCTGGTTGCTTCCTTTAGCTCAACCCTCATGTACAAAGCCTGATTTTCAATCTCGCCGTGCGTGGCAGTGCGTGGCTTTACAAAGAGCTGCCCGTCGACCTCATGCGACGCTTTGTGGGATCCCATTGCCGCGAAGCATCAAAACCCTGGCTAGGTGTTCAACTCACTTGTGTGTTGGCCAGTCACTGCAGCTGTTGCTAGAGCAGAAGTTTGGCTAGAGCATTTTAGGCCTGGCTCCCATGAAAGGTCAAGATCACGCACTGGGTGTTGCCTTGTCTCTGATCAGCTTCTCCCTTTGGCGCCAGGGAATGATGAAACACCAGGTAGCAAAAGGAAGAACGTTTTTTTTTGATTTTGTTGGGCCGGGAAATCGAGCTGGTTTTCCGCGGCTGTTCAAAATCACTCTTATTCCTTTCGCCGGAAGGTTGTGGTTTCCCTTGTGTTCGCCTGGCCCACTACGGATGACGCATTAGAAAGACCGGGATCCCATGTTGAACCCAGTTTTCTTCCGAGCTGGTCTTGGCGTTGGCAGATTGCCAGCATCGAGCCGACGGATGTGCCTGAGCTACAGTCGGGAGGCTCAGAGGAGGTCCACGCTTTGGTCAGCACTCCAATGAGCCCAGTCAGTGCGGTCAATGGGGGCGGATAAATTCTAAGTTGGTCAAGCTCATTGTTGACCAGACCTCCCCAATGACCAAGTGCTCAACATTGCAATGATTGGTGGCCCACCTTCAATTTCAAAGGACTGGCAAGGCGTTTTGCCTGTGAGATTCCCGTCGCGGGCAAGGCAAATGTGAGGAGGCATCTTTTCCAACTACACTCCAGATGCTATGTTCTGAGTGGGCATAGCATTTTTAGGTTTACCAATCATGAAGGTGCTAGCTATCCTGGTAGCAAATGAGAGCATGATCGTGACTTTGGTGATGATGATGACGATGATAACTATCATAGCCAATAATTGAAAATACAAGTACAAAACTATAAGCAAGGCAAGATATGTTGTGGCATAAGAACAAGATAGCAAGAATCTAAAGTACGTGAATATAAGAAGAAACTGGTATAAGACTATAACAAGGAGCTATATTTGGTGATGACCCGAGGGGTCGGCAGATTATGGCCTGTTCAGAGACTCTAAAACAAGCAGCAAACTTATGGTCTTGTCAAAGGCTCCAAAACAATCAGCAGACTTAGTGTCCAGAGTGAAAAAGACTGAAGTGTTCGATGCCCTTCTCAAACCATCAAGCATTGACATTCGCTGGCAGAGCTGGTTTGCCCAGTATTACTGTATGGTGTTTGGAGATCTTTGGAAAGTCTAGTTTGAGCCCATTAGACTCCAGCCACTAACTTGAGGATCATAATCAGGTGAAGCAAAAACCTTAGCCTGATATTGTAAGGCGCCAAGCAGTGTAGTGTAGAGAGCTGGCAGGAGAAATGACTCTTGCAGCATCTTGCTGTCGGATTCTATTGCAGCACACAGCTGTGTTCTGGTCAGATCATAGATCTCCAGCATCGTGTTGCTGCCACATTGCTCTGTGATCGGTTGCCGGCATGGATTAGACACATCCATGGCGTCGCATTGTTCACGGCACAGGCTGTTTGGGCAACAGCGCAAGAAAGACGGCGTTGGGCAGATCTGGACCACCTTGCGGTTTGTCAGCTATTCAGGTTGAACGTCCTTGGCGGCTGGTCTTTTTTGGCTATGTTGACTTACTTGACTTGCTTGACTTGCCTGACTTGCTTGACTTGCTTGACTTGCTTGACTTGACCTTTGATAGCTTGGTTTGAATTGACTGGCGTGACATGGTCTGCAAGAGCTGATTGAAACGCCCCCCGTAATTTCGAGTTTGCCACTGTTGGCCAACACTCACTGATCATCCTGGTCGCCTTGGTTGATTAGTGAGACCCTGCAGAAGCTGCTCATGCCAGTTTGGTGCCCATTCTGTGTGAATGCCAATAACTGCCATGGGTGCGAACAAAGCTAGGAAGATGGGAATGTAGATTGCGCTTTGACTATGTTCATGGTCGCTCGCTGGAAGCCAAGGGCCGGACAGCAAGACATCGTAAGACCGCTCGTGCTTGCCATAGCGAAACAGAGGTGGAAGGAAAAAGGACTCTTGCAGTTTGTATGGGTCAAATTCTCAGGCTATTGTAGCATTGCAGCACACAGCTGTGTTCTGGTCAGATCATAGATCTCCAGCATCGTGTTGCTGCCACATTGCTCTGTGATCGGTTGCCGGCATGGATTGGACACATCCATGGCGTCGCATTGTTCACGGTACAGGCTGTTTGGGTAACAGCGCAAGAAAGACGGCGTTGGGCAGATCTGGACCACCTTGCGGTTTGTCAGCTATTCATGTTGAACGTCCTTGGCGGCTGGTCTTTTTTGGCTATGTTGACTTACTTGACTTGCTTGACTTGCTTGACTTGCTTGACTTGCCTGACTTGCTTGACTTGCTTGACTTGACCTTTGATAGCTTGGTTTGAATTGACTGGCGTGACATGGTCTGCAAGAGCTGATTGAAACCCCCCCCCGTAATTTCGAGTTTGCCACTGTTGGCCAACACTCACTGATCATCCTGGTCGCCTTGGTTGATTAGTGAGACCCTGCAAAAGCTGCTCATGCCAGTTTGGTGCCCATTCTGTGTGAATGGCAATAACTGCCATGGGTGCGAACAAAGCTAGGAAGATGGGAATGTAGATTGCGCTTTGACTATGTTCATGGTCGCTCGCTGGAAGCCAAGGGCCGGACAGCAAGACATCGTAAGACCGCTCGAGCTTGCCATAGCGAAACAGAGGTGGAAGGAAAAAGGACTCTTGCAGTTTGTATGGGTCAAATTCTCAGGCTATTGTAGCATTGCAGCACACAGCTGTGTTCTGGTCAGATCTTAGGTCTCCGGCATCGTGTTGCTGCCACATTGCTCTGTGATCGGTTGCCGGCATGGATTGGACACATCCATGGCGTCGCATTGTTCACGGCACAGGCTGTTTGGGCAACAGCGCAAGAAAGACGGCGTTGGGCAGATCTGGACCACCTTGCGGTTTGTCAGCTATTCATGTTGAACGTCCTTGGCGGCTGGTCTTTTTTGGCTATGGTGACTTGCTTGACTTGCTTGACTTGCCTGACTTGCTTGACTTGCTTGACTTGCTTGACGTGACCTTTGATAGCTTGGTTTGAATTGACTGGCGTGACATGGTCCGCAAGAGCTGGTTGAAACGCCCCCCGTAATTTCCAGTTTGCCACTGTTGGCCAACACTCACTGATCATCCTGGTCGCCTTGGTTGATTAGTGAGACCCTGCAGAAGCTGCTCATGCCAGTTTGGTGCCCATTCTGTGTGAATGGCAATAACTGCCATGGGTGCGAACAAAGCTAGGAAGATGGGAATGTAGATTGCGCTTTGACTATGTTCATGGTCGCTCGCTGGAAGCCAAGGGCCGGACAGCAAGACATCGTAAGACCGCTCGAGCTTGCCATGGCGACACAGAGGTGGAAGGAAAAAGGACTCTTGCAGTTTGTACGGGTCAAATTCTCAGTCTATTGTAGCATTGCAGCACACAGCTGTGTTCTGGTCAGATCTTAGGTCTCCGGCATCGTGCTGCCTCCCCACTGCTCTGTGATGGGTTGCCGGCATGGATTGGACACATCCATGGCGTCGCATTGTTCACGGCACAGGCTGTTTGGGCAACAGCGCAAGAAAGACGGCGTTGGGCAGATCTGGACCACCTTGCGGTTTGTCAGCTATTCATGTTGAACGTCCTTGGCGGCTGGTCTTTTTTGGCTATGGTGACTTGCTTGACTTGCTTGACTTGCCTGACTTGCTTGACTTGCTTGACTTGCTTGACGTGACCTTTGATAGCTTGGTTTGAATTGACTGGCGTGACATGGTCCGCAAGAGCTGGTTGAAACGCCCCCCGTAATTTCCAGTTTGCCACTGTTGGCCAACACTCACTGATCATCCTGGTCGCCTTGGTTGATTAGTGAGACCCTGCAGAAGCTGCTCATGCCAGTTTGGTGCCCATTCTGTGTGAATGGCAATAACTGCCATGGGTGCGAACAAAGCTAGGAAGATGGGAATGTAGATTGCGCTTTGACTATGTTCATGGTCGCTCGCTGGAAGCCAAGGGCCGGACAGCAAGACATCGTAAGACCGCTCGAGCTTGCCATGGCGACACAGAGGTGGAAGGAAAAAGGACTCTTGCAGTTTGTACGGGTCAAATTCTCAGTCTATTGTAGCATTGCAGCACACAGCTGTGTTCTGGTCAGATCTTAGGTCTCCGGCATCGTGCTGCCGCCCCACTGCTCTGTGATGGGTTGCCGGCATGGATTGGACACATCCATGTCGTTGCATTGTTCGCGGCACACGGATCGTGACCACACACACACACACACGCACTGCTGATCCCTGGATCCCATGAAGGCGTCGCATGATGAGCGGCCTTGGCACCCAGACTTCACAACTTTCACATGCGGAGAAGTTATCTTGGTGCAGCGTGGTTCTTTGTTTTTTTTCCCGTGTGACGTGTCGAGGTGTACGTCCAGAACCCTCAGTATCTTCAACCAGTATTGTAAGCGCATTGCAGTGTAGAGAGATGGCAGGAGAAAGGGTGCTTGCAGCATCTTGCCTGTCGGATTCTCTTGCAGCACACAGCTCCGTTCTGGTCAGATCATAGATCTCCAGCATCGTGTTGCTGCCACACTACTCTGTGATCGGTTGCCGGCATGGATTGGACACATCCATGGCGTCGCATTGTTCACGGCACAGGCTGTTTGAGCGACACCAAAATATAGATGAACAGGACGGATCTGGACCACCTTGTGGTTTGTCAGCTATTCATGTTGAAACGTCCTTGGCGGCCTGTCTTCTTTGGTTACGTTGACTTGCTTGACTTGCTTGACCTTTGATAGCTTGGTTTGAGTTTGACTGGCGTGACATGGTCCGCAAGAGCTGGAGCTGGTTGAATCGACCGCGCAAATTTCCAGTTTGCCACTACGCACTGGAAAGGACTCTTGCAGTGTGAACGGGTTAAATTCTCAGGCTATTGTAGCATTGCATATAGGTGCCGTCATGGGACGGCAAAACAGAGGAGGTGAAATAGACGTTGTGCAGCACGAAGAAGGAAGAGAAGCCATTACTTGCAGCTTGCATAATTTGCAAAGCATTACAATTCAGCCACAATGTGTTAGTGGCCCTAATGCACAATCTAGATCCGGAAGATTTTGGATATTTATAAGCTAATTAAGTTCTTAAAGGAGTCGCCCTGCGGAACACGAGACCTATATTAAACTTCAAGAGGAGCACAAGAGGTAAAGAAGACAAGCCGAATTGAAAGCCTTCTTGGTTGACAACGAATGGAATCTCATGCAGGACAAGAAATCGAAGATGAGGAGGAATCGTCCAGCAGAGGCAACCAAAGGCCACTAACACTTTTTTCACTAAAAAGCAAGGGTAAGTTTGGCAGACTTTGTGCAGCTGAAGCATCCAGAATATCAATCAATGCACGCCAGACCAGATGGAGAAGTTAGGGAAGAAACGGCTGACATTGAATCGAGATGTACTACAAGCACGGGAGGTGGCGATGATGGAGGCGTTAGGGTTGGGACTTGGATGAACCAAGGTCTACTAAGAGTATCCCAAGCGCGCAACGGCAGGCTGGAGGTTGTCCATAACGCAAATGCAGAAGAAGGAGCTGAACATCGACCTCCATGTCAGGCAGATTCATGGCTACATATACGGCCTCAAGAATCCGGAGGTAGAGTCTCTACTGGAAGAGACCCACATGCCGATGGAGTAGGAGGGCATCTCGGATGACTCTCGTGAACAAATGCGTTGAGCAGCAAGGCATCCTTCTAACCGGGCCTTGGCAAAGCAGCATTGAGACCGTGGGATTCCAAATTAGATTATACGCAGTGATAGCGCTAGTCGCGCAGACCCTGGAGCAAATGCTCCCGACATTTTGATGAGCAGCACTCAGGCCCCTGTACCGGCTCAAGCTGCAGTTAGTCCTATGCTAGAAGGCAAGATCGGTGTTTACTGGGTCTTGATGGGTCAGTAACTGAGCAAAGGTCATGGTGGAGGCGTTGACGAAAGGTAGAACTTTGGCAACACCATCACGGAGCTTCGAGAAGCTTGCATTTGCATGCACGTGGCCAAGGAAGCGGAATATCCACGGACCGGACCACCAGGGTAACCTGAGTTGTTTGTGAGCGGCTAGAACGTTGACACACCGATCAGCCCAAGCCGGAGAAGAGGTTCACTGGAGAGAAAGAGAGAGAGAGAGAGAGAGAGAGAGCGACCTTTTAGAAGAACGGGCATCTTGCTTGTCGGGTTCTCTTGCAGCACCTGCGTGCTGGTTAGATCACAGATCTCCAGCCTCGTGTTGCTGCCACATTGCTCTGTGATTGGTTGCCGGCATGGATTGGACACATCTATGACGTCGCATTGTTCACGGCACAGACTGTTTAGGCAGAGACGTAGTTAAGACGGCGTTGGAACGATCTGGGCCACAGACACGCACTGCTGCTGATCCCTGGATCCCCTGAAGACGTCGCATGATGAGTGGCCTTGGTATCCGCACTCCACAACTTTCACATGTGGACAAATTCACAAGGTGAAACCTAGATTTGTTTTGTTGTATCTGACTCGGGGGCAACGTACCACGCACTAGGATGGTGCTTGCAACCCACCAGGGAACGCATTCCGCGCTGAGGCTTGAGGAGGAAGAGCTTCTGCGCTTCAACGACGCCAAGCACTGGCAGGCGCAAGACGCAGGAGGCGGTAGGCGTTTGGGTACTTAGTGGAGTTTGCATTTTTTCGGCATTCGTTGCTTGATAAGTGCTCACTAAAAATGGTCAGCGTTGGATTGTGGTTGTTCTTTTGGTTTGCCTTTAAGCTAAAGTGAAACGGGGACCCTCTAAATGTTGCACGCAGCAAGTCGTTCTCCATCCCACACGGTGACAACAAGCCAACACTGCAACATTCAGGTCATGGTTGCTATATCGGCTGTATTGTTGCTCTTATAAGTTGTTTTCTTTTTGACGCGCCCAAACAAGGTGGTGTACAGTTTGGAAAGCCATGTAAGACAACCCAACAAAAAGGCAGCCCCGTCAATTCATGAGGGTGGGACGTTCTCGACGGAGGTAGGCATGGAACACGGCTCGCTGAGATGGTGCAGACCGCCCTTCAAGCTGCTTTCCAGAGCCATGGCCTCAGCAAATCTGGCTGCGAAGAGCATGGGTCTGAGCAAATGAGTTGTCGAGTCGGGGGGTGAACCAAGCTCACCCAGGACGAAGATCGCTTTTGAGGATTCCTTATTTGCAGTTCGGGTTTGATTGTAGTTTGATATTATTTGCCAAAATGATGAGTGCGTGTGTGTTCGCGTGCAAATTGCAGGCTCTTGGCCAATGATCTTCGTTTGTGATAGGCACGCCTTGGTTGAAGCTGACAGTCCCGAGCGAAGCTCCCAGGATCACTTATCTATTGTGGTGTTGTTTGGAATCGGCTCAGATCACCAAAGCCCGCCCGCACCACGGTTTTTTGATGGTCTAAAAAGGACGCCAAAAGTAATGAATTCGACCGTCATTTGGGTGTGTCAAAATAGGGATACCTATTTAGAGATGTTTTGAAGGTAAACCGTTCTCCAAAGGGACCCTCGGAAAGACACAAAGTGATGGTCCATGCAGAGATGGCTTCTCAGGGCTTGAGAAGCGTTCGGTGCAGCTCGTGGACATTTCCGAGGAGCGAATTCGAGTGGGTTCGGTTTTCACTGTTACCGCGCCGTACCTTGAAGGAAAACTGATTTTTCTTGGTTTTCCGGTTTCTTCGGTTTCCCCTGGTATGACTCGCTTGGGGAAATCTGGGGAGTTGGGTTGGGCTCCTTTCGCATTTTTTCAAGAGAGGTGGATGTTTGTTCTCAGCGAACCTGGGTTGCCAGCTCTCAGTTTTTGCGGTGCTTTTGCGGTGGGATGCCCCGGCAAATGCCCGAATCCGCCAACGCGCAAAGAAGCCTCGAAGCCTTTCTTTCCATTCCTGCATGGAAGAGTCAGATTCCCAAAAGCACGGGGTTTGTTGGATTACATGTTAAGGTGCAGGTAGGGACCCCCCTTGATGGTGTGAGTTCTTGTTCTTTGAGGGAAGCCAGACGGAAGCCAACCTTTCTGGGGCTTCCTAGAGCTGAACCCACGAGGCCGAGGACTACTGAATCACTGGTTCTGCGCTCTCCCTTTTGTGGATGAGTCCTTCTTGTTTGTTCCTCTTTCTTTTTTTTTCGGATCTAAAACGCACAGCTCCCTTTTTCTCCTTGGCCGCGCACTGCATCTTTGAGGGGTTCTTTTGCTTTTCACGACCTCAAGCAACCCTGAACTTCCCCCTGCACACACTCCAAGCATCCTAAATCAGCCCTAATTTCAGCTGCCCTAGCTGACCTCTTGGCCTTCCAGTTTCCCTTTGTTGGCCCGTTGTAGTCCAGTCCGAACATTTCACGGGTTAGCAGCTCTTTTGGCTGCAAGCGAGCCGTCCAAACCGGTCTGGACGTTTGGACCGTGGCGGGTGCACCCCTATAGGTGCGGAATGCTTTAGATTCTCGACCATGTTGCGAAGACTCATTTGCCACATGTTGACCATGATTCGAATTGGCACAATCATTGACCGCCCTTCACTACCAAGTTTTTGCTAGGGACTGTGAGCAAGGCCATTGGTCAGGCGACCCTCACCGGATTCTACGTGAGTGGCAGCTTGGAAAAGTGGAGTTTGTTAGATCCGTTTCTTTCTGGCTTGCTTTGATCTTTGGACTTAAGCTTTCTGAGAATCAGTGGATGTTCCATTGGACCCACCAAAAGTCATTCACTTTTTGCCCGGGGGGGGGGGGGGGGGGGGGGAATCCACAGCAACCAACGTTTAAGGTCGCCCAAACTGGATCTTTAGCGCCGAGCAGTGCGCTCTCCAGTCCCTCCCCTTGGCGCTGCTGCAGTCTGCCAGCTCTGACAGCTGCGTGGCAGGACCTGACCGGACGAAACGTGGTTCTTGTTGGCTTCCCTATAGGGATCATGGGTGAAGGGTTTGGCCAACCCTTCATGTTTCCCAGAAAAGCTACAAAATGGTTGTTGGGAAACATTCTATATTTGTTGCGCTTATTGTGGTTTAGTGGTTGAAATCCAACCACTTAACTAGTCACTTAACTGCTTTTTGTTTTTGATTTTCATTTTTGCTCCCCTGCCAACGTCAACCAAGTCAAAGGGGGGTCATCTTGATCAAATGGGAAAGACCCAGAAATGGGTTTTTCCAATCGGCGTCCCGTTCAAAACAATGCAGCAAAACATATCCAATCCATCCAATCCCTTACCACGAAGCAAACATCGGACATGTTCAGATTGGTATCTTTGAGTCTTTGGTACGCACCATCTCAGCATACTTGCATGGGGTCATGTGTCCACCAATCATGTTTGAGAGTATTGCCCCATACGGGATACCGCGGGCTCCGCTTCCTTCACGAGTGTGACAGTTTGCCAAGATAGGCTGGGTTTGCGTTTGTGTGTGTGTGTTCACAGTTGCAAGCATCCGCTTGTATGGGTAATGTGTGTGCATGGCCACTCACAACAAATTGCAACCCGTGTGGGCGCCTGCGCATGACAATATGTGCGGTTGTAAACAAAAGGTTGGCCCGGCTTAGAACTCCCCTTCAAGTTGGCCAACTCGCGGACGACCGGTCTTGAGACACAGCAACCATGGTTTTAGCTCACGTAGGTTGAACATCAGGAGGTTTTCTACAAAAGCCGCTCGTGCTTAAAAGTCACCTTCAAGCCATCGCAACCTGGTTGCCTCGCCTCGCTTGTTTGTGAGCGGAAGCTATAGCAGCCGCTGTTGGGTTGCTCAGGCTGCTTTATATTGCCATGAAGAACACGCCCCATCCAGAAAATGCGCACTGGCCGCCTTTATGTCATCATATGTCATCATGCTCCTGATGACACGCACGAGGGTTCAATTCTGGAAGCCTTGAAAGGAGTGCGCGGCAACACCGAGAAGGAGGCCAGCCCATGCCACGCATTGCCTGGGACAGGCTGAGACATGGATGCCATTTAAGAAAGAGGGGCACTGGGACGTGTTTGGTTTGAAATTGGTGCGTTCGGCAGCAGCTGTTCCAAAGTGATGGCCTGTTCCATTGTTTGCACATGAAGTTTCTGCTTGCTTTGTTGTTTTCAATCATGCAGTCTGGAAAAGCAAGTACCCACTGCAACAAGGGGCTCTTATGTAGAGTATCATTCTGATTGAGCTCGTATCGCAATCCTCGGAATCCAAAGAACCTGGCAATCCAAGAGATCTCTCAAACTGGACCACCGTAATTGAATTGGGGCACAACCCCTGATCAGTGATTGCCAAGGTTGGCCAGTGCCATGATCAGTGGTTCACCAAGGCACGCCATTTACTGGACTGTGTACAACGTGTTGTTCCTAGTCCAGTCATGCCGTCACCTTCCATGTTGGTGCGTGCCCCTTGGAAATTCGACCAAGCAGGTTTGACTTTGCGTGGGTGGGTTGACTTCTGCAGGGGGTTGTCTAAACCCGACCGCCAAGTAACACGCAACGGGACCCTCTGACAAGTACGGCGCCCATATATGCGGGGAAACTTGGAGACTTTGTGCGATTGCACAGCCATCTCTGCAGTTGAGACGAAATGCCTATGCCGCAATCTGTCGGAGGCAAACGGACATGGATATGTCTATTGCGGGGTGTTTTTTTTGAGGTTGCTAAATAGGGGAAAGCGAAGGAGCATCCCCAATGTTTCGGCAGTTGCCTTTTTCTTTGGCACAAGCCGATAAGTTTGTTTGAGGCCTGTCAGTGTTGGACGGCCTTCCCCTTTCAGGTGATGAAGGCCCTATTGGCCGCACATTCCATCGACAACGAGAAGGCCTGCAGACATGATTGGCGCACTAGATGGGTCTGTTTCAAATTTGGGGACCCCTCAACCTGTTTGATTTCCTTCTGATTGTCATTTCAAAACCGTACCAAAGGGGCTCCAAGTTTTCATACATTCTCATTCAAGTTTGAACGACTTGTTTCTTGATCCAGCTGCACGCCGGCACCAAGATCGGGACATGGTGGTAAATGTCACTGTGATTAGGGTTCCTTGATGCATAAGCATGGCAGTCGGCAGCAGCCTCCTAAGCTCAATTGCTGCAAACTCGAAAGCTGAAAAGTAAGATATATATATATATATATAATATTATCGCCAGATATGCAGTGTCACGTGGCTGGTTGTTTCTTCCCCTACCCACTGCCCACATGGTTCAGCTGGCGCACGTGCAAAGTCCAAGAATGAACCAAGATAAGTCCCTAAATAATCAAGAGCCTTGTCATATGGAAACCTTGAGATGTATCCCATTCTGAGGCACATCAGCATGGTGTCTGTGTGTGTGTATGTGTCTTTCTGTGTCTGTGTCTCTGTGCGGGTCTCTCTGTCCTTCTGTGTGTCTGTCTTTCTGTCTGTCTTTCTGTCTGTCTTTCTGTCTGTCTTTCTGTCTGTCTTTCTGTCTGTCTTTCTGTCTGTCTGTGTCTGTCTGTGTCTGTCTGTGTCTGTCTGTCTGTCTGTCTGGCTGTTGTTTTGGTTGGTTTAAATCTAAAATGCACCAGAGTAAGCTGCCCAACTTGAAGCAGTTCCTGTGTTCGGAGACCCTACTGCTCGCCCTTGGGCTGTAGGTCTTCCTGCTGGTGGCCTCTCCTCAACAAGTGATCCAGGCGTGTCGGGCACGGGGCGACCGGAAAAGACCCATTTGTTCGGATGTCAAATACACCCCAGAGAGCAAACATGGAAACCAACCTAAGATGGTTTCCACTACGTACCCCCAAACCACTGGATGCCCTTTGTATAGTGGTTGGTAGTTGTATGTCCCTTTTGTATGACTTCATTGCGGCAGTTGCTGGCACGAGTTGAAGCAAGACCGGGAACGAAGGGACCCCTCAAAAGAGTAGCAACCACTCTTTCTCCTATTTTGTGTTGGCGTTTTCACAGATGTGGTTGCTCCTTAACCTCTAATGCGATTCTATTGGTAGTGGCCCAATCACTTTTTTCTATGTATGCTCTTGGCGCACGCACAATGTGTTCATCTCAGATCAGTATATTCATATGCTCAGGGAGCCCCACGATGCGCCTCCCAAAAGGCAGAAGTCTCCCTTTGCGCCATGAACTGACTGCTGGAAGGATAGTCTGGGAGGTGAATTCCTTGTTCGTGGGTGGGACGGTACCCGCCTTGAAAGCTGCGCATTTTCGCCGGCCCGATGTGATCTGCAGGCGGCCCTGCCAGTTCCGTATCCTTTGAAGGAGGAGACGAGTCTGGTGCAGCCTGGCCCATGCCCCGTCCATGTGAAGGGGGCTTGTAAAAAGTAACAGGGATCACACAGGGCAAACTATCGGAAGATCACCGCGAGGCATATTTGACTCGTGCCACCATCTTAGAACCAAACGTCTGGTTTTGGGTGCTGAGATTTTGGGGGAGCCACAGTCTGCCTTCCCGACAAGCGGCAGACTCTTTTGGATGGCGAAGTGTTGGTTATTACCCACTAGACGTTGACCCCTTAGAGAACTTAGATTACTTTGCGTGATCCGTTGGTATGCGGGACACGTGGGACTCTTTCTGGCGTGGCTCAAAGAAGCACCTCAAAGGGAGCCAGACAACTCAACAACAAGAATCGTTGCTGGATGATGTCCGATTTTCGGAGGGATGTGGTCTTGGGTCTTGTCAGTTTTTGTTTGGTCATGTTGTTGTATACCAATGTTCCTTTTGTCATTGAATACATGCTGTTGTAGATTTCCCATGTTTGAATAACACATCGAAATAGTTCTGTGATTGGTTCATCTTGAGTGGGGGGAGATGTTTTTCAAAAAAGTTAGCTAGCTACAGATGCCGTTTGATTTGGGGCACGGTATGAAACCTGCGTGGACCAAAGCACAAACTATGGACAAACAGACACAAACAGCTACAGCCCAAGCAACCTCCAAGGGCGCAAATGTGACTCCTCATCGGTTAGCCTGATCGCTGTTGATTTTGCTGCTCAATGCAATGACCACATCCACAGCATGTTTCTGACCTGGCATTGCTGGGCTTGTGATCATTTCGCCCGATTGTCCTGCTGTGCATTCAATCAATGCTAGCTTGATATGTGTTCCAGGCAGACCTGATCCATACCCGAATCCTTCGTCGATTCGGGTAAGCCCTCATTCGACTACTTGCAACAACGGCAGAGACCTCATCATGCTACTCCCCAAACAAGGATTCCGTGCCAAAGGCTGTCTCAGCCTCGTGGCAACCGATTTGACAGGATGGGCAATCCATTGCTTCCATTGTGCTCTGTGAGGCAGGGGCAGGGGCAATTTGGCAATGGGCTTGGGGCAACTGGCCAAGGTGCCTCAGATGGCTTCCTTTGACATGCGGCACTAGTTTCTCGTCAGTTGTAAGTGTTGGCCTCCAACACGCGCGGCAAGCTCAAAACGAGGAGCAGTTGAACAGCCAGAAGAATGGTATTTGCAGAAAGTGAAAGGGTGACAAGTCGGATACTTGTACTACGGTTGCTTGAGACAGAGGCAAAGGACCTTGGGTACCGTGACCTCGAAATGTCGCTGATACATATGATTGTTAATTTGCACTGCGCTGGTTAGTTTGCGAGCTCGATTGAAGACCAGTGATTACAAGCCCTCAAGCAGGTCCCCTTAAGATTCCTTGATTCAGATTGGTGAATAGCAACCAGCAACTTGTTGTTGGTTCGGGTTCACTCGTGTTTCTTCTTTCTTGTCCAGTGGGTTCCCCGCAAGAAAGGTGTCCCTTTCTACACGGGTATTTGGGCTACTGGTTGATGGCTCTGTGCTACTTTCCCTTTTGGAAGCAAAGAGAGTTAAACAAGTGGTTGAGAAGCTGTGGTCTCGGCCTTTCTTTCGCCATGGAACATAATTTCCTAGCAGAAGTAGTAAATCCCCTTCGTTTCGTTAGCCAGGACGTGGTCGCCGCCTCTGGTGCCTTGCGTTCGGAAGCCTTGGAGGCGGAGCTTTGGGAGTAGACCCTACGTGTCGCAACACATTCAGAGCCCGCCAGAAGTGCTGGGATCTTGTTGGAACTGGTTTCTACAGTTTGAGGTTCATGAAATATGGTTGAGAGCCAAGGCGCAAAGGCTGAGATAGAAATTATTCTGGGCGAAGTATAGCGATCCCACAAGAGGCCGTAGAAAGAATGGCCCAAGATGGGTCTTCCTCTCTTGGTCCCCATGTTCGAATGGTGTTCGTAGTCCTTGTGTGATCATAGTGTATCATAGTGTCGCCCCAAGCCCTGAAATCGACCTTCCAAAAGGTTCTTCGCAATTGTAGTCGGCTCATCGGATGGGGGCTAAAACAAGCTCGTGCCCCTGATGTGGTTCTCATGCGGATTTCCAAGCTCAGGTTAGTGAAACCTACATGTGCACATCTTTGTAGTTTGCATGTCGCATGTCTTCGGATGGTGTTAGCCTTAAATAAGTTTGATCTTGGACACCCCGGACGTGTTGTGTACACGAGTGAGTGGAGCAAAATGAGTTGTTTGCGGCAACTGACTGATGTGTCACAGGCATGCCATGCCAAGGGCTGTCACGTACGGCAACACACCCCAAAGCTTGTCTAGTTCGGAGCCACTAGTACTCCCCTCAGCCTCAAGAGTAGCAACTCATGTTCTCTATTTCCTTAAGCCTGGTGGCGCCGTTGAAGCGCACTAGGACTTGGCCTTGCTGTGGCGGAGCTGCGCAGGCCAGGAGTTTTTTGCCTAGGGCGCTGGGGGGGCTTGGTTAACATCCAGACCCTGGTCCCTTGTTGGAACCGAGAAGGAGGTTTGTTAAACAAAGGTGGTTTAAAGGTGTTCAAACAGGATGTCCAGCCCAACTGCAGCTCTCAAGAGGGTCTCTTTTGAGGAAAATTATGTTTAGGACTCCCCGCCAACGCACATCAACAGACATGCCTTCTGCACCTGCCAACGACTGATAGCCGCAAATCCGGCCTGGTTTCAAACCCCGTCCAAAGAAACCACTGGTCAAGGATTCCAGTGGGCTGAAGGGTCCTAAGGGTGGTCAGAACGACTCAAGACCTTCATCGCTTTCAAGTATTTTGTTTTGCACCGTTTTTTGGCGATAACAATATAATCGCCTGCAAGCTGAAGTAGTCATACAGATGGCGATCCCACTTTGGAAGAACGAGCGCTGGCGATGAGGAATGGTCAAATGTGGTTGCGTTTTGAATCAAACGTAGCATGGTCCAAACTTGTTAGTTTGATGGTGAAAAGACGCTGTCCAGTTCTGCCTACAGCATACCATCTAACCTTGGGGCATGCTCATCTTCGCGCAGGGGCAATGAGAAGGACAGAGCATGTTGACTGTTTGGCTGCACCACCTGTGAAGCCTCAGCAGATCATTGGAGTTCAGTTCCAGAACTGGGCGGGGCTACTCACAACAATGGTCCTCGCAGACCTTCAGTCAGGTTACATGGTGGGAGGGTGTGGCTCATGTGGGTGTTGGTGCTTTTTGAGGGCCATTTTAGGGGTTCCCGATTTTGTGTGCTTGGGGGACTTTGTGGTTTGCACAGGCAAGCTCCAGCGGGAGGTCCTCGTAGTTCCGGAGGTGCGCAACATAGACTCGCGCACTCCTGTGTATCTCACTTGAGCGATTTGACATACTCGAACGATCGGTTTTCTCATGGTGGTCCATGTGTGTCAAGTGAAGGTTCCTGAAGGTTAGCCTGGAGTTTCCAATTTGGGCAAGGGAGCGATTTCGGCTATGTTTGCTGCAGTTGCATGTGTTGTACTGTTGGTTGCTTGAAGTGGCCGTGTGTTACTCGTGTTGTGTGTTTTGCATCATCCACCAACGCGTGCAAGCACATATACACAAATATATATAATTATATATATATGATATATATATATACAATATATATGTAGGTGGAAGTAGAATACCCACGCGTGTGCTCTAAGAGGATGCTTGTCAAGGGAATTTGTGAAAACCAGCAATCCAAAGCAACCAAAACACCAGCAGAGACAACAGAAAGCCAAGGTGTTGTTGTTTTTGCCGTTGTGGGCACTGGCTTGCACTCATCAGGCGGTTTGTTTCGCTGCTTGCGTCATGTGCGGCGCCTGGAGAAATTGCAGTGACACCTGGCTTTGTGCTGATAGGCCATCACGCTGAAGCTAGCGCTGATCCAGAGCCACGAATTGGAGAGGAGAGCTACGCGCACAGAGAAAAGCAGCCTTTTGATTGCTTCGACATATTGCGCTGACCCCTTTCTTTGTTCCAACGACACATTTGACACTGTAACTTACATGTTTGTCCGTGTAGCTTCGCGCCTGGAATTCGTCATAGTGTTCCTTTGCATGTTTTCTTGTCCTGTGCTTGTTGTCGAGTTCTGAAAACCCGTGCCTGCCGCGGTTCGGAAGGTGCTCTCAAGGAAAACCAAAGGCAAGATACTCGTTCAAGACGCCCCGCTTGGAGACAAGTCCTGATGATTGATCATGTCTAGCTTCTTCGCTGATCCAATTTCCAGCCGCACTTTGAGCTGTCCCTTTAGGAGGACGCGGGTGGTGGAGCGTCCTGGAGGGGTTGACGTGTCCAGCGTCAACGCCCTGAGCGTGCCTGAGTTTCTGGGCCGGGAGCCAAGTGACGAGACGATCACGCGCCATCCGGGTCCGAGCAAAAAGACGCGTGGTTTTGGATGATCCTTAGGCCAGACGGTTTCCGCTTCACCATGGAGTTAGCTATTGTTCAACTCCAACTGTGTAAGCATCAAGAAACGGCTTGACGAGCAACACCACGAGGTTGGTCCCCCTTTCACCACCAAGAACGTTGATTCCCTTTCAACACCAAGGCATTGATTTCCGTTCAACGCCAAAAGTTTGCTTTCCGTTTCAGCACCAAGGCGTTGGCTTTCGTTTTGAGACCAAAGCGTTGATTAGACGTTGCAAACCCCATCCCCGTGGCCCAGGCCTGGAGGAATCCCTGCTGCAGCTGCAATGGCTCAGCGCTGAGGCTCGGAGAGTGGGGAGCCTACGCGTCTTTCTTGAAAACCCAGTCCTTCGCTCTTTTTTGGGTACCTCTAGCCGGCGCTATGAGATGAAAGGAGGAGGGTCGTCCGCCGTTGTGATTACAAAATGACTGTTTCTGTGGTGACCCAGCCGGTGACAAGGGCAGCCTTGCACAGTGGACTTAGAAGTTACGAGTGCCTCTCAAGACCCAAAGCTGCCTTGTGGTGCGAAAGTCAATAAAAAGATATTGACCAAGTTGTTATGTGTGTCGCAATTCCTGAACTGCGTGGGCATAGTATAAGTGAAAGCTTGGTTGGTGTTCAACTGTGTGGGTGTTTTCAAATCACACTTAGAGTAGTCTCAATGAAGATTGTGTAATCCATAGGCGACAACATGGGCCTTTGATTTGGTGCCCTGGTTCTGTTGGGTTCTGGGAACTAGGAAATGGCAATTTCATATCCATACATGTGTGGCTTTTCTTGGGGTACCTTCACGTAGTGTTTTGAGGCTCTACGTGCCTATACCCGCAATTTCCGAGGACTCTTTGTGCTGTCAGGTACCAGTTCTTTGACATATCCAATTGGACCATGTAATTCGTTCCCCACTTGTAGCATGAAGGAAATTGTCGATTCGTATGGTTACTCATTTGGAGGACCAGGATCTTGATTGTATGCAGCATGGTTCGCTTTAAAGGGAAAAAACCCGGATCCTTTGCACTAAGAACAAGCAAACACAACAATATTGTCCTTTCAGGTCAGCTTTGGATGAACATAAATGTGCCACCCAACATTCAGGTTGGTTCTGAGCATTTACCAGTAGGATCCATTGGCTTGCAACATCACATGGTCGGTGTTTCCCTTGTCGTGTTTTACGGGTTATGGAGTAGGAAAATCGTGATTTGAGGGGTTCCAGCGTTTGTCAATCCAGATTTTCCATTCCCATTTTTTGTTTTTCCCTTTTGGTTTGGCCACAAATGGTCAATCCTCAGCATCTATCGGCAAACAAATTCAAATACTGAGCCTAAGGTGATGGCCCAAATCCATGTTTCCAGCTCTGCTGAGTGCTAACTAGCACAAATAGTTCTTCACTTACCCAAAGGGACACCAAAAGGGGATTCGTTGTTGTTTTTTGACAAAAAGCAGGTTCTTTCCAGAACTTCTTGTTTTCCAGGTTTTTCAACAGGAGGCGTTGCTTCGAAAGACGATGGTTAGGTGGAGGCCCTGACGCTGCCGCTGGGGGAGCCTTTGCTGACGGCGTTGGCGGCGTTGAGCGCCACAGGCGCAAGGGCGCGATGTTCACCGAGGAATTGGGCTCGCTTTGTTTTGTCACCCGTTCTGTAAGGGGAAACCAAAAGGGAAGACATGACAATGGGGGGTTCCCTATGTTTGAGACAGTTTCGAAAGGGAATCCGCAAAAGGGGTGGCAGTGAAAAAATGCGAAGAAAAGGTGCGAGCTACTGCCTTGCACTGTGGGTTCTTTCGAGGTGAAACATGACGTTTGTTGAGGGGGGCAATTCAAAGTGAGGTTCTTCAGGGGACCGAATCAGACTGGGCAAAATAGATTGCGACCTCAGCACCAATAGGTTTTGGTTATGTGACCTCAGCGACGATGTTTGCAAATAGGGAAACAGTTTAAGGTTGCTGACTTATAATAGCTTACCCAGATCAAAGCGGCCCAGTTCTAGTGGTTGTCAAAACGCATTTGGAGAGAATTGTCATTTGAGCCACGTTTCGGAGCATGCGTTTTCACACACTTCCATGGGGCCCTGCGTTGGGCAGCGTGTGCGAGTGCGTTGACATTGGCACCGGACAGGTGCCTTCACTACATGGCAAACCGTCTCCAATGCCACTGGCAACACAGTGTTTCCAAAAATCGACGAGCCAAAAGGGCCATTCTGTTGGTGTCCCTGTTTGGGCACCTCATAGCATCCGCATGTTTTCCTTCTGCAAACACATAGGTGGGTCGTTTTCCTTCAGCCTGCCGCTTGCCAATAATTAGACGTCAGGAGTCTGTAATATTGTTTGTGTGAGGCTCCTTCGCTTTTGAACGCCTGCGTTTCGTTAGCATTTTTTCATAGTTCCTTGTCAGAACAGAAGCCTGCAGCGCCGAGCGAAGTCCATATGCTGCAAACAATGAGATATTGTGTGTGGTTCGTCTGACCATCAAGACCACATGTTGGTTGCTCTCATTGTATTGCTAATTGTGAATCATCAATAGTTCAGAGCTGATCGGGAATCAAACCCAACTGTCCCAATGAACCAGCCTTCTTTTTGATTTCCAGTCTTAGCTTACCTGTCTCACTTTTGGCCTTGTTGGTGTTCCTTCATGTCCCCTTTCAAGCAGCCACAAGTTAGCTTTTTGCAGGGTATCCAAGTGACGTTTCCGCAGGCGACAATGGCCAACCCTTGCTGCGGGTGAAGCTGGTGGCAAGCTGTGCGGGGAAGGTCCATGGCATCGCCACCAAGTTCTCGTGGGCAGGCGCACGGTTTCGCTGAAGGTCAGGTTCCATGTTCCCGGACCGAGTCCCGAAGGTTCCATGTTCAGTGGTAGGGGCCTGGACTCCAGGTGCTTCGGAGCCCGGCCACCAGTCTCTTGGCAGCATGGGACTCTTCCTGCGCCGACGCCGAGCTTGAACAAGTTGCACTTTGTGATGATCCTCATGAGTACATTACATATAGAAAAAGAGAGAGAGAGAGATGTTAGTGTACATATTATATATATAGTACTACGTATGGGTTGTCTCAAAGTCTGGCAATCCCAAATGTTGTTTCCCCTTGGTTTCCCTTAAACACCAGCCTGAAAAGGGACCCTCAAATAATGCACACCAATATGCACACATAGTTGTTTTGCTTGCCTGACCCTCGCAACTTGCACCTGGCCGATGGCCCTTTCGAGTATAGTTGTCCTAATACATTACATGTGCGCATATTAGTGTACACGGACTACTTGATGGCCACCGTGCCTTTACCTTTTATGGTTCTTGGCATGTGCATGTCTGTGTGTGTGTGTGTTCAAGTTTTGCTTCTTGGGTTCTAGGCGGCCCTGAGTTCTATTTTGTGGGCTGGAGAAGGGTTAATTTTAGGCCGGGCTACGGTTTTGTTGGGGGGCTTTGGTTGGTCTGGAGTGAGCTGACGCTGGCCGACTGGTTGATATGGGTGGCTTTGTTTGTTGCGTTTGGATCGGCTTGGGGTTGGCTGCCAGTTGACAACAATCCGACTTCCTGACCAACACTTCAACCAGCCATAAGTCCAAACCAGCTCTCAGCCAGCGATTCAACTAGCAAACTCACCTGGAGACAGCCCCATATCAACCAGTAGCCCAGCAGAAGCAAGCCTCAAGCCAACCAAAGCCCGCCCTGAGAAAACCCCACCCCAGCCCGGCAAGCAACTGAACTGGCCGCAAATGAGACATGGCATGTTGTTGCAGAGATTTTGCACCCGCACATACCAGGGCTTTGCGACCTCCCTCACGATGAAGTTGCTTTTCTCAGGTCCCGCATTTTAGGTTGGGGTATCGTCGCACGGATGAAATTGACCATGTTTGTTGGATCTCAAAATCATGGCGCTCAACAAGAGCAAATGCCCCTGCCATGCTTGTCACCTCGGCGCTAGGGCTTCAACCCCCATCCGTTCAAAGGGTTCAGCTGAAGAAGGGGGCCATCAAGCCAAGCCTGAAGTGATGTGAACCCTCCACCTAGCAAACTCTAGCTGGAGCGCTGCCATAATTCACGGAACAGACTCAGAACTTCACTTCAGTTGTGGCAGCCGCGTAACCCCGAGGCTGGCGGGTGTGACCTGGCCTGGGCTGCCGCCAGAGCTGGAGGCATGCAGACCCCGGTTGATCGACCAGAGGAAAAAAAAAATCATGGGGGTCTGATGGGACAATTTTGGCTTGCTGCTTGTTCTTTAGAATTAGAGTGTGGTTTTATTGTCTTCACCTCCAGTACGAGTTACTTCCCGAAATACACCCTGGTCTTGGAAATGGCATGTAATGAAATAGACGATGACAAACATTTGGCACAAGGGTACTTCAAGTGCTTGTTAGACACCATGGCAAGAGGGCCATCCTGAGCTGGGCTTGACAATTTTTCATTCTCCAGCGTTGCTGATCGACAGTTGCCGGGCCCAGTTGCCAGGGCCCCACTTCTTCGCAGTTGCTGGGTCTCGAGGTGCCCTACTTTGCACAACACCCCACCCCCCACCCCCCGCCCCAGTGCACAAAGCCTTTGTTCCAGTTTGCCCTCCGAGTTGCACGCGCGCACACACACTGACACTGGTCCGGCTTCCGCACCCTCATAGAGAGAGAGTGTAACCCACAGCTAGAGCTGTTGGGAATCATCTTATTTTTGATCTGAGTCGTGTCTTTCAGGTCATGCGCTAGCATATTCAACCTAGCCGACCCAGAGCTGCGGATCATGTTCAACGTACACGTCTGTTGGCTTCAGCTTGTTTTGGCAATGAGCCCAACGGCTTCAGAACCTATGGCAGTTGCCGTCTCAGTAGTTGCTTGTTTCGCTCTGCAAGGAACTCAAGTCATGTCCGAACGAATATAGTTTTGCACTTCATTGCAAAAATCAACCAGGGCTTCCTTTCCCCCCTTTTGCCGCGTACAACGGGCTTGGCAGAATATGTGAAATGTGGAGACTCCCGCCGAAAACATGCAGCTTTCCTTGTGGTTCCCTTTCAAGCTCATAAGCCTGCCTTGTCTTCTGCAAGGCAGGGGATGCTGTCTTCGCCTCGGTGCGTTACTCTCCCTGCCGGGGTTTGGTGGCCGCAGACTCAGCCGCAGATGCCGAATCCCAATAGGTTGCACGACGTGAGTGGGAAGCCGATATCATTTTTCTTGGACTCAGGACAACCAGAGATAACACTGCGCACTTTCTCCTGTTCCAAGCGAATAGAATACCTATACTTAATGCGGAATCGTCTCGACGCGTTGAATGGAGGGACAACCAAAACCAATACAGTGGGGAAACTTTGTTTAGACAACCAGACCCTAGCCGCCTTTCAAAGGAAACCTAGAGGAGGCTGCTTAAACATGCGGGGAATCAGCCCAACTCCCAGCAGAAAGATCCAACCAGTGGTTTTTGGCCACTCGCATTGCAGTTCGTGCAAGACCTCTGAAACCAAGAAGAAACAAGTGTGGGAGTACCCTGTTGTGATTGGTTGAAAGGCAAGCCAAAAAAGGTCCCCCTGCCCTGATTGAGGAGGGCGGGTGCCAGCCGGTTCAGCTTGAGCAAATTCGTTCCAGCCTCTGTCCTGCCAAGGTTGCACCGTTACATATTGAGCGTCGACAGCAAAACCTGCGCTCATATGACCCATATGATTGCAGAATACCTTTTTTCAGATGTGGTATGTCGTACTCAATGAAGTCTATGCCATGCAAGTGTTTCCGACATGGTCATGGTATGCAATGCTTGCATTGTAACAGGTAAGATGGATGGTTGCCCACTTGTGCTTGTTTGCCTTTACTAATTTGTGTGTTGTCTATGCTCTTGTCCGCCCGTTCGCTTGCTTTCCCAGTGCTGCTTGCCCGTCCGATTGCCCGCTTGTTTATTTGAGTTTAGTCTTAATGATTAGCGGATCGAGTTTTGGAGTGGAGTAGTTGTGGCAATGTGCATTGTCGATGGGATATATTTTAATGAATTGTGTTATTTTTGATGATTATTTTGGTTTAGGATAGAAAATTGTGATTATGTTGGAATCGAAAAATGGATAGTTAATGTGTGTTGATATATAATTAGGTATGTGTTTATGGAGTAAGGATTTTTTTAGATGATTTTAGTTATATAATTTATATTTTATATAGATATAATATTTTACGAAGAATGATGATATACAGATGATGGATTTAAATAATATGATAATTGAAATTCGATTAGTTATTTTTAGGAAATTTGTTTGTAAGAGGGATTATATTTGTATGGTATTATGATATATGTAGTTTTTTTGATTTTTGGGCCTTTTGATGAATATATAAATATATGATTTTAATTTTAAAATATGATTTTTGTATTTTTTTGTTATATTTGTGTTTTTAGGTTGGTTTATGAGTTTTTTTTTCCAATTATTATTATTTGGGCTTTTGGTGTGTATGCGATTTTATGGGTTGTGATTTGGTTGGGTCTTAAAAAAAATGTATTTGGGATATTATTATAAGCAAATTATTTATTATAATTTGGGTTATTTGATTTTGATCGCAAAACCCCTACTTAATTATTAATTATAATATGTTTTTGTATTATAAATGATGATTAATTATATATTGGAAGTATATATATAAAAATAAAAGAAAGAGATAATAATGATTATGAAGATGATAAGAATGATAAGGATTATGATAATTATTATCGTAATATTTATTTACATTATTAATTTTGCTTGAAAAAGATAATAATGACAATTAAAATGATTAAGGGTGATGGTAGTATTTATAATGATAATTAGAAGAATGATGATAATTATGAATATAATAATAATATTGATGATAAATATTACCATACCTTTTATATTATCTATATTGTTTTATTAGAGGTAATAATGATTATGGGAAATTGTGTTATTAAGAATAAAACAATTATAATAAATAGTATTATAATATTTTTTTGCATTATTAATAATACTTAATGGTATATTTTAATTATTTATATAAAAAATAGAAAAATAAAATAGCGAGATGATGATGACCATCAAGATGATGAAGGGTGATGGTAATCGCTATGATGATGATTAGAATGAGGATGATAATTATGACGATGTCAATGATGATGATAATATTGATTTCGATTATAAATCCCCTAGCCAAAATTAGTATATTGTTGCATCCTCTATATTATTAGTGGTGCTTAATGGCATACTTGAAATATATATATATATAAAAATTAAAACAGGTGATAAAAGGATGATTATTAAAATGGTGAAACCTAATGATAATGATAGGTATTAAAATTGTAGAATGATAATGATAACCATGAAATCAAAAAGGATAAGAAAGGATAAATAATTATTATTTTAATATCCTCTATATTATTAATATTGATTCATAAGAAATGATGATGCTCGTGAGCATAATAATAAGGATAATGACGTTGATAATAATTATCATTGTAGTATCCTCTGCATTACTAATGTTGTTTCATCAGAGATGATGATGATTATGAGGATAATAATGTTAAGGATAAGAACGGTTATGATTAATTATTATCGAAATATATTTTGTGTAATTTATGGTGTCTAACGACATAATTGAAATGTATATATTTAAAAAAATAAGAGCTAATGATGATTATTAAGATGATGAAGGGTAATAATAAGCATAATAATGATGATTAGAATGATAATAATAATGATTATGAGGATGATTATTTCCTTTACATTATTAATATTGATGATAATTATTGAGATATTGAAGGATAATAGTAACCACTATAATGATGATTAGGATGATTATGATTATACGGATATAATAATGATTATAATAATCATTATTGTAGTATCCTTTATATTATTAATATTATTTCATAAGAAATAATAATTATTATGAGGATGATATTATTATCGTAATATCCTCTGTGTTACTAGTGTTGCTTCATTAGAAATGATGATGATCGTGAGGATAATAATGCTAAAGATGAGGATAGTTATGAAATTTATTATCGTAATATCTTCTATATTTTTAATGGTGCTTAGTAGCTTGAAATATATATATATATATATAAAATACAAATAAAATATAGAGATGATATTGATTATTAAGATGATGAAGGGTGTTGGTAACCACCAAAATATAATGATTAGAATGATGATAATGATTATGAAAATGATAATGATATTGATTCTGATTACAAAATCCCTGATTAAAATTGGTGTATTATTGCTCATATATGGGATGATGTTGATGATAATGATGATGGAGGATTATGATGATGGAGGATTATGATGATGAAGATGATGATGGATGATGATGATGGATGATGATGATAATGACAAATATATAAATATATAATAATTCAAATCTATATATTGAATTTTATATAGATTTAAATATTATATATTATATTTATAAAATTGAATATATATTTATAAATATATATATATGATGTTTTTATATAATTGTTTTTTTTTTTATATATAAATTTAATTATTAAATATCTAAATAGTTATATATATATATATTTCAATTTTATGTATTTTATTATTATTTTAATTTAAATTAATTTTGAAAACAAAATGAAACTATATCATTTAATTTTAGAAAATAAATTAATATATATATATTAAAATAATATTAGTTTTATACTCCAATACCTTATTTTAAAAATGACTATTTCACCTATTCTGAAAATATATTATAATTTAAACATAATCAATAATTAAATCTATTATCCTATATAATTATTAATTCATATATTAATATTTAAATATATATATATAATATATTTATATCATATTATTTTATTAATTTAATATTGTATATTCATATTTATATTCATTTTAATAATTCTATTATATTATTTCAAAATACTTTTCTAATTCTATTATATAATCATTATTATAATAACCTTCGAATAACACCCAGATCCTGCTTTAGCACTCCAGATTATATATTCCCGAGCATCATTAATCTTATAAAAATATATCTATTCCTTATAACAATATTTATCTCATCATCCCAATCTATATATTTCCTATCCAATTATTTAATTTATAAATTCTTAAAAATCAATATATATTTCGTATAATCGATATCGTGCTTAGAACACATACTCTCTTATTCGCTTATCGATTTGGCTCAAATAACCATCATAATGAATATTAAATTTACCTATTAGGCAAATAAAAAGGTTCATATTTTAGTCATGAATTTCCATATTACAATCGATTTTAATCATCAAGATTAATCATCTTCATCCTAACACGAATTAAAATTAAATCCCATATTACCTCTAAATACAAATTCGGTTTTTCATACAAGACCTCATAATCCTCATCAAACCATTTTCATATAAGACACAAATTCTACTTACATTCTTCCCTTCTACTTAACATCTTTTTTTAAAAAGACACCATAATCTTAAAAACATTTAATATAAGCTTCGTCAAACCAACCACCAAATTTATATTATTTTAATATCCTAGTAATATTTAATACAATATATATATTCTTCATATTTTAAATAAAGCATTTCTATACCTATATAAAGATTATTTATCCCACATAATGCCAAATCATATAAAACCATATATAATTTGCAGCCCACACTTGGATTTCTGGGAGTGAAGGGAGTCCATCACAAGTGGCTTGTATAGTTGGCCTTTGGCCCGAATAATTCACTCAATATTATGAAGGAACCAGGACAAAATAAAACACGTATCGCACATTTGGAGATTTACCCACCCCACTTATTACCCCCCTCCGCAAAGTGAACCCCTGGTACACAACAACCAGGATTCATAGACAATATGCATATTGTAAGGACAAGGCAATGGCTATGACTCCAAATTAAGAACCCAAGAAACCGCAGCCTCTAAACTCTAGACACGTCTTCCTTAAATATTACAATGGATTGCAGTAGCAATTGTTTTTAAGAAGGCAAATGCGAGTAAATAGATCCAAAAGAAATTTATAAGGCTCATAACCTCGAGATCCGCAAATGGAAAAACCATTGTGTGCCGAAAGGGAAAAAACCAATGTGCGAAACAGTCATACTTTAGGACATATTTGGATACTATAGTACGAGCCTAAAAGTAAAAATAACAAATGCGTACTACCATATATATAACAAAATAAGAGTCAACATAATTATAGGCAAAACCCATCTCTATAATATCAATAAGATTATCTCTATAACTCTAAAAAAAATCCCCTTAAAATAACTAAACATAACACCAAGCCTCATATACCACAACTATGAGTTTCAAGTTAATAATACAAGATTCATCATGGTTTGTTCGATCTAAGATTAAGTTTTTAAATAATTTAATATTTATTAATTGCAAATTCATATATATTATATCCATCCATATAATTGTTATATATCAATACCCAAAATTATCTAAATCATAAATCATTTAAAATTATTAATTTCTTTCCAAATATCCAAAAATCTAAATTTATAATTTTATATCATTATCAATCAAATCCCAAAATTCATAAAAATTAAAATATCACCATAAAATAATTCAAATTTAATTAAACAAAATACAATATATTTATTAAATCATAATTATACCATATTATAATTTTACAATATTTATATATAATCAAGAATAATAAAACCTATATGTTTAATATTAAATTCAATCATATTAATTAATAAAATCAAATTTCAAGCAGTTAATATTAAATTAATTTTATTATATCTATATATATATACAAATATTCAATAACATATATATTTGTATTCAATAAAATATGATTATACTATATTAAATCCAAATATAATACAATTTGTCAAGGCCATACAATTAGCCAAGGCATAATACATATTATTGTGTTAAGTCTCATCTATTATTTGTGTTCTTTTCTTGTCGAGTTTTCGGATTCGAGATTGTTCGGGGTCCATGTTGCTGGTGTACGTTCTGCTTGAGTTGCGTCAAGAAGCTGATCAGCAGGATTCGCAGGGCAGTTGACCTTCCAGTGTTGGAGATCTCCAGAGCGGTGTACTTGCTGTTCTGCGATTTCTGGCACTGGCGCTGTCGCACCGATGTGGAGGAACTGGAACAATGCGTCAGGGGCGCTTCCAGGCCACGTAACCACCGCGATCGCCTGGCGCACGTGGATGTATGGCAAAATGTGGCAAGACGCCCTGGCCCTTTGAATCTGGCCTTCACGACGAAGATCTGTGACGTCGCATGATTCGTCATAGACCATACAGGTAAGACCGTTGAAGACCTCGGGCCAAGGAAAGGGAGGCCATGACGCAGCTCAGATGCGCCATGCCAACCACGTTCTTTGGCTATGGACTGGCTTGTTGCTGAGATCGTGGCAGCCACCACACAACCAGCGGTTTCATCACAAAGTTGAAAGCAGTGTCGAAGCCCCACTTGCACCGAAGTCTCCTTCTCAGCCTGCATCCATCACACAGCTTTCTCACAATCCCATAACTAAACGCTCTTGAACCAGCCTTCGGAAAGTCAGCTTGGGCAATGAAGCCAGTCTTGCAGGTACCACCACGGGGCATCTGATGCCAGCTGCTCTTTGGCGCATGTGGTTTTGCAGTGCCTGGCAGGGTTGGTCAAACGGCGAGTTGACCTGATTTCTTCTGGGCGCGAAGATTTTGGCAGTCACGCCTGGTCCAAAGGACGCCTCGCCCAACAAGTGCACCAAAACTTGTCGATGGAAAGCCAAAGCTTGGGCTCTGATTTGTTGGCTGGCAATTCTCTGCGCACTAGCAGCAGGCAGGCTGCGCAACCGGGCCAGCAGGGATGCAACGGACTGAAAGAGCATCACATGCGGAAATCTGTAGTAGTCCGTTGCCGCAATCCAGTCGATCGCATCACCCTCCAGAGCGCTGGCCAGGGTCGACTGGTTCATCCAGGCGGCGGTTTGGGCTTGGCCCTGTGCCTGTACCAAACAAGCTGGAACCTGGCCATGCTGGTACTCCAGCGATCCCCAACGAACCGATGGCAGCCATTTGGTCATAAGCTTCGGGTCCGGAAGCAGAAGCGGCATGGCCTCAGTAAGCCAAGCGCGCCGGGCAAGATTTGCTCGAGCTAAGCCGTCCACTGCATGGTAGAGCTCATAGAAGGACATGACCTGAAGCAAATGGCATGCAAAGCTCGCTGTCAGCAATTCCGAGGCGACTGCATCGTTGTCCCACGGAACAAGCACTGCAGCATCATAGGAGAGTATAGTTCCTACGGTGCACCAAACAGAAATCTTGATGTCGATCAATGTGTTTTGCTTGGCAAATCTGTCCAGCAAACACGCCAAGAGGCTCATGGGCAGGTAGTGTGTTTGAAACGCCTCAGCTGCAGTCATCTGAGTGTGTCTCAAATAGGGGAGCACCAAAATGGTTGGTGTTCACTTTTATCCCCCTTGAAACAACCCCACAAAAGGCACCGCAAACAAAAGGCAGGCCCATTCGGAACACACATCTGCGGCAACATTTGTCATCTCACCGCATGAGGGCACATATTGGGCCCTGCTGTCGAGGTGCGATCAGGGTGTCGTCGCTCATTTGTCGAAGCAAGCCACGGAAGGCAGGACCAAAGGCTGCCCGACCTTGAACTTTGCGAGGAACATGATTCCACGAGAAGTTAACAGCGTGCCCTACTGTGGATGGACGGAATCCTGCACCACCTAAGAAACCCTGGAATGATGATTCCCTGTAAATACCAACAAACAATGGTTTGCCCCCGGTTTCAGAGCGGTGCAGGATTTTGTCCATCCACAGAATTAAGCTCTGGGCGCCATAGTTCTGGCCGCAGTGCGATGGCTGAAATTCGCTTGTGGTTTCTGGAACCTGCGGCAACGGCCAGGTCAAGAATGCCATGAAGCCCTCCATTGCCTGAGCTTCTGCTGAATACATACTTGGGGAACATCCTTGTATAAGGGGGGAAGAGGGGAACGTGAGAGAGAAAGAGTGAGGCTGTTTAGCCCACGAAGGCACAAAAGCGACATACCCTAGATGTACTACCCTGAACCCAGGAGTTGCTTGCCATGCAAAGCTCACCACCACGGGCAATCTGAGATGTGCTGTCCTTGACGTGCCAAGTCTTTCTGGTACAAGGAAAGCGGTGGAACGGCAGGAACCCATATCCCTATGGCGTGGTGGATCTGCGCGGCTCTGACCAAGTCCGTCACGACCTTGGTCGGATGATTGATGCCTCGATTGCCTCATCAGTCCCTTTGTCGCAATGTCTTTCATTGCCTGACGCTAGAACCAAAGTATGTTTTGCTGGTAGACACCTTGTGATTATTATAATACTTTCAGGAAATTATCAGAAACTAGGGCAATGACTAGTGCGGAGCGTCTTTGATGAGCAGACTTTGCTTGACCTGGTGCAGTGACAAAATGATGCCAAAGTCTGCAGTGCCTGCAGGCCTTGTGATGGACCATCCCCAAAGCGGAAAGATCCGGCAATGGATCGCGCTGACCACAGCAGCTCTTCCACGGAATCAGCTGGTGCCAAATAGGTCATGGCCAAACCTGAGGAAAATGCATGAACTGTTTCTGAAGAGATTGCAACCAAAGACTCAATCTTCCAGAACATCCTGAATGCTGCCATGAACCTAGATAAATCAAGAGGGGCATCTGCGAGGTTTCTTGAAGCATGTGGCAAAGAATATACGGCCCAGTACAAACTTGTAGGCTGGCATGAGGAAGAAATCTATCCGATGACACTATGAGCTGGAGCTCTTTCATAAGAGCCTGCAGACAATGGAGTTGCACTCAACACTTCTTGACGTCACATGCTCAAAGTTTGGCATGTGTACTTTACATGGAAGCAGCACAAACCCGCGAACAAGCATCAAACGCCTCCTTGTCAAAGGGTGTTTCAGCGAACTCCGCCCAATTCAGCATCTTCCCCAGGATTGCAGTAAAAATTGCGTCGTCCGAGCAGTGGCCAAGCCTCAGCGCTTGCCCATACTAAATACTGACATGCAGTTGCTGAGGCAGTGACACTTCACACCGAAAACGGCAATGATGAGACGCCGCGTGATGATCGGGGCAGCTCAAACCATAATACTGTTGCTCAGTACGGCCATCCAAAGCTGAATCGACTGCCGCGCCAATGTCGGCACACAGGCTGGGATGAGCTCCCACGATGGCCACCTTCCACTTGCCTTCGTGCAGCTCCGCCGACGGTACCGGCACTGCCGCCGCGCGAATAGTCCACGGCACACTGCTCTCCAGAACGTGACGCAGTCGACCGCTCTCTCCGCAGGACATGCAGGGTCCACCATCCGCACAAGATTGCGTTGAAGCCAGAAGTGTGGCGATGTCCTGACTCAATCTGTGGTTCATGAAACCATGCAGTGCCATGTGCTCATTGAATCTCTGCTTGGCCCCTTGCCAAGGAGGATAGTGGCCAGGAAGAATCCTCCAAGAAGTCCAAGGCGGCAAAGCCCCCGAGCAGTTGCAACGCCAGCAAAGCATGCCCTCTGTCGGGCAAGTGCAGGTTATGCCGCTGAAGCACGAACAGTGCAGCCACCAAACCAAAATGGCAATGACGAGAGTTGATCACGAAGGTAGGACTTGCAGCCCCAGTGAGTACCTGTTTGAGGGAGTATGTCCAATACTCGGGTGTCTTCCTTGCATATGGCCATGCGTGATACACCTGTATATATATATATATACACGATGCACTAGCTACACGAACAATAATGTGTATATTCGTATAAAACAATGTTATTCTGTATATATATATATATATATATATATGGTACCCCCCTTTTCATGGACCCTGGTTTGGTGTGCTTGACCTGTATTGTTCCAGTGTTTTATGTGTTTGTTGCTTCTTGGATTTTTGTGTCAAAGTTAGGGGGTGTCATATGTATGTATGATATGCATGCATGCATACATATGTGATAAAATAAATGACATCAGCATCTGCAATCTGAAAGAGTTTGAATGCATCCAAGAGCATTAGAACAACTCAGATGTTTCTAACTTTTCTTGCTAAAAAACATGGATTCAAGATTCAAGATTGAATCATCTGAGAACATCTTTTCTGGGAATCTTGAATCTTGGATCCCAGAATTTAAAGGCAAAAAAGGAAAAAAAAACAGGGTTGTCCCAATACTCTCGGTGTTCAATAAGATTCTCGGAAAAGGCTTCTGTGAAATATTTAAATCTCGAGTCTTCTATCCAGTGGTAACATACGTTCGAGGTTTTAGAACAACTTGAACATTTTTAGGGGTTGACCAGGATGGATGATTCTCAGGAAAGTTGTTGTTTGTGCAATCCTCAATATTGAATCCTCAATCCAGTGGTAAAGCACTTTGAAAATGGTCAAGAACTTAATGTTGTTTGGGTTTGGCCAGGATTGCTCAGGAAAGTGTTCTGTGAAATCTTCAATGTTGAATCTTCCATCCAGTGGTAAAATACTTTCAAGTGCTTAGCGATCCAGTGGAAACACTTTCAAGTTCAAGTTGTTAGTTTGAAAGTGCTTTTGGTGAGCAGTTTGTTTCATGTCAGCTGTGCTCATGTTGACCCTTTTCCAGGAGGTAAACAAAGCTGGGTGTCATGCTCAAAACACTGTATTTTACAGTACTTTTAGGAATAGGCGCAAGATCATTAAGGGTACTATGTATGTGTGTAATGTATGTGTATATAGTTATATATACATATCTATTTATGTTCACACACCGTCACCCCCTCCCCCTCTTGAACTACCTGTCCACATTAGCTCATCTACTACCTCCACCTTTTGAGATAGAACGAATTTTGTTTTCCTGTGCAAATGGAACTTTGAATACAACTGATTTAGCTAGAATCCCTGTTTTGAGATAGTTTTAGAATTTGAACCTCTCTTCCCTTAAAATGTCCCTTTCGAACACCGTCTAACAAGTTCAGTTTCGGACCTTTCTTATGCTCAAAAGGGGGCATGATGTAAATAACACAAAAGGCATTTCGCGGTTCCTTGTAGAGGTCCCTTAAATGTTTAGCCATATTGAGTACGAATTATATTTGAGAAGTAGTCTCTATTTAATTGTTATCAAAGGCTAATTGAATTGTGTTTGTATTAGATTATATGACTTAGATTATCTTTGGGAATGAGCTTATATCTAACTTCTGTTGTTAAAGATTAGTTGGAGTTTAGCCGAAACTATATTTACATTTTCATGTAACTCCTATTTGCAGAGGATTTGCTTGTTATAGCAGTGAACATAAGCACATGTTTAAAAACTATATCCTTACTAAACTATACTCAAAACTTCAATTCTAGTTGAAGTAAACTCCTATTTGGAAAGGGTATCATATTGGGACATTATGGAGGACTTCAGGCTCCAAATTATCAGGCTTTGGGGACCCACAATTGGAAATTTCGAGAATTTAAATTTTGAGATCCCCCAAAGGCATTAAAACCAGGGTCCAGGGGGGGGCAGTGCATATATATATATATATATATATAGTAACACATAAATTTCTACGTACGTATATGCCCCCCTTAAAACCTACATTTGCCACACAAAATTGTTTGATGTGTTAGTGTCATACTGCCCAAGGCGGGTAAGTTGAATTGGGCCCAGGTGTTTTACATATGTATGTGCATGTCAGAAATAAATGATCAACTCCGTGGCAGGGGATAGAAACAAAAGACGCTGATGTCAGTGGAAAACCCTGCACATGTCCAGCGTTTTGTGAAGAAGGTAGGTGTGTGTGATTTGTCTGTTGCTTTTGGGTTTTGCTTTTATTGCTTGCATTGCTCTGGCCACTATATATATATATATATGTATATGTACATACGTGTATGCATCCGTGCATGTGTGTAAGCAATGCATGTAATGTAGGCAATAGAGGTAGTGTATGTAATGTATGTAACGTAGGTAACCTAGGTAATGGAGGTAATGTAGGTAATGTATGTAATGCAGGTAATATATGTAGTGCATGCAATGTAGGCAATGTAGGTAATGTAGGTCATGTAGGCAATGTACGTATGCAGGTAATGTAGGTAATGTATGTATGCATGTAATGCAATGCAATGCAATGCAATGTAATGCAATGTCATGCAATGTCATGTATGTATGCATACACTATAACATATCTAATTATATATGTTGTTGTGGTCAAGAGGGCAGGGTGAGTGGTCAAGAGTCAAGACTATAAAACGCGAGGGTCTAGCATTAAATCCTGGCAGTTCACTCTATCAGTCCATCTACTCTGGTCCAAAAAAACAACCCAACAAACAAAAATACAGCTGGAAATCATTAGTACTTCTTTGTCGCGCCTGATGGAAGAGTGCTGAAGCAGCAGCAAAGTGATCAGGCTCTCCACGAACGGCGTCCCACAAGGCCGTGGCCATGGCCTGCGCTTCGCAGAGCACACTCCGCAAATATTTGGGTTAGATATGGCTGTGGCTCAAAACAGTGGTACCAAAATGGCACCCCAGTAAATGGAACCAAAGACTAAAACCTGCGTAACCGTAGCTCCTTAATTTTGAGCCATTCCCATATGGGGGGAACCCCCTTCATAGCCCAATACTCCGGGTTTTGACTCACAGGTTTCATGTCAAAAAAGAGACGGAGGGCCTAACAAAATAGTGGTTTCATCTGGTTTCCTTTTGGCTTCCCTTAGCCAAGAGTGAAAAGAGTAGCCTCAAAAGAGACACCATGATTGATACCCATATGGCTTGAGCAACACACTCCTGGAGTTGCCAGTCCACCGCAAAGCCAGCCAGTGCATTGTTCTGAAACGCACGGCGAAAAGCATTCCATGCCTCAATTGATTGCTTCACAGCTCCCTTGGGCCAAACCTTCTATGCTGAGAGGCGGGCCCCGTGCTCGGGCGAAGTGCAGTCTAAGGCCATCCGTAGCTCAGTGAGATTGGCCGAGGTCGGCAGCTCCTGGTGCTGGTCCTCTTGGTTCCTGGGGATGTCGAAAGACCTGCTAGACACCTGAGGCACCTGAGGCACCTGAGGCACCTGAGGCACCTGAGGCACCTGAGGCACCTGAGGCACCTGAGGCACCAGCCGTCAAGGATCACCACATGCGTTCCGTGGGGGGTGTCCAAGGTTCATGGCACGTCTTTCAACAAAACACAACAATCACTTCTCATGACATTGAAACCGTGGATTCTCAAGTAAGCACGGCACACTGAAGAGTCGTTGTAACACTGTGCTCCAGAATGCTGCAGCTTCGTCCCGCAGCTTCAGCATGTGTTCCCGCATCCCTTTGTGAATTTGCTGCAAGTCCGCCGACGATGTCAGATCCAGCAATTCAGGAATACTGCCGAATTGCTGAACCTGAGCTTGACAAGTCACCTAGTTAATAGCTTACTGCTGAAACGACACAAGGAGGGCAGCTTGGGAACAGATCAGTTGGCGTTCCAGTCCCGGGCCGGTCTGCCGAAATTGTGGCTCAATCAAAAATAGGAAGCCCCAAAGCGCATGGTGTCCCCAAAGGGGTACCCTCAGAAAAAGACGAGCCAAAATGGACATTGGCTGTGCCTCGCACGGTGGTTTTCCTCCTAGCCTTCAAGCACCTCGTTCCTCTTGTTTGACGATGTTGGCATCGAGCATGTTTGGTTGCATTGGCAGCCTATATGGCGAACTTAGATACAAACTCGTATGCAGTGTGTGACACTGAGTTTCCCACGTGCGGTCTGCTATGAAGCTCAGAAGTCTGTTGCCAGTGCAAAAACTTCATGAGGTCGTCTGGGCCTCTCTTGGCAGAGAGGAAGGGCGGGTACCTCAGGTTTGCCATCCTATACCCGCAACCGCAGACGATTCTACTTGTCAGCGGCGCACTCAAAGTTGGCATGGATACCGGTGATGTCAGGCAACGCCATGGAATGTTGAAGAAATCCAAAAGGCACTGCCTCAAAGCAAAGAAGATCAACGTAAACGTAACACCGGCACCTGCTATTTAGGAAACCGTTGAGATGAAGGTCATCGCTTGATTGTCACTGCATGTGCTCGCAGCCCGTCCCTGAATCACTGAAGGCCAGACTCGTCGCAGGCGGTACAGCCAGCTTGGCTTGGGTACAAACAAAGGCACACCTCGATTTCAACGGCTTTAGGATCTTCACCCCACCGCGTGACTGAGTTGCCCACCCAACGCATAGACCTCCACAAATGCGAACACCTCGTCTGCGGAGACAGCGACTTACTTGACAGGGATTCTTACGTTATACACCTGAACATTGCCTTGTAAATGGTGGTTTCCCTTGATTTTGGTGGAAAAAGCAACATGTTTCAAATGGGCAAAATGTATAAAGGAGCCCTGCTTGACTCTTGCCAAAGCCGGTGTTGGCCAACTGTGGTTCCCTGCCAGGTGGCTGTCAGATCGTTCGGAACCAGCACCGCTGCGCGATATCGAGCGATTTCCCGTGACGGCAGCTCGTCGGGGCCAAAGGAGGCCGCCATGACGAAGGTGAAGTTGTGACCTTATCCGGAAAAAAAAAAAAAAAAAACGCCATGCATTTGCTTGTTCTTCTTGTTCAAATATGTATATATATATATAGATAAAAGCCGTCAGATGCCTTGGGTTCTTATATATGTTTATACAAAAACCCAATAAAACCCCCAATTTGTGTGTTCTTTTTGTTTAACAAAAAGCCCAACGCAAGCCTCAACGCCTCAAGCCTTTGGGCCGGAAGGTTCCAGGACCCAAGCTGAACTCGTTGAGCCTCAAAAAGGCCTCCAGCACGTCCATGAAATATTGCCCAGGGAGTCGGTGCCAATACCGCGCACGGAGAACCAACACCTGGCAAAGCATTTCATCGTGGGAAGATGATGCTAAGCGACGGGCATTTATAGGTTTGTTATGTTTGTTACATGTTGGTTTTGTTTAGATGTTTTTTGTTCTTTGTTTATAAATTGCCTTGCATGTGAATGCTTAGTTTATTTTGCCGCGGCCTCCTTCCACCGCATATCATTGCCCCAGGCAACTCCAGGTGGAAGATAATGGGCGACACGCTCAACGACCTCAGCATCGCCGTGAGTGCAAGTGCTCGCTGAAACACACGTCGCGCTTCCGTCACAGTCACGACATGAGAGCGCTGCTGGCACCTCCACACCCGTCTGGTAGAGGCACTGAGCAGCTGCAAATATGTTGCAGGCTACTAGTACCCGCCTGGCGGAATGGCATGGACTCCAGGTGTGTTTCTGCCATCTGCTCCATAGCTATCGCCGCAAAATGCGTAGACCTGGGGCATAGCCTGTTTCACCACCCGCCTTGGGCTCTGCGACATCATCCGAACCTGCTGGGTTCAAGGGATGGCCAAGGGGCCGTGGCTCAAAAAATGGCACCCCAAATGGTCCCTTCCTAAATGGAAAGACTAAAAACCTGAAATGGAAAGTGCGGTTTGCCCGAGCTCTTCCATTTTGGGCCACACCATCCACACCCCTGTGGGACCTGTGGGACCTGTGGGACCTGCGGGCCCTGCTATTCAGCGGGCTCGCCCGCGCCTGGCCAAGCAACATGGCGCCGAAGTTCTCACTGGGCGGAGCTGCCCACAGTAGCTGAGAGCACAGCGTCATGACCTCGGCGCGAAGTTCGCAGCTCGCAGTTCCCAGTTCGCATGCCTTGCCCTGGGAAACCAACCGATTACCAGAAAAAGAAGACCGGTTCAACCGATTCCCGTTAAAAGAATGGTTGACCCAACTTGGATGATGAAAAAACCCTTGGGTAAACACTGGTGATGATATTAACCCAACCGTTGCCTTACTGGTGGCTTGAACTGCAGGGCTTCCCCTTTGAGCCGTTGCGAGTGGCCATGGAAGTCGACGGTGCCAAGACGTCCACGAGGTAGCATAATGCCAAAGGGCCAGAACCTGAGATATGGGCCAGGAATTGGACCGCATTTTTCCCCCGTCCGTGGCAAGCCATGTACCAGGGTAAGCCATTTTGAGGTTTCCGAGTTAACGGATTTTGACAGCCCCAGCCGTGTCAAAGACTTCTGCCTTCCTCCTTTTGAATGATAAACCTGCGCTCTACGAATATATCGAGGTATCTGCATGCTCACACAAACTAAGGGACAGGCACACGATCAGATCTGCATGAGCAAGGGCTGGTTCTTGCCAAACCCCGCCGAGGATGGCCAACGCATCTTGCACAGACCAGTCCACCTCCTCCTTAGCACAGCATCTCTGCGTCACACCCATGCTGTGCGCCCCAGGGCGAGCGCATACAATCCGGAGCTGTTGAACATGCTCTTCAGCAGCTCGGCCTTTCCAAGTCGAATCTCCACATATCACCCCAACCAACCCATTTGAGCAATCATTCAGATGGCTCAATAAGTGTGTTGCTAGCGCATCGTCTCCACAAGGTGCCCCCAGCATCTGACCTTTGCCAATACACAACTTCGCTTCACCTCTGGACACAGCACAAGCAGCATATGCCAAGTGCAAGCTAGCAGCACTTGTAAATGCAAGCGTGTTTCAGTGTTGTGTCTCCCGGCCGCCCATAGCACGGGTGGCCAAAATATGATACGGCAAGCATACCTTCAGGCAACAAGTGTGAGCGCCAGAGACGTGGCACGCAGCGCTTGCGGGCAAGGAACTGCTGTCATGGCCAGCTTTGCCGATGGCATCACCTTGCAAGGCTCAGAGGCACAGGCACATGATTTCACACGGGCACCTCTGAGATCAACCTACAGGTCTGACAACACAGCAGTGGCATCAATCGTGAAACAAACAAGACCTTTGGACAACTCAGGGCCAAACGCAATGCAAATACTGGCTCCAACGTGCTGGCAACGTGCAAGCCCATGGCCGCAATTTGCAGCGACACCAGCGGAAGCTGCAGCTGGAGAGCACTGGTCGGAAACCAGTTTGCCTTCCGTTCAGTAGCACATGGCACCGTGCCCTTTTGTGCTTACTGCAGCTAGAACTCGCCTGCGGCAATCTTGGTTTGGTATCCATGTTGAACAGCACGTGGCAATCAGAGGAAGCCCGATGATCAAGGGTAGAATGAAGACCTTACTTTCAGCCCTTCCAGGCAGAAAGAGTCATAGCAAACTCCTTCTGTCTGAAACTCTCCGAGTGGCTTAGATACAAATCCAGCGAACTCAATGGCCAGTCTGAGCTGTCCATGAAGTCGGTCTCGCATGTCTCTCCGCCCAGCAGTTGTTCAGCCTGAGAATCTTGACCTGTGCTTTTTGCTGAGGTTCCATAAATGGCTTGGGAGTTGGTGTGCACTTACCTGTCGCTCCCATACTCCCAAGTTGACAGGGTTCACTCATGATTGATGTTGAAAGGCGCTTCTTGACTACGAGTTTCCATCAGCTTCTCTGTGCTGTCTTAACCCCAATTCCCTTGTCCTCTTTTCACGGCGCTAAGGCCCCAACAACTTGGAGCAAAGGACGTCGAGCATGGCAGGTTGCAAGCCGCGGATCACCCGTTGTCAACCCGTGTCCTGAGGGGAGAAACACGTTCAAGCCTTGCAACGCCTCTGTACAAGGCTTAGAAGACATGTCAGCAGCATGTCCGTCATCAAGAGGCACCGTGTGTCGAAACTCGATGAAGAGCGCATGAACGTAGCCGTAGAGGCAAAAGCCCATGGGGTCCATGGCCTCGCGGGAGATCGCACTAGCACCCTGCAGTGCTTCAGGAAATGCGCCACACACCACATTGGGCATCTGGACTTACCTTATTCAAGGCCCGGCTCAAGAGCACAGCACACTGGCCAGGGACAGATCGTTGGCTTGGAGCCACGGCTTTCTTCCGAAGCAGCTTGGCGGCAACACATGCACATCTGTTGAAGGAATGCAAGAACAGCATGCCAACTCATGGTTATGCACAGGTTCACTTGCAAGCGCCTGATCTCGAGCCGTAGCATTGAAGGGCAAGAAAGACGGCAAACCTCCAGTTGTAGACACGTCAGTCAAAAAAAACGAGCCTCCCCAAGGCCTCCATCAGTTGGCATACTGAAGACTGTTGCTTGGCTCGTATTGTCCTCTGCTTGTGACCTGAAGTCATGGCACAATTGGCTGTTTCCCCTGCAACCGCGCCATGTGGCCAAGCCTGAGTTTCCAGATATCACCCGTGGCGGCGCTTCGAAGGTGTACCACCCATGCTCTCGCACCCAAGACCATGCCTTGGCAACACGACAGATAGACTCAGATCTCTAACACTACATTGACTACCCCCAAACCACTACCCCCAGAAGCCAATGGATATATACGGGTTACATAAGGGTTAGGAAAGGGTTGTATAAGGGTTATACGAGGGCGCCTCAATTTGTGCATATTTGGCTGCTGCAGAAACCAGGTAATTCTGGAGCTGCGGGTGTGTTTCATCCGGGTTCGCTGCTATCAGTTTTGACGTTGAAACTTGTGAACATCAACTCTTGGTTTGTGCCGGTATCTTTGTTTAAGGTGAACATCAAAGCTTTGCTTTCTTGGCAGCCAGTTTGGTTTGCTGCTTTGATCATGTCGCGTTTTTACGTACCGCCACATCCCCCGTGTTGGGGGTAGTGAGTCCCAAAACGCGCGGTTTGGGGGTAGTGGATTTGACTGGGCGATTTGGGGGTAGTCACGCGTCACCTGGCATGCTCGTGAAAAAAATGAATCATACCACTACCCCCAGTTTGGGGGTAGTTGGGGGTGGTAGGGCACAAATAGTGTGCGGGAGTGCCAGAGTCGGTGTGGGTGGCAACAGCGCCAAAATTGCTTTTCGAATACCGGGACAATTGACCACAAAGGTTCACCACTTTTAGCCGCGAGGTAGACGGGCACCGGGCTAAGCCATTCTGAAGAACTGTGCGGGTAGGGACTCACCATTCTAGGGGCCACGCAGCTGCAGGCAAGAAGGGTCCCCTGGAACACAAAATGTTGGCTTTTGGGGGTAGTGTTTTGGGGGTAGTGGGTCTTAGATTCTCTGTTCCTTCAAATGGCTATGGGTCAAACTTTTCAACCAGGACTTGGACCCCAGGTTTTCAGTCCTTGGCAAGCCATTTACCAACGCAACCCATTTTGGGGTTGTCGGGTTACCCTATTTTTGGCAACCACAGCCAAACCAAACCGCGAGCCCCCGCCTTCCTCATGATTCGAGATCAGCTCCACGGCCATCTTTCGCAGCGTCTCGTTTCTCGGATACCCGGCCCGCGCGTTGACGATCACCGCCTCCTGAAAGACCTGGTGGTTATGCCGCTCGCCGCATTCCCCGTTGCCGCTTTTTGTTGAGGTGCTGACAGCCCATGCCGGATCGAAGCTGGGGCCATTGCAGTTCAGAAATGCTGGCACCTGACGTTCCAAAGCGAAACAAGTGCGTGCCAACTCGATGGCCGGGCCTTGAACGTGTGAGTTTCACTTGGCCATAGTGCAAGCACGGACAGCCAGGCAGTCCACCTGAACAGCCAGAATATTGATTGACCTGCAAGCAAGAGCCACTAGCCTCATCTTAAGTCAACTTCTTCCAGCACCATCACTCTCCCCACCTCAGTTTGCGCTCACTTCTCAACAGCAATGCCTTGCTAAAGGAAAAAATCCAAAAACATCTGCGCAAGCAAACAAGAAACCAGGCCTTGGCATTGCGCTACTAGGAACTCAGAGCAGGACCAGTTGCTGAAGAGCTCCGGCTTTGCTTTGCCACGCGTCGCGCTTAGCTTTCCGAAAGGTTGCTTTTGATCCCAGTTCTTTCCCGCACGTAGTCTTGGGACCTCTGCCTATCTCCATATGATCTCGACTCTGCTTCGATGCAACTGTGCCTATGCCTTCAATGCGCTCTTGTGCTGTCTCCTGACTCCCCGTCATCCGTCTACACGTCCCTCTATCGATGTCAGAAAGCTTCCCCTCTTCTTCTCTCAGTCTTGCTCAACCAGCAGTATCTGATCAATTTTGAGGTTGCATCGCCCAAGCACGCGTCATCATTCCGTGCATCTACACGCGAATTACACGAATTGGTGCAAAGGTCCTGTTCGATAAGCCACACATGGCTGTGCGTCAAAAATACGTACCCAAAATGGAACCCTGGTAAGTGGAAACATGGACTAAAACCTGCGGTGCCCCGGTGGTGTAATTTTGACGCAGACCCACATCGAGGGGTCTAACCTTGAACAGAGCCAACACCCATGTGAGGATGAAACCTGTACAGGTCTAGGCGCTTCACCTGGACTGGTGCCGCCGCAAGCGCTTGCACACCTGTCATGACACAACATAGGGGGGGCGCAAGAAATTGTGGTCTTCCTGTTGGCTTCCCTTCAAACCCACCCCCCAAAACCGCAAAACAAAGGGCTCTTTCAACAAAAGACCATCCACTGGTTTGGGCCTGCTCCCCCTTGCGGATGTTAGCCGCCAGAATCTCATCCTCGGTATCCTCTGGCCAGGTGTCCATGGTGCTGGCCAGAAGCGCTTCGATGGGAGGAATGGCCCTGGCAGCTCAATTCCAAAAGTGTCACACAAGGCCCAAGGCACAGAAAACATGGGTGTGAATTTCATAGGGGACCCTGTGGTGGACATCATGTAGGCGGGGATTCATGTCCACCAACCACTTGTGAGGTGGTTGTTTCTTAAAAATCCTGGCCAAATCGTGCATCTGCATCTGTACACCCTTGGCTGTGCCTGCTCCTCTGTGTGTTGTGTGATGCTTGCTTCCGATGTGAGTTCGACTGTCGCGCCTGCAATTTTCCGAGGATAATCCTTCGTTTCTCCCTTACCTTGCCTGGGACATGATTCTGCTCGCAAGACCAAATATGCGCACGAAGTCTGGACTTGCTATGCCCGGTTTAGGGTGACTGGCACCCTATGAAAGGTATACGAGAGAGCAGACCGGTCATGCTGGCAAAGGTGTTAATGCGTGCTCCTCAAACTGCTTGTCTGAGCTTCTGAGCATGTTTGTGCTTTTTGTACCAATCCGGAATAGCGCTTGGGTCCGCATCACCAGCTGTCCGATTACGAACTGCATGATTTCATGGCGCCCCATTCAAGTCATCAAACTGTTGAAGGGCGTTCGCCGGCATCACAAGGCTCAGCTCGCATTCCAAGTCGAAGGTCTCACAACTGCCAAGCCTTGACTTTCACTGCCTTGTTGCTCTTATCACATGCCCGTACTTCCTGTCTTGGCTGCTGCTTTCTTCCTACTGCTGTTGCTGACTCCAATAGCTCAACCAAGTTGTGGCAGCTCTGCCTCTGATTCATCTTCTATTTCTTATGGGCATCAAGTCAACATCGGAACCGCAAAAAGAAGAGCAGCAAACATCATGCGTGTCTCCTCTCTCAGCCAATGGCCTCCGCTGCCTCTCCTCGATCTTGTCAAGGCCTTGCTTCAGGCGGTCCAGCTCATTCACATGATCCTGGCATGCTGGTAGCGTGCTGGCAGCACGCTGGTAGCATGCTGGTGGCTATAGTTGGCTCTGCCACTGCTGCCCAGGCCTTTGTTTCAGCAAGCTGCTTCTGGATATGCTGCAACTGCTCCGACAGCTCTCGCTGAAAGTGAGCAGCACCCTCAATGTCCTCCGACAAGTGAAACAATGCAGACAACAAAAAAATCAGCGCGATGAGTGCACTATTCATTTCATCAGGCTGTCTCAGGCCTCGGAAGGCAAAGCTGCACGCCGCAGCTCGATCAACTCCTCAAGCACTCCAGAAGTCTGCAAGAGCATGACTCATATTGCCCAAATATTCATTCAGAATTCAGGAATACTACTGTGATGCTCCTGCTCCTGCGACCTGAGGATGCTATCGTACCCAGCCTTCATGTCAAAGCGAATCAAATTTTCGGATTTGAAGTGTGGCAAATGCGCCCATTCAAACGCGCGTGCCTTGAACCTGCCCAGCACTTCGATCTTTCGCCTTTCCTCCTCTTCGTCATGCCGCTTCACTTCCATCTCCAAGTCCTGGCACCTGGACGAATCTGGACTCAGCTCGTCGCCCGGACTCGAGCCAGGCCTTGCTTTCAGCATGGCCACCTTCGCGGACTTCGGAACTTTGCCTCGACCATCTGGAGCCAGTTTGCCATTCAGGGCCTCAGCTGCAGAGGGTGACCAGGTCCCTGAGCCTCTGTAAGATCCATGCATCTTGGTCTAGACCCCACTTGGTGGCATTCATGGCCAGCCGCTGCAGGATGCTGTCCTTACATAGAATGTCTCTCATGTGATTGAGATGCACGCTTGCACTCAAACAATAGAGAAATGGCGACCTATCAAAGTGAAGGCAAAGCAACGAGTATTCTAGGTGTGTACCCTTTCGGACCTATTTTAAAGGGAATCCAAAAGGAAAACTACCATTTTGAGAGGTGCCACAAAAAATGACACCTATATCGGTAAGGGCGCTTCTATGGAAGGCAAACAGACTGTCACTGCACTTGTCGCAAGAGTGGCGGGTCACAATCAATGACTTTCAGGCAATGTCCATCAAGAAACACGCACAGGCAACCAGGCTGTGCTTTCATGCCGAGTTTCTGTCATCTCATTGGCAAGACGCTTTAACTCAGGAATGTGTGGTTGCTCATCCCGTCCTGCCATTCACACATCCAACTTTTCACTTCTTTAATTGCTAGTTGAGAGCAGTCCTGTGCCTGGGGCTTTGCGTGTCGCCAGCTTCGCCAAGTACCGGTCAATCTCCTTGCTAAAGATGTGCTGAAACTCCTCCAATGGCAGGTTGTCGACTGTTCAAGCAAAAACAAACACCTCAATCTGTCTAGTTGCCAAGTCAGCACGGTGCATTATCCTGCAGTGACATGGCGACCTGCCGTCTACCTCATGAGGCAAGTCCTCCCTCTGAGCCGAATGGCCAGGTTTCCATGCAGGGCTATTCCGTCGCTTGCTTGTGTGTGTGTGGCTACGGGACTTGCGATACTGGTAAACTGGCTCGGATCAACTACATAGACTCCCAATTCTCAAACACTTTTCAATGTTCCGTTTGGAAACTCGGCTTCCAGCTGGCGCCAATTGACAAGGTGCAAGTTGCCAGATATTCTGGCAACTCGAGGGAATTATTGTGTGCCCACCCAACTTTCTAGGGCGAGCATGACGCTTTCCAGTGATACGCGCCTGTCTCCATCCCCATTCCTTTTGGCAGCATCCTGCAGGATGTCTGCAATTACTTCGGGGCCTGCGGTGAAGCCAGCACCAAGCAGGAGTCGTTCTACCTCGGGAGGCTCACGCCGAAGTCTGAAGTCATCCGCCATCAGGCCTTTAAACTGAAACCTGGTCGGCGTGATCAAAGAACCAGCATTCAGGTCATCCCCATAGTTCACTGCGTTTGCCACGGATCTCTTCAACGGATGAGGAGCAGGCTTGTCATACCGAACTGATGGAATACCTAATGGCTTCGTCTCATAGTTGCGGCGGCCCCTGAGGGTGCATTTCCCCAAGTCGGAATCAGGCATCTGCTCCTCTAAGGAATAGGCGCCTTTGATGAGCCTACCAGCGCTGATTGGGTCATTGCTTGTGGGCTTTCCGAAGGCATGGTGTTGTGGAAGAGCTTGGATGGACTGAAGCTGCATCAAATTTCTGCTTGCCCCCAGCTGGTCAGTGGTGACCTCCTGAAAGCTTGCTAATGTGTCTTTGACAATCAGAGTGTTGGGCACTGACAAGGGCTCGGCCCCGCAGTCCATGCTCAAGGCAGATTTGGCGCCCGCTCCGCTTGCAGAAGTTGTGTTGCCGCGGCCGAAGCGGAAAATCGGATTGTCCTTCACGGAATGGGGCCACTGATAGTCTCGGGACAGTCCTTCCCCTGGCTCCGTACTTCCGTGAGTCCTCTTGTACAAAGCTTTCACTTCATCACTCTCTGGCGCCTTGCCCCGAGGGAACATGACATCCTTGGCACCTTTTTCTGAGCGGTCGAGCGGCAAGCCAAAGCCAGGGAACTCAGGCGCTTGGACAGCGGGAGGCAGAGAGTGTCCACGCAAAAATGGCTTTGCCAGGGGTTCCCGCTTCGTGCTATGGTAAACATCCTCTGCCCGGGTGTTGATGTACTCCGCAACCCCGAACTGTTGTCCAGATCGGAAATTCTGAGCTACATCTTCATCCTTGTTGCATTTGACTCCGTAGCCCTCCCCTGGATGCGGAACTTTGGCATTTGCGAGGCCCCAGTGCAAGCACATCTCCCCGGGCTCGCCCTTCTGGCGATGTCTCCTCTGCACCCCCGTCATGGAGGACGGCGATCGCGGGGACGGCACGATGATGCCCTCCTGCAGCCCTTTCCGCGCTGCTGCACCGCCGGAGGCCAAGAGCTCCCCAGCCTTTCCGGCCGGGGCCACTCCAGGCGCTGGGTCGTGCCTGGCGCTGGCAGCCGCGAAGGCCGCAGCTCCCGAAGCTGCCCTCGGGGTTCCAAGCACCCCCTGCCCCGTGCGCTGGAGCTGCTTCTCATTTTCTCGCGGCGTGAACCAGGCAGGCCGTGGCCCTCGAGCGGAGAGCATTGTGGGCTAGTGGGGCACCGCCGCAAGTGGCTACGGCTGGCCCTACCGGCTCTCTTGAGGATTGAGGATGCCAAGCTTCAGCTTGATTTGCCATGCTACAACATGACATCGCAACAGCAAGCGCTGCACATCACACGCACACAACACACGCAAGCAAACATATTGCTTGTCATGTTGGGTGTAGCGCTTGGATGCCTGCGTTATTTTGCAACACTCGGAGCCTGCATTGGATTCTTTGTCCAAAGCTTTCCAGACCTGCAGCAAGCACCCCAAAATGACTCCCCTCAAGCAGAACAGTTTCTGCGCAGTATTTGACACCTACTCAGTTCTATCGAGCTGGTCTTGGCATCTAACACCTGACTGTACCCTTCCCAGCCTCTGCTTCGAAAACAGAGGCGACCTTTTCTTCCCGCACTGCCTGCACTCCAGAGGAACCTTTCTGCAAACGCGAGCGGGACAGCGGGCTGAGGCCAGGGCAATGCATAGAACTCCTGGCCACGAGACTCCAAACGGGATATTTTTTTTTTTTTAAAGTCGAGGCGACACTGCGCTTTTTTGGAGCAAATCGATGGAACAAAAAAACGAGCGGGGGGGGGGGGGGGACAAACAACAAAAAACATGTCAATGCGAAAGTCACTGGTCAAACTCCAGGCAACTTGTATGAATCTTTGAAGATGCGTCACGTGTCTTGAGCATGCACGGAGCTGGTTCTGATTGGCATAAGATCTTGCAACTGTCCTTGGGCAGGTGTGTGGTCTGAGAAGTCAATGATGGACCGTACTGCCACTTGGGATGCCTCATGCAACGTGCACATAGATGTCCTCTGATGCACCCAACACGCCCCAACATCCCGCATGCCTCCTCCACAGGTGCACCGCGGGCACCAGCACCCAGCAAAGGGCTGGCGATGCGGAAGGGAGAGGTGCTGGATGTGGCGCAATGCCAAGCCTGTTCAAGGGCTGCCTCAGTGCATCGGCGGCACCTCATGCCATCAAAAGACCACCACCAGCCTTCCAGCAGTTAGACAGCAATGTTTCCCACTGAGGTGAGGTGTACATCGGCCTCAAGACACACAGCGTCAAAATACGTGGTACAAGCTCATCAGTTCATGTGGCTGTAAGCATCGATAAGGTGCGAGCGGAACTGCGTGAACAATGTGAGCAAAGTAGTCTTGCAAGGAAGCAGTTGCCTTGGCACACTGACACTGCCCCTGCAACATGCACATGCAGTCTTGTGATGCAAGTGATGCTTAGCTTATCTTGGACAAGCTGATTAGCTGGTGCACGGTCAGAGTTGAAAGGTCAAGCAAAGGCTACATGGTCGCACGCTCGTAACCACTGCTTCTCCTGCAATGCTGGCCCGGTCACTCCAAAGGCAATGCAATAGCTGTGAGAATGTGATCGGCGCACTTGCTGCGCCTGTCGGGCACTTCACTCCAGGTGCGCGATCCGGAAGTCGGTTGCATGCCTTGGAGGTGGGTGTACTTGCAGCTTACTCCAAAATTAGCTGCAGCTACTGCTAGAGTTGGCCAAGCTGTTTCAATTCGTTTGACTCCCGCTGTAGAAGCTTGGCAGACACAGGTGTGCAAACACGCAGCCACCCCTGTGAGATGTGAGGCAATGTGCCTCCTTCAAGGCATGCCCACCCAGCGCATGTACTTGACCATCCACTACCTGGGGCTCTTCGGCAACTCAGCAATCTCATTTTTGCAGAAAGAACATCTTGGGCTGACCCCGGCCTGCATGGGATAGAACATGGACTCTCCAGCTTCCATACCGCACCACCTGCCAAGCTGCCAAGGCATGCAGCGCATCTTCGCACCCCGGTGCGAAGGCGCCTCGAGTTCTGAAGCTCCGGGGGAGGCTCCACTCGCATCGGGAAATACGGAAGCTGGGTGCCCACGAGGGCCTCGTTTGCGGGATTGATCAGAACCTCGCAGAAGCCCAAAGGCGGCGAGGCCACAATGTCATTGGTGACGTGCCTCGGGCGGACCATTTGATGCCTGCTTTTCTTGACTCTCTTGGGACTTGACAGTTGCAGTTCGAAACATCTCAGCCGCCACCTGTCAATAGAAGCTATGCGAAGTGGGCCGGGCCAGCTCTCCTGTATAGGAACTTACCGAGTGTCACCAATTCATCGTGAAGCTTGCTATGATTCGGCACCCTGCCTTTGGAGTGAAGTGCTGGACCACTGCCGCGCAAGCCGTGGAATCTGCGGAAGTTGGTCGGTTCTCTGGTATATGTGAATGGCGGCTGTTTGAAATTCCTGGTTGCCGGAAACCCCATCTTCGCGGAGAAAAACTTGCGCCACCATCACGGAGCTTTCACGGGGCGGTGTTCACCACATTCGATGCACCGCAGCCGCTCGAAAGCCGTGCAGCACAGGGGGCCCGCTGGCCACCCAAACTTTCGCGGGTCTTGCCCCAACGTTTTGACGATCCGGCTGGGAAGTTGCACGCAACTCTTCACAACTCCAGCAAGCTCCCTTCCAGCAACGTATTCTTGCGGCAATCCTCAGGCCTTTCCTTCCTCTGATCAACTTTAGAATTTTAGTCTGTGATTTTTCCGCGCACTGCTACCAAATATCCGTTGGCTCATCAGTCCTTCTTGCTTCTAGCCCTTCATATCTGCATACAAGGACCTTTCGGACGATTCCCAAATGGCGCAGGCTGCCACAGACCACTGACATGGGGAGGCTGCGCGAAACACACCGCATTGGAACACGAGCGAAGCGAAGCATGCAGGCTTTGGGTGCTGTTGGGCGGTTTGGGATCTGAGTCCTGTATGTTTGACTCCGCAGTGCCAAATGTGCAAACAGCTTGATTCTCTAGACAGTACTACATAAGTTGCACGCGCCGACCTTTTTCAATTGCCCACCGGCCGCAACGACAGAAGAAAGAACATTGCCGCCCAACCTGTTCAACAGCCTGGCCCGTGCCTTGGCCACTTTCATGGGACCGGTGGCTGTGCTGAGGCTTGACTGGAGAACGTGTGTCGAACGTGTCAAACAATGCCCTTTTTGACGCGCCAAAAGATGGGCCTGAAAAAACTGCGGATCGAAGGGCTCGAACCAAGTCGGTGAATATCTTCAGTGCTCAAAGATGCAGGCAGGTGCACAATGCTTAGGCTCCTAGCTCCTTTTAAGGCATTGGCACTGGCTTTTGCCAGTGGTCAAGCTTTAAGCGTGAAACAACATGAAACAACTTCATTGCGTGTGGTTGTCCACCATTGAAAATGAGCCAGAACGCTAACGCTTGGCTATCACGCCCTAGCTGTTCGCTTCACGCTCTCTGTAGAAAGCGCTGATTTGATGAATCCTCTCCTGGCAGATTGGAATGCGAAACAAGGCTTGGCACCAGCAAATTATATCACGTCAAATACCGGCGGCCACGCCATGATCGGCAGCATGCTTTGCGCAGTCTTTGGCCGCCGTTGCGGTGGCAAGGAGCAGCAATGGTACGTCCTGGCGCTGCCAGTTTGCAGGGTGAGCTTCATTTCAGTGTCAGGTTTGGAGGGCAATTCCGGCGGCTAGCATCTGCCAGTAGCCAGTCAACCGCTCGCCACCACAAACTACCTTGCAAGCGCCCCAGCAAAGGCAACAAACCCTTCCGAGACCAAGCAAGAAAAAAAATAGACCCCTGACAAAGCAATGAAGCCCCGTCGTCTGCACAAAGGCCCCGGGCAAAGCTCCCCGAAGCAAATTTATGGGTGCAAAGCCCCCTGAAGTAACCAATCCCTACTAGCGGGTGTGGCTGGGTGTGGCTGGGTGTGGCTGGGGATGGCTGGGGCTGCGCCTGCAATGCCAGTCTGCCGTCCAAAAGTGGCCACTTGGTCATTAGTTTCCGGCCGGGACAGAACACAATATCCCAAATCAGACGCCAGCCTGATTAATCCAGACCACCAGCAGGAGGACGCAATAACCAGACCAAACCACTGCATTATTGTCATTTCCCTTGCTGAAAGTAATGGTAGCATGAAACTTGAGCATTTTCTTCGGGCTGGACCTTGGTTGTCGTACTCTATTCTGGCTGCTGATGCGTAGCCTGTGATTGCTGAGTCTGATCGCCCGGGCCCAATAGTTTCCTCAAGAATTTATGCGTGTTGTGTCTTTGGAATTGTGTTTTCTCCCCTCACCCGGCAGTGGACCCTTCCTGGCATCTCAATTCTCAATAGCACGACTGAAGCATCCAGGCCTCTGTATCTGTGCAGCTTTCTCAACAGGGTAGGCCTCAAAAACAGCTGGACTGCTAAATTGCAAGCATCTACCAGCGAACATCAGAATTCCAGCAGCACGCAACTGAATAAGAATATTTCAGGAGTCCACTGTCGGTGATGCGTCGATGTTCTTGGCAATCTTTTTCTGAGATGCGGATACCAGCTTTCACCAGTCGTGCACTTGAAGCTGGCAAACAACACGGACTTCAACTGAGGGTTGGACACGGTATCGAGGTGTGTAGAGCCGCGAGAAAACATCAAGTGTTGCTGCGGATTTGGATTGTAAGACGATCCTTTCCTCTTTCTCAGTTGTTCGAGTCAAAGTGTCCTCCTGCTCTTTTCCTTCATCTGGTCGTTCTTCGCGATCTGGCCAGACGTCCAGAAATGACACGTCATCTATGGTGATAAGCTTTTTTGACGGATCCTTGCAGTTGCTTGCTCCCACGCAGTCAAAGAGGGTCTGTGGATCACCATCCCACTTTCCTTTTTGACAGGATCGTCTCAAAATGCTCAAAGTCAATGTTCCGTCCCCCTCCTTGTCAAAGTTCTTGAAGGCGCTCGCAACAGAACCATAAAGGCCAGAAGCCCATTGCTTGAAAGACATCAGCACTTTGTAGTGATCTCGACTAAATTCTTCCATGCTGATGTAGCCCGAAGCGTCATTGTCAATGTATCCTTGGTCCAACATGCAAGCACGTGTATATCAATATATTTATATATACACATACAAATGATGTACACTAGGTTCAAGACAACTATGCCACGCAGAAGCATCCATGACGGATGCGCAAGGCACTCAATCTTAGCCTGGGCACTCCAGGCAGCGCCAGTGTCACCCTTGAATCGCATTCGCCTCCAAACCACATGCACATGAATTGCGTGGGGCCTCAAGCTTTTAAGGCCTGCAACCAGCAACAAACTCCATCCATGACACCTGGGCCGAATCGCGCAACTTTCAGCTCAAGGCGTGCAACACGTTTCACCTCATTTTGGCCATCGAGGTCCAGCTGTCGCCACGCATTCAGCGGCGATCCTGCAGGGCCACGAAAAAATCGCTGCCTGTTCCACATCCTTGGGTCCCAGGCCATATCTTTCGAGCAGAGCACTCTTGAAGGAAGCCCACTCCTGGCGGAAACGCACTTAGATCTCGAGTCAAATCTGCTCATTTCTCACGAGCTGTTTTTCGTGGCTTCTGCGGCATTTTGACGGCGGAGCTCCAAAGTCCTAACCCTGAAACCTATTTCCCCACAAACCCTAAACCTAACCTTGAAAAAACTAAACTCTCCCCCTAAACATAAACCCTAAAAAGCCGAAGCCTAAACCCAGAAACCCGAAACCTATACCCTGAAAACCCTTAAGCCTCTAAACTCTAAAACCTTAAGCCCCACAACCCTAAACTCGAAAAAAAACAATTCCGCAAAAAACCCGAACCTAAGCCCTGAAAACCCTAAACCCTAAACCTTAAAAACCCTAAACCCTAAACTCAAGCCCTAAAAGCCCGAAACCTAAACCGAAAAAGCCAGAACCTAACCCCTAAAAACCCTAACCCCTAAAAGCTTTATACCCTAAAACCCTCAAAGCCAACCCAAAGAACCTAAACCGTGGCAACGGCAAACCCTTGAAAATCCGAGCCTTAAATCTTTAAACTCTAAAAACCCGAAAACCTAAACCCTAAAAACCCGAATCCCTAAACCCTAAGAAACCCTAAGCCCGAAACCTCAACCCAAAAAACCCTACACCGTAAACCATTCCCAAACAAACTCGAAATCTAAACCCTAAAATCCCTCAACGTTTAATCTAAACCCTAAACACCCTCAACCCCAAACTTAAACCTTAAAAAAAAACACTAACAACTCTAAACCTAACCCGTAACAAACCTAGCTAAACCCTAAAAACCTAAACCGTCGAAACCCCAAATAAACTTAAACCTAAACCTAAAAACCCGACACCTAAAACCTTGAAACCTAAAGCCCGAAAGTAAACCCTCAAAAATCGATACCTACAAAGCCCTAGATGTAAACCTAAAAGCCCTGAACCTAAACCCAAAAAGCACTAAAATTCCTCAACCCTAAACTCGCTCAATTCTCACGAGTCCAGTGTTCTTTGGCAATGTTGAAAAACGTGGAAATACCGGCACATTTGACTTGTGAGAAATGAGTGAAATGAGTGTGCTTGTAAGAATTGAGGAAAAACACGTGTGAGAATTAAGGGCTTCGCCCTCCTGGCGTCCAACCGCACATGTCATGAGCACAAGCTGCTGCTGAAACATTAGGGCACGAAATCAATTAGGGATCTTTGGTGGACGTGCTTGAGGTGAGGGGTGATGTCTACCAACCACTTTTGAGGTAGTCCCCTACTTAAAGCAATGCCATTGTTGCGCATGGTTGCACACTGGCGCGCGAGCTTCCGTGTGCCTCCTCTGAAGGCTGTGCCGTCAGAAAAAGGGGCGGCTCCTGGCGATGACAGCAGCCATAATGTACCCTTGTGGTGCCTGGAATGACGTTTGTGGCATACGTCTGAACTAGGCAGCCTGGAACACATAAGCTGGATATATGACGGCAAATTCAGCTAGTATGAGCTGACATCATGTCAAAGTGGAGCCTTTAACTTTGCAGCTGCTTTGCTTGTGCGTTGCGCGCAATGCTAAGTGCCGCAATGCACAAACAGTGCTCGACGATGTTGCATCTAGCCAATCAAAATCACAGCACATGGGAGATTGCGTGCGCAAAATTATTCCAAGCTCTTATTACGCCGTTGACGCGGTTCGTTCATGCATGCCCCTGATCTACAAGTAATGTACTGAGCACCTGAGCTGCAATTGGCCATTACTTCATAGCAACTAACATCAATGAATGCATCACCAACATGGGCTGGCTGTCAAGTCAAACCAAGGAATGATACCGACATCAAAGCCGGTCCCATGCGTCCAGCCAGCACAGATCAGCCTGACCACACTCGAAATTCAAGGGCTGGCGTCAAATGTATCCACCTCCGAAATGAAGCCCGCATTGAAGAAGTCCAGCGCGGACAGCATCTCTGCCTCTCGCAGCTTCTTGGTTTTGCCAAAGCTGGAGGAAAAGCCAGCGCCTGATCGCCTTTGCACTTGCAACCCAGAACCTGCAACACAATCACATCTCTTGCAATTGATGTGTTCTCCATCTAGGGAATTGCGGAAATGAAGAATCCACTTGTGAAGTGGTAAAACTTGCGCAAATACCATGCCTTCAGGCTCTCAGTGAAGTTGCAGATCAGCATCTTCTTGTCAGAGTGCATCTGGACCATGCCATCTTTCTGTGGTCGTGAGCGAGCATTGACCTTGAAGCATGCTCGAATCAATTCATCTGTTGGGCGACTCTCAGACATGGGTTCCAGGCTACACACATGATTGCCTTTTCGTGCAAGCTGGAACCCGTTTATATGAACCCGTTCAGTCGCCTGAATCTGCATCTTCTAACATGTGTCTCGTGCTGCTGTGTGGGGAAAGTGTTTAAGGCCGGTGTCAAGTTGCGCTGTCCGACAAAGCCTGTTGCTGCTGCAAAAAGATTGCTCGTGCAAGGATTGTTCGTGCATTGACTCATGGCTGAACGAAAGCCATGTTGGGGAGGTTAGTTGTACCAATCTGTTCCAACCTCGCAGCAACGTTGCAACCCTGGTTGTCACTTTGGTGTTAGTGGTAGTCGTTGTAGTAGTAGTCGTCGTCGTAGTGGTAGTAGTAGTACTAGTAGTAGCACGAGTAGTAGTACTAGTAGTAGTACTAGTAGTAGTACTAGTAGTGGTACTAGTAGTAGTACCAGCAGTAGTCGCCAAGGTAGTGAGAGTATAGTAGTAGTAGTCGTTGTCGTAGTTGTAGTGTACTGGAGTAGTAGTGGAGTAGCAGTAGTAGCAGTAGCAGCAGCAGCAGGAGTAGTACTAGCAGTAGCAGTAGCAGCAGCAGCAGCAGTAGCAGTAGCAGCAGCAGCAGCAGCAGTAGCAGTAGCAGTAGCAGAAGCAGCAGAGGGAGAGTAGTAGTAGTAGTAGTAGTAGTAGTAGTAGTAGTAGTAGTAGTAGTAGTAGTAGTAGTAGTAGTAGTAGTAGTAGTAGTAGTAGTAGTAGTAGTAGTAGTATCAGTAGTAGTATCAGTAGTAGCGGTGGTGGTAGTAGTAGTAGTAGTAGTAGCTAAGTAGTAGTAGGTGGTGGCAGTAGCAGTAGTAACAGCAGTTGTGGTAGTGGTAGTGACTTCCCACTTGCATGTAAAGCTCTCGGACGCCCCACCCTAAACCTCTTGTCTTTCCGTGTGCATCATCATGGAATTCCGCAGTGTCTGATGCTCTTGTTCAATTTCCAGAAACCTGCCTTCCTTCTCGCAACATGATCTCATTTCTGCATCATTGTACTGCTCTGTGCCGTGTAGCGACAATACTCAGCATGGTTCAGCATCACAACTGGCACATTGGTACATGCTGCACAGTTGTCTTACTCAAGCTGCATTGCTGACGCTGCATCGAGCTTCCAAAGCGACCGCTTGTCAAAATGCAGCCTTGAAGGGAAAGGAGCTGAATATAAAAGGAAGGCATACCAGTACAATCGCTTGCGGGATCCAAGCTCTTGCTGGTCTCTTTCGGTTGGTCCTCCTTGCGCATGGGTGTGAGTGGCGACCCATGTCCGACCTATCCTGAGTCCTGTCCTTCCAACAATTCCATCTTGATATGTGCCGCGGTCAAAATCCGTATCAGAGTCATGGTCATGGCATTCCTAAATATTGACTCCCTACTCCTGTATCATGATCACTCCTAGGAACCCCAAGTAAAGGTGTCCTTTTACCAAGACAGCTACTTCACAGAACCACAGCGCAATGCACGTTGCGGAATAGTACAACGCAGGATATGTCAATGCACTGTAAAGCAAAGTGTTTGAAACATGCTGTGCGCCACACCAGGTCTTCAAGGTACCAGACCTGGACTGGCTGAGTTTGCAACGATGCGGTGTAAGAACAGCAGCATTGCATGATGTGCCACACTAATCCAGTCTAGGATTTGCACCGCTCGACAAGACCCGCACTTCTGGCGACACCATGCCCTGCAACACATACGTCGCAACGTCGCGCTGTATAAACATAGGTTATCGAGAAACTGGACAATCTGTGCAGCAAGACATACTGTCAAGCTGATTGTCAAAAAGCAGAAAGCAACTTGATTCAGCCTGAACGATGCCAATGCGACAGCACCCAGGGGCGAAACATCTTGCAGACAGACTTTGCCATCCTTGTCCCTGGCAACGATGCCCACCACAGTGGACAATGCCAGTTGGTCTGGACTGCGCAAAAACAATTTTAGGACTCTGACGAATCGAGGCTGGACCACAAGGACTGGATGTGCACATCGGTATCCTCGCAGGAAGCAACATCGTCTCCGAAAAGCAGCTCTCACTCCCAGCGCCGCTTCGTTGAATATCGCAAGGAGAACTGACAGAGCACCAGGCCAGCTCATGGCGACGGCAGAAATTCCGCAGAATCCTCATGTCTGCTCTGAACTGTTGTCACCCTGTCACTATGTTGCAGCTGAGCAACAGCTTGTCGATGCAGAACTTGCCATCAGTGTCAATTCCACGCCGCCAAGCTCTAGCCTTTGCGACTCAAAGTTAAGAGCAAAACGTATGGCTGTGGGTCAAGAATGGGAACCTAAAATGGAACCAGGTAAATGGAACCAAGGACTAAAACCTGCTGTCCCCTGATGGTTAAATTTTGAGCCATACCCATATCAAAACATGGCTTTCAAGCTGGCGTCTCAGCTGCCAGCGCAGGATCCATACTTTTGGCTCAAACTCTGCCTGACAGAATGCACACATCCCGTAGAAGCATGTCGTACTCCTTGAAAACGTCTCAGGCCGATTGGATGTGTCAACAATTGCCAGCAGCACAAGAAGAGAGTCTTTGCTTCTTGCTGGCGGTTTCTGACCTGGTGCATGTCGCACAAGCATTTTTTTTATGGTATTGCAGTTGTCACAGACAGATCATCACAGATCTGCCCTCAACCACGCACAGCACATGTCATGTTTCAGTGTTCCATGATGCACAGTCACTATGATTGTGCATGGTTGCTGCTCAAGCACAAAGTGGGCAATCACAAAAGATGTATGCCCGCCTCGCGCAGCCTATGCTGACCTTGCGAGGTATGATCTACACTGTCCGAGAGGCCCCTTGTCTCTACACTTCCGGGCTTTCTGGTACATCTAGGCACCTGACGCTTCACAATCACTAATGGCGGAAGACTTTCGAATGATGTTGCCAGCCACGGCCTGACAATATATCTATATCACATCCCAGGCAAAGGTCTTCCATTGCCGTGTCACATGCCTGGGAGCCAATCTGCTCAGTGGTGACTGCTTTTTGTGCCTTGGACATCATCAGATGCAGCTTCCAAGCTGATGGCTTCCACATTGGTATGAATGCTAAGTGGGGACGCGTTTGATTCGACGTCGCTTCGGTTGGGATTTATGTTTGCCAACCACTTTTGAGGGGTTCCTCCTTAAAATTGGAGTTAACAGGACGCTGTGGGCGTGCTTTTACCACGTCTCAAGTGGAGTTTCGAGTTGACCTAAGCTTGAAAAAAGGAGTTTACATGGGAACTGATTTGTAAAGAAAATCGGAAAAATCCTTCGTAAATTATAATGTCAAATAGAATATAATTGAATATTCTGTTTAAACTCTAATTGAATTGTAAAGTTCTACTGGGAAAGAAACTCTATCTAAATTCTAAGTGCAAGATATAGCTTTCCATAGACTACGATCAAGTGTGTCTGTATTGAGTCCCAGTTAAATCCTGTTCAAACTAAAATTGAACTTTAGAGAGCGGCCGTTGGTGGATGCGAATTGAGCACTAAAAATGCTACACCACCCGGTGTTTTACGGTCATTTCTGACCATGGTAGTGAGCCAGTAAAAAAACACACACAAACAAAACCACGAGTTTGGAACCTCCGAACTCTTTCTTTGTGAATCCTACTATTATATTCTACTCGATTTCTATCTGAAATTATATAGATTCAACAAGGGAAAACACTTATACGAAAATCTATTTAAAATTAGTCTTACTAATGATTCTTTCAAATTACATTTAAGCAGGGCGTCCTTTACAATTGAATTGTCTTTACAAAACAGAAAACGCAAATTTATTCAACATGTTGGGACCTCTGAGTTCTTTTCTTTTATGAATTCTGCACAATACAGATTCATCAAGTGTTACTTCATTTTGGGCTAAAACTAACAATAAATTACTAAGGAAATAATCCAATCAGTGGAAGCCATCTCTAGCTTACTGTACTCAGGCTTGGACGCGAACTGCGCGAGTGCACTTGAACACAACCGCTCTCACAAACAGACCGCAAAGGGGAAAATGCTCAAAAACCACATGTACAAAAAAGTGCACTCCCAGGGCGTCCTGTTTCGCAAAAACGGCCACATGGCCATGGGCCATAACCTCTGGCTCCATTTTGGGGTGGATGGAGATCCATTTGCAACCTATTTTGATGAACTCACCAGTACAGGGTTTTGACCCACAACCACATCTTGTCTCAAGAACCCGAAGCATCAGCTCGCCCTAGACGGGGAGCAGCTCCGACCAGTACACAGAAGCCCAAAGCCTGAGCCCCAATGACCGTGAAGCAAAAACCCGGGAAAAACCGCATGAGGCGTGCACCGCTGCATCTGCCCCCGTGATTTCATCTTCTCTTCAAAGATGGCCTTGTCCCTTTCCTGAGGCTAGCGTCCATGAAAAAAAAAGCCGTATGTCTAGCCGGCCTGGCTATCCCTCTCGAGGAAGAGAACCTCCTCAGCTGCAACATGTTGGATGGACTGCGAAGCGCTCAAGGACGGTTCCTCTTTGTTCACTTGCCCGCTCTCATCAATATCGATGAAGTCAAACAAGTAGGACAACTCCTCTGCCTGAGCGGCAGAGGAGTATGCATGTGCTGGAGCGATCCTGCAAATGCAAGCAGGACTAAGCTGCGATCGGTTCCTTCAAAGCCGCTTGACATGCAAGCAGCAACCCAACCTCAGCTGCAACAATGAGAACAAACATACAGCAGCATGTTGAACGGCCTTCACGGTCCAGATTCCCTGCTTGATTGACGTCGATCACAGTCCACATGTTGGCCTGAGCTTGCAACAAATGTGTCCCGCTTGCTTTTTTGGGGGGGATACCTGCGTGGTGTTCTTGACACGCCTGTCGCATGTTTCTTGAGGCGACTGCTGGGCTGCCAAAGGCGTCTTTGATCCAATTGCGGATGCGGTTCACCAAGTGGCCATCCGCAGGGCTGAGTTCCTGGCTCCCAATGCCAGCAGTAACATCTTCACGTGGGTTAGCATTTCGTCGAAACCAAAATGAGGGGGTCACCTACCTCTGCCAAGTCAGCGACTTTGAGCCTCCAAGCTGATCTCTTCAGCGTCTTTGTCAACGATCGTCTTGGCACTCAACTCCTGTCAAGCAAAACCCTCACCGTCTCCAACCACAGGGCATGAGACCCCAACGAGACGTCAAGCGTGCCGGCTGTGCCAGGCCAAGCCTTCTCAAGTGCCAGTCCAGCTCCTGGGCGTGTTTCTCGCTTCGCAGCGCGGCTCGATGGATTCGTCTGCCTTGTAGGGGACGTCCATGGACCCTGAGCTGAAGGCCCAGTGCAAAACCGCTGATCTTGTTGCACTGGCTAAGCTGCTGTCCATCTGGGTCAAGCTCCCGCCGCCATCCACGTAAGAGCAAGCCACCTCAGAGCGGGGGGTTAAATCCTGTGATACCCAAAAAAGTGCCAATTGATTTTTTCGGGTTGGGTCGTGTTCATTTTTTCAAAAAGGGGGCGTGCTCCAAAGTTGTTCGCGCACGCACGACTCGGCTGCACTGTGGCTCGGGCCACCTCTTTCTGCCAGAGCTGCGTTCAGCGCATGACGCTCTTTCGCCTTCTTGAAGCTCTCATCATGCATAGATTCGACATCGGTGCAAGAGGAGCCTTTTTCAGTTGCTGATTCTGCTCCTCAAGCAGTGCAGACTTTCGCCTGCAGTGCAAGCCAAAGAAATTACTTGTGAATCCTTGCACTTGCCTGCCCCCTTCAGGCATTGCGCTCCACTACCCGGCATTCTAAGCTCATGCAGAAATTGCAGAAGTACGGCAAAGCAGGTGGTGCGATCTATTGGTAATCGCTGGCTTGCACATGGTACTTGGATACTCTGTGAACTACGGTGATTCCACGTCGCGCGATTCAATGGTGTTCATGTCAGAGCTGGTTTTCTGGACACTGGTCCTTTGTTTATGTGCTGAATTCCTGAGCCATCCAGACAGGGAGGAAATCAGGGCAGATGATCACTCTTGTCGTATAGGTGTGCTTCCAGCCATGCGCGTTTGGAGTTTTTGGCAGAAGAGCCGCTGCACATCGGGGCAAGCCGCAAGCTTCAATGAGTCGATCGACATCGCCTTGGATCGTGAAGGATTCAAGCATTGCACCAACAGGCCGGTGAGGCAGCAGCTTCATCGGGTAAGCTCCAGCCTGCTAAAGTCTTTGTACACGTCAAGCCAATGGGTGCTTTCACCCGACCTGCGCACAGCTGAAACATCTGCCAAGCTTGTTGCGACATGGTAAGGCGAAATGCCTCCATCGCGGAATTATCGCGAAGTTTTGCAGAGGCCTTACATAGATCACAAGCATCAGCCAAGCACGTGTGAGCCAAGGACAAAATCAAGAGGATATGGGACACTATTGGGCGGGCTCCCACGATGACCCTGAGACTAAGGGGCGTGCCGTCCATGGCTGGACACCGGAAGAGCCGGAAACCAGATTGGAAGTCGCATCGTAGTAGCTCACGTTTGAGGCATGCATGTCCTTCCATTGCTCCGTCGCTATGCCGCTCATCTGCGAGGAATTTCGGGGCTGGCTTTGGCCGGCCGGCAAGAGCTGGTTGCCGGCTGGCCTCAAGCACGTTAAACTCCACTCGGCTTAAGCAACGGTGCAAAGTTCAAAAGCTAAGGGGATGACTGAGTGAAAGCTGGGGCGCTTTGAGTGTCTGGCAAAGACGGCAGGGGAGGCGCAAGGCCTTCCTCAAATCGGCACACTGGAATTTGTGATTCATCAAAGTAGAGCCAAAGTTCGCACATGGCCCAAAAAGCTGCATGTCTCAGAACCCCACTGGCAAGGTCTTTGACTCTGACACTCCGACCTTCATCAAGGGCACCAATGTGAGGGAGCAAAGGGATTTCATCTAAGCCCGCTGCCGAGCCAGAACCGTTGGGAAGCGAAAGACGCAGGCCCACAGGTCGTGTCCCCAGGGCTCGCAACGTCTTTGGTGGTGGCGGTCTGTCAAGGAAATGAGCACCCAAAAAGGTTCCGAGAGGAAGTTTGAGAGTGCGGCCGAGCTGACTCAAGGCCAAGAGGATCCTGGACAGCCAGTTGATGTTTCTCGACCGAAACTTGAAGCAAACGCGGCTCCTCGTTCTTCTGTCCACTCGAGTGCTCCGCGGAGAAGCTCATTTGCATGGTCAAGCTCCTCAAATGCGCCACTCCAGCTGCACGCTCAAACACGTCATGCACAAAGGCCAGGCATCCATGCAAAATCTGAGCCAGCAATTTCCCTTGCGGGTTCTGCGCATATTTCTTGCAGGGAAAACTGTTGCAGCCATCCAAGGCCCAGGCACCAGTGCTTCAAGCTTCCGCTTGTGCCTTGGATATATGCTGCATGCATTGGATCGCAGCAAGCAGGCTGGAGCGCAGCCATGACTCGACAAAAACAAACAAGTTGGCCCAAAACAACAAGCATGCAGGTTGCAAGTCTCAATCAGACTTGCATTGCTCTGTGCGAGAATAAATATATCCTACAGTCTAAATGGCTGAGGTATGCGCCCTTGCCGCACACTTCCACTCTCCCACTCGCTGAGTTCGGACTCGTCAGCATCAGTCTCATATCCGGCCTACTCAGAGTGCTGCGGGTGGACTTGACAATTGCAGTGACTCTGACACAATGTGAGCGCTCAACTCGCCTCATAGCCGCTATCATCTGTGTTGGACGACCAACCTGAGAAAAACACACACTCTGAACTCGTACCCACATGCGAATGGGCGCGTATCTACACGCCAATGGAGTTCACCTGTCCAAGGTTCCGGGCCCAAATGCTCTGGGCATGCCTTGGCAAGCCGATTTGGACAAGGTGCAAGCCATTTGCTTGACAATCCCAGCGGTCTACTTGTGTGTGTGCTTGGCTCAGGTTTGCCATGAATGTTTGATATGTTGTGCCTCACTCCACTGCATTGAATGCACCAGGGGATGCTTAACTTGGGGCGCCAACCAGATTTTTGCCGGAGCTGGCCTGCCCTGCAGGTTGCAGCAGCTCCTGTTGAGTGCGACCAAGCCCAGCTCTTGCAATGGTGTAATTCCAACTCTGAAACTCTGTGAAGAGAGTCTCCTTCAAGCGTCCGCGGCGACGCTTCTCCTCTTGGCACTCAGGTGAGGGAAAACTTGGCCCCCGGCACAAACTACGTAGAGGGAACCATCATTTCCTTGACACCCCCCACTATTTTTGGAGCTCAAATTAGAGGTGGGGCCTAGCAGGACCTAGCATGTCAAAGCATTCAAGCACGGTCCTTCGACAGACGACGATAACTGCGGGCCATGGACAGTACCTGGCATTCAAGGCCTGACATGGCCATGGGTCAAAAGCCCGGTTAGCCCCCAGTGAACATCCCAATCCCCACAAAAATAGGTTCTAACATGGGTGGTGCACCTACCCCAAAATGGTACCATTGGTTTTGACCCACAGCCACATCTCCAGCTCTGTGCTCACTAGTTCAAATTGCTTGGCGCACCCAGCTCGAGGACGCTCCCGCTCCAGGCTTCAGCTGAGCCTGGCCAGTTTGAGTTGAATCCTGGGACGAGTCAAGCATGTCAAGCCTTTGCAGCCATAGTCTCATAGAAGCGCCTGCGTGTGTGCGTGTGTACGTGTGTGCGTGTGTGCGTGTGTGCTTGTGTGCGTGTGCGGGTGCGTGTGTGCGCGTGCGCGTGCGCGTAAGCGTGGGCGTGTGCGTGTGCGTGCGCGCGCGCGCGTGCGCGTGCGGGTGCGGGTGCGGGTGCGGGTGCGGGTGCGGGTGCGGGTGCGGGTGCGGGTGCGGGTGCGGGTGCGGGTGCGGGTGCGGGTGCGGGTGGGTGTATGTTCAAGAACTATCTGAGTCTGCTTGACAAGGGTTGTGCCAAGGCACTCCAGGCCAGGTAAAGCCAACCTTGCTTGGAGCGCATGCCAAGACATTGCCGCAACATGATGCAGCAGTACTAAGAGCCCCTCTGCAGGCTCTCATCCTCTGTGTCTAGACCGTTGACAGACGATTCACTCGGGCCTGGATGAGAGCCATGCAGGTGCAATGTGAAAGCGGCCATCCATCCACAAAAGCGCAATCGGCACAATCAACTTTGCGCCTTCAGACACATAGCCCTCACGTAGGCGCCATTTTTCACCTCCAGTTGCCAAAGCCTCAGTGGGCAAAGTGTGCAAAGTGTGCAAAGTGTGCAAAGTGGGCAAAGTGGGCAGTGGGCAAATCCGCATGCTGACTTGATGAGGCTGCGGCTGCCGAACGAAAGCAAGGGGACGACGCGGAAAACGTGGGCACCTATTTGCGGGTCCGCACAAACAACCCTCAACCTCCTCGCAGCGTAATTGCAGCGCCTCCGGCCAACCTTCCTTCTTGGAAGGCCGGGATTGACCTCACTCACTCAGGGCGCATTCAAAAGCAAAAGTGTACGTTGCACAAACATACGAATATCATGCTGCATAGGTCTGGGCTGGGTGACACCTCAGATTTTGCAATTTGAAAGCCCGCAATTGTCGCAAGGAAACCCTCAATTGTGGCGCAGTCTGCCAAGTATGTAACAAAGCTTCGGACAAAAGGAGCTAATGAGGCAGCCGCCTGATCAATTCAAATCAGCACCACCATTTAAGTCCCCACCATTTAAGTCCCATCCGTCTATTGCCCGGTTCATTTGACCTGGCCAAGACAAGCCAGCCGTCGCCAGCGCCGGGCCTCCGCCATCCAATGCTCAAACCATCGGAGCGGACAAGCTGGAGGCTTTGGACGATTGGCTGCGCCCTCCCGGGTACTTTTGTGTCTACCCGGCTTCATGAGAACAAGTGCCGCTTTGGTACATTTTAAAAGAGAAGCCAAAAACTGACTCACTTGGCGTGGAAAGGCTTGGCGTATCATCTATTGCTGAGGAAAGACTCGACTGAAAGCGCAACGACTTCAGCGATGGATTTGAGCTGCACAGCCAGCCAAACATGCAACAGTGTCGCAAGGCGAGCGCAGCCCGTTCAAACCCCACTGCCTGCGTCAAAATGGAAAACGGCTGGGCTTGCCTGTTGCAGCTAAAGCGGAAGCCACAATTCTTTGAGCGCATTTTTGGGCGTCGAATGTCGTCTGGGTAGAAATAAGCCAGCACTCATCACGAGCTCGATATTTTAGAGCTACGACGAATGCGTCTAAAGAACAATATGCACACTTCTCTGGAATTGGCCTTGCTATTGCCCCAAGTGTTGCATCACTCAAAGCACCGGCAACTGAAAGTTCCTAAACATGGTAACAAAAAGTCATAAACGTTGGACGTGATAGCTAGCATGGTCTCACTTCTTATTTCAGAATAGCCCTAGGACCAACTTGTGCATCCCCAAAGTCCACCTGGCATACGAATCTCAGGCATCTCACTGAGCCATCATATCAGATCAGACAGCTGCTGCGGCCAGTGGCGTGCCTTCGCGGCAAGCAGGACACTCTCTACATGTGTCTCTCTTCCTCTCGATCACTATCTCTCTGACCAATATCAGTGTCAAAGACATGCATTTGTCTCAAGTGCATCTTCTCAAACCGTATAATCGATTGAGGCTCCTCGATGGACCCATTATGCTTCACCTGCTCAAGTCACTCGCCACATGTGGCAACACGGAACGAGCACCTCTCGTCCAGACGCAAGCTCAGCTCTCAGTGCCGCCACCTTCGATTTCAGCGCAGATTCTACCAGCAGAACGCAGTTGTGATTTGGCTGTGGGTCAAAACCCTATACCCCTGGTGAACATCAGAATAGGTGGTACATGAGTGTTCATTCGCCCCAAAATGGAGGCATGGGATATGACTCATGACCCATGGCCATTTGTACTGTGGTCAGCCCGGCCTGGGCATTGGCATTTTCTGCTGTCTGTCGGCTTGCTGCCAATTCGAGCATGGCATGGTCCAGTCTTCTCGCCAGTTGCGCGCGCCTCGGCATTGCCAAGCTTGGCCTGTGGATTTTTTCCGAACCGAAACTGAAACAGGCCAGCCCCGCAACTCAGCGACCTTCGGTCAGGATTCGGTGATCCACAACGTGGCTGTGGGTCAAAAATAGGTACCCAAAATGGAATCTTAGTAAATGGAGCCAAAGACTAAAACCTGCGGTCCCCTGGTGGCCTAATTTTGACCCACACCCACGTCAGAAGCCAGGGCAAGCCTCATGCTCAAGCCGCGCGCAGCGGGCACGCAACCCTTCCTCAGAACCACCTTGGTCAGGTTGGTCACGGTCCAAAGCCAAATTGAAACTAAGCACTGCATTGCTTCACTGGAGAGGATTTGCGGGCATGTGGCCAGGCAGCTGGCTGATTTGCAGCGGCTGCTCTGCCTGGACAAACACATGCTTTCCCAAGCTGGTGGGAGAACGCATGTTCAAATAAATGCAACTTGAAGTACTTGTTGGCAAGCTCCTTGCCCCTATTCGGCTTTGTGTGCTGTGGTCATTGCTTTCGCAAGCAGTGTTCTGCAACCTGTTAGGCATGGAACCGGCAATGGAAGCGCCATGCTTTGAAACCCTCTGTCAAATCCGCAGAGTCAACTTCCTCACTGTCACAACAAGCGGCTGTCTAGTCCGCACGTTTGCAACAGCTGGTCAATGTCCGCTCAAAAGCTGGCCTGGAACAACCACCATGCTTCATTCCCAACACGCAGCCCACTGTGTTTCCTCTCTATCGTACTTTTCCTGTCTCGCACTTTGTCACTTCACAGGCAACAGCGCCTGTGACTGCACCGAACGCAAACCTCAACTCAGGTTGCTTTGATGGAGCCCCTCTAGAACATCCGGAAATGGCACCAGCCAAAATGCCTCGCCCTGAGGATGAGTGCTTGACAGGACTGCCAATGCTGCGAGCAGTTGCAAAGCGCCTGAAAGTACGGAGTCAGGTCACCTTGGCGGAACTCGCATGCGAGCTTATGATAGCTGGTGTATGTGTAAGCCTATGGTCTCTGAATGCTCGAGTGAATGGTGTCATTCATTACTTGTCTGGCAGCTTGATGTGAGTGTCTTTCTATAGGGACCCTTTTTGGGTGGATGTTCAAAGGAGAACTCAAAAGAAAGCAACCAGTGTGGGGGGAGTAAAATCAGTTGCTGGCCTGGTCCAAAAAAGACGTACGACGTAAGGGCCGCTCCAATTCCCTCAGCGTCGCCAGGCTTGGCCACTGCAGCAGCCACTGCCGCTGCTGCTGCTGCAGCCCTCACCAGATCGGCTCAAGACCAGTGCTCTTTCTTGAGGCTACCCTTTGTGACAGGTTGGCTTAACGGGAAATAAGGAAACCGCCACTTTTTGGGGGGGGACGAGGTGCCCGTATTTGACGCAGTGAACCTCACTCGCTCTGAGGTTGCCGCCCAGTGGAAGAGTTGCCACTCTTTTCCAGTGCCAGCGCCAGCCGCGCCAGGGACTGCACCTTAAGCCCGAAAGCTAGGTGTGCCCTTTTTTCTTGTTAAGGGAAGCCCTTTATTGTGGTTTTAAAGGGAAACCAACTTGGAAACCCAGCATTTTGGGGGGGTGTGCGAAAAAATGACACACCCAGCATGAAACCAAACAGAAACCCGAGGCGGCGACAAAAGACGGTTCTGGTGAAAGCGCCTCAGGCGCTTTAAGCAACACACGCAAAACCCAAAGAACCAGTTCTTGCCTGCTCTGGCTGTGTACTTCGGTCGGGCTGTGTGCTTCGAGCAGATGAACCTCGCAAGCTGTGTGTGCATATGCGCGCGTGTGTGTGTGTGTCCTCAAACCGTCTCAGCACATTGAGCTGGACATGACTCAACGATGCACCTGGCCTGCGTCTGGTTCAGTAACCTGTTGAGAGCTATTGAACATGCTGACTTCTGGCGCGCAAGCTACCGCCCAAGCTGGCCTGCGCATGAGCTGCAGCAGGCCTCGCCTTGCCACGTTGAGCAGAACGCGCAAAGTGCACGCCCAGGCTGCGTAGAAGTCGAGGGATCGAACAGTTTGAGGTAGTCAATCATGGTATTCATATCTAATCTCTTAGTCCCCAGTCAGACGTCGTCTCACACTCTGGGCTCGCAGCCCGCGGTGGCTCCGGCGAGCGGCTCTGCTCGCGGCTTCCTAGCGAAGCAAATTGGGCAGCGTCTCTTTTGGATGTGTGAGACCTTATCTTATCTTACTTGCTTATGCCATGCCTAGGTCGCCTACGACCACTCCCGCAAAAACGCCTACGCGAGACCAAGTTGCCTAGACGGGCGTGATGGCGCGTATACACGACAAGGCGCCTCAACACATAGGGATGAACAAAATTGAAACTCTTCAGTACAAGTGTAGTACACGCGGTGCACTTTGGCAGCTCCAGCTGGACAAATCGCAACTGTTCAGTACAAGTGGAGCAGAGCTTCGTGTTGGCAGCTCCAACTCGAAAATCGCAGCCTTTACGTACACGTGCGCTACTCGAAGTACACCTTGGCAGCTCCTGCTCCAAGAAGCGGGAGGGCCCACGAAGGAAGGACGAGCCCGGAAGGCTCCCTCGGTTGGACATGTGGGATCTTAAACGTCTTGCCTACGCGAAGTCTGCGCGAAGCCTGCGCGCGAAATCTGCCGGACTTGAATGAACTTGGAAAACCATCTCCACAGGGTTTGCAAGCAGGGCTTTGCAAGCAGGGCTTTGCAAGCAGGGCTTTGCAAGCCGTCAAACCATCTCCACAACAACGCAATGCTTCAGATCATTCTCTGATTCCTAAAGCACGCGCCATCTGACATCGTCTACGCGACTGCCTGCGCAAGGCTCGCGCGTCCGCGAAGTGCCTACGCACGTGGCGTAACATGTAAAGAATGTCGCCACGAAGATGTGAGCCTTCATCCCAAAAAAAATGCGCGGCCAAACTGCTGGCCATGGCCCTCTGTCCTTTCCGGACAGGGGAAGCACGACGCAGTTTTCCGCCTCAGCTGGGCACTGCCTGCTTGACCTCACGCAAACAAACGGCTGTGGCTCAAAAAATGTACCATGGCAGCTATGGAACCGAAGGCCAAAACCGGTGTAACCCCAGCTCTTTCATTTTGAGCCACGCCCACATCATGTCTTCTCTGCGCCAGCCCCTTGCCCCCACCTTGAGGTGAACAATTGCGCAGCGGAGAGTCGCGACGGGGAGCAGAAACCTGATCAGAACTCCTTCGAAACTCAGCTCCTGCAGCAGTGACGGCCTTGTTCTCCCCCGGGCCTAGCACATCAAGCACGATATGCGCACATGTTGCACCATCGAGCGCCTGCACCAGTGCGCCCTGCAGATCTTGCACGACGAACTGGCTGCAAGTCCTACCCGCTGTGATCACGATGAACAGGATAGAGCGCTTGCGGATCTCTCTGTGCTGTTTTGGGAATTGACGCAAGCCGCTGTTTGCGTTTGTGTATTCGTGCATCTACGAATCTAGAAGCACACCTGCCTCGCGAGCGTCTCGAGAATCTCGCGCGTCTCGGCTTGCGCAAGATGTGCCTTGAGAGCAATCAGCAAATTGCCGTGCTCAATGCAGCGGAACGGCTATGTCACTGCAATTGCGGCAGTTTGCTGTTATTGCTGTCATGACCTTGGTCTATGCCTCTCTCCGCATGAGTAGTTTAGTAAGGTATTGCGAGGAGTCAAGCAAATGGTGCATTCCAGCCTGCTGATTGCGCGGAGGGAATCTGCAAGCTTGGCCCTGACCTTTGCACACAAGGCGCCATTGCTGCGAGGTGACGTTAGCTGAGCCACAATCAAAACCTGGTATCAAATAGGTCTACCCGAAATCGTATACAGAGAAAAAAAAACGAAGGAACAGGCGCTCCACCTACCTAGGCTTTGATTGTGGCAAACCTCTGCAAGCCATTTGACATCAGATCAGGATGTCGCGCACTCGTCGTGGGTGCTGCTGACGCAATGACTGGCCGGCCTGCAAAAGCAGGCCATGACCTCCACTTTCAGCAAACCTCCAAACACCTCATGTCTGAGGCCAGTATGCCTTCAGCAAAAGCCTCATTCATCTAAACCGTTCCAACTTAGCTTGGTGCTCTGATAGTTGGAATCGGACATGCGTCAGTGCACGCTGTTTTGCTCTTCATGCAGCCTGGCACAAGCCTGCGAGGCTGTTAATGTGGGGTATGCGTCGATTGGCAACAGCATCACATGCGCCGCACGCCACACAGTTGGAAAGCTCGACGCTTTTGAGCGTGTTGCTTCTCTCCCACTGTGGGCTGCGATCGCTGCCGTGGAAGAGTGGACACTGTCGCAGTAACTGTCTGCGCAGGCTGTTGACATGGCAAGCCATGCACAGCCAACGCAGCGTCTTTCCAAGGGTACATGGTATGGTTGCGACATCACATACAGCTACGCATCTCAAACTGAAAATTCCTGCACCTACACATGCAAATGCCTCGTCAAACTACCAATGGTGAATTATCCTCGTTGGACGCATCTTTGTCTTTCTGGATGTCTGCTGCAAACAGATACACCTGCAATGGACAGCTTAGGTTGCATGAAACTGAGTGACAGCGTTCCACCTCGTCAAATACTGGCGCAAAAGCGCGGGAGGTCGGATGGCCGTAGATGAGATGCTTTGCCTGAGGGCAGTGCCGGCAGGGCTACACGTGGGCGAATGATCTGCCTCGTCCGCTGCTGTCTTGAAGCTCCGGTTGTTCTTCCGTGCCTGGGCTGGTTTCCGCTCCCAAACAGCCCCAAGAGCTGTGCTTGTTCCCTTTTTACCAAAATACCAAGTGGTAGTTCTCAGCTACAAGCTAGGCTACTCCTAGTAAGTGGGACAGATTTGGCACACAAGCAAACAAACCAAACATCTTGCCTCTGGCCAGATCCACAACAAAGGCGATTCGAGTTAAGTGCTTGCTCGGTTTGGCTGCTGTGCCTTCAAGCAAACATCTGCGCCTGCTCAACGAAGAAGTTCGCCAAGTACTGGGTTACTCTGATGGCCTCAAATAGGACTGGTCGGTTCTTTGTGAAGTAGGTAAATGCCTGCATATGTGCATGACATCCAGTTTTCACAAGCTCCAGACAACAAGCAAATTGTCTCCTTCAGGCACCAAAGTCTGTCGCAGCTCGGCTCAGATTCTGACATCTGGAGAGTGTTTGGCCAGAATCGCTGGTTGGCCGTTCGGAAGAAGACCTGTGCTGATTGCTGATGGCTCCTCTCTCAGCAAGGATGCCGGCCGTGTTCAAACGCATTCTTCTCCGGGTGGAACTGTACGCCGAACCTTGGATGCTCTCATGTTGTTGCCTCCCCAGAGCCATGAGCCTTTAAGATCATCTGGTGTATGCTGCAAAATCAAGAGTACTGATCTTGTGCGCAAGTGTGCACGTTAGCCTGAGGATGCAGCCAGGGCAAGCCGTTACCCTCAATAGCGCTGACAAACTCCTAGGCTCATGATTGCCGTCTAGGGCACGAATACACGCAAGCCACAGTTAATACATGCTAATACTATGCTTGCAGGTGACCCGGACATGGCCCATTTCCGTTTTGAAATGTGATGTGTGCGCCCCTGTGATCCTATACTCCACGACGTCTCCTGACAACACTAGTGTGAATATTGACCGTTCCGAATGCGAGGGCGAAGGCAAGTAGTCTCTCCCCACTCCTTGCCGTCCTCGTCGAAGCTGGTTGCCAACACCTTGTCCACGCACACACTTTGCAACATGCTGCCTGTGACTCTGGTTCTTACGTTTTTCCTTAGAGCCGCTCAATTGCACAGACCATTGAGTCAGACATCGGTGCGTCTTGAGTCCCTGGCTTTCAATGTTTGAAGCTCCGGCTTCGTGCTCCACTCAGCCTCGATGCGACACATGTGAAACCGACTCACGGAGCCTGCAGTCGCGCAACTCTGTCCATTGCTTATTTTATGCCGCCGGGTATGTGAGCGGAGTTCGCCCTGCCAGGGAAAGCTTTCTGTAGGCCATCGTAGCCGAAATATCAGAAAGCACATCTGCAGCTGCACCAGCACTGGCAACAACATCCTGCACCTTCTTAAGAGCAGCAGTGTCCAAGCGGGACAAGCACTCAATGGCGCCAACATTGTCTTTGATCTGGCTGGGCCTGGAAGCCCCAATAATCGCAGTGCTCACATGTTGGTTGCTCAACACCCATGCAAGCGACAGCTGAGGCAGCGAGCAATTGAACTCAAGTGCTATACGTCGAAGAGCATCAGCCGCTTCGATCTGTCTCTCCTGCTTGGCAAGTCCCACTTTACGGCCGACCAAAGCAGCCCGACTGTCTGCCGGCACCCCTTGGCTGTATCGCCCTGCGAGAATACCTTCTGCCAATGGAGAGTATACCGTCAAGCCGAGGCCAAATTCGGTGTATAGAGCCGCATACTCCCTCTCAACACGATCGCGGTTGAAGAGATTATACAAAGGCTGCTCCATCAAAGGGCCTTGCACGCCCAGCCTTGCCGCAATGACGTGCGCACGAGCAATCTGCTCAGCCGACCATTCGCTTGTACCCCAGTAGAAAGCCCACCCTAAGCTTGAACATGAGCGAATCAAGTCACACCTCGCGCGAGACAAACCGAATCAGTCACACCTTCACTAGACTGCTGCCAAAGTGACCTCGGTCCAACACATAGTTCATTGCTCGAACTGTTTCCTCCATGGGAGTGGTGACGTCTGGACGGTGACAGAAAACCAGGTCCACGTAACTCAGCTTCATTCGCTGTAGCGCAGCCTGCATCCCCTCAATGATATGCTTCCTGGAAAGCCCTCGATCATTTACACCTGTGCCACCATCAAAGAGCTTCGTTGAGATGACCAGGTCAGATCGGAGGATCTCCCCAGACTCAAACAGCTGCTCCAGGGCCTGTCATAGAGAGCCGAAAGAGAGCCAGGCTGGCCGAAAAACAAGCCAGCCGCGGCGCGCCTGGCCCATGATGTATTCTGATTCTCCTGGGTACGCACCATAGACTTCCGCATTGTCGATGAAGTTGATACCAGATTCCACCGCAGCTCTAAGGATTTCAACCTCAATTGTGCCAAGGGAATCACCAATCGAGATCAAAGGTGGAAGCAAACACACCTGCATGCCGCTGGCTGGATTCTTCCGAGGTGCGTGCTTTTCAAGATTTACCTGGGAATGGTTGCTTCAGCAAGCATATGACATGACTGCATCTGATGAATGTGTTTCTCTATTGACACGAGGTTACCCAACAAGAAAATGCCCGAAGCTGAGCACATCCAAACTCCCCCTAGTTGCAGGCCAGTCCAACGACCGGATGTATGATCTATGTTGTCCAAGGTATCAGACTCAGACCAACATGATCACATCAACCAAAGACAGAAGAATGTCACCTTGCAAACAGAGGGCTGGTGAACATGTTGAGCCATCATGCGACCGCCTGCTGGCCTTTTATTTTTACCCGTCCACGCGTTGGTTGCCCCATCCAAATTCAGGTAGCAGCGCCTACATCTTGTGGATGAGTGCGTGCAAGAACAGGCAAATGCGTTCTCGTGCATTTCAGTTTGCAATCAGAAAAGGCCCAAGCTCAAAGCTAGCACTGGCGCCTAGTGAACATTCAGCTCGTTGTAACAATCTAAGGGCTCGAAGAAAGAGAGGAGAGAGCCGACAGAGAGAGAGAGAGAGAAAGAGAGAGAGAGAGAGAGAGAGAGAGAGAGAGAGAGAGAGAGAGAGAGAGAGAGAGAGAGAGAGAGAGAGAGAGAGACGGCGGCCCCGGCGGGCCCCCTGCCATAATACCAGCACAGTGCAGTGGCAGAAATGGGCAAACTGACCCCTGAACGGCCAGGCTGCGGCACCAGTCTGGGAGACCGTCAGCCAAGCCCCATAGGAAATGGCCGACACTCGCAGTCCGGAACGGCCTAAAGGTCCTCAGGCGCCAACCGCAAGCACTGGGCAAGTCTGAAAATCACGAAACCTCCGAATCTTATCCCAGGCGCGGTATAGCATTGACGAAGCATCCTTGGAAGTCTTGAGAAAGCAGACATATGGCCATGGGTCAAAAGCCCGGTTAGCCCAGTGAACATCCCAGTCCCCACAAAAATAGGTTCTAAAATGGGTGGTGAGTTCACCTACCCCAAAATGGGATCCCATTGGTTTTGACCCATAGCCATATTCCAGAAGCAAGGTTGCTCACTGAATCCAAATCCTAGTGGACTGCAGCATTACCCTTGAAGTCCATTTTCCTGGAGAGCAGCCGGAGAAACCGGCGAAGATCGGTTCTGCGGAGCTTTGCATGTGCTACCGCTCACAGCCCAGGCCAACAGCCACAATCTCCAGAACTGCTTGGAGCATACTGCCATGGCTAGAGGAGACAAGTGATTGCAATGCATGCTTTGGTGTTGTGACTTTTTGCCTGTTGTGCTTGGCTTGCCAGTGTCATGCTTATTTATCTATGAAGGCAGATGACGATACAGCGTTCATTGCTGCTACAGTGCTCACGATCAAAATTGAAGCAAGCAAGGAAGCCAGCCATAGCACACCTGTACAGAGATGAAAAGGCTGAAATTTGAATGTAAACTTGACTGGATTCAAGATTCAGACATTTTCCGCCTGTACAAGCCTGGCACATATTCAACCTGCCACGTGAGTTCCATCCATAGCACCATTGCAATGAGCCAAAAGGCTGGCAATGCACATCTTTCTCCAAAAGCTGGCAATCCTGGTGTCTCAAAAGAGGAATCGGTCCCCTATGGTTGGAGCCCTTCCTTTGGGGCTCCGAATCCCATGTTGATTGATACCCCCCACAACTGAAAAAGTCAGCCCCCGGCAGGGGACACCCCGCGATGATGTGAGTTGAAGGCGGTGTTCTTGAACTTCAAGGCCTCCAGTCGCTCTGACTGCATGCTCGGATGTGGCTCAAAATGGCTGCTCAAACAACCAGGTAACCCCAAAATGGGTTGCCCTGTGGAAACATGGGCCAAAACCTGCGGTTTGCCCCTCCTGTTTAATTTTGAGCCACACCCAAATCAGATTCACCGGATGTGTCAAAATTAGGGCCACCCTGAGATTGGTGGTTTCCCGGCGGTTTCCCCGTCAAACCAAACGGGGCAAGCGCCCACAAAGACACACCCATCGAGCTCACCAGTGGTCTCATGAAAACCATACCTGGGCTTGCGCTCTAAGCCCCAGACATTCAAGACTTCTTGGGGAGCCTGTCAGGGAACTCGCACTGCCTTTGATACGATCAAAACAACGCCATGTGCCAGGCACAAGGCATTGTGGGACTGTTGAATTCAGGCTATTTCAAGGCAAAGTCTGAGAAAGTGGGTATCAAATGGTTCATCCCTCGGATTGTCCTCAATTGACATCACAAACTCCAAACCGCTAGTCATCAGGGGGCAACAACGTTGTGCTGACAAAGAGCGGTCTTCCAGCGCATAACTCTGTTATGGCTCTGGGAGCAAACTTTCCAACTAGGGAGACGCAAAGTGAACGGCAGGCAGCGGCGGAAGGTTGTCCTACTTGCAGGCTCTGCTTATTTCAATGATATATGCTGCCAGAAATGCACTTTCGGGGCGCTGAAAGGCCAACTGCAGGTCTTCAAGATGCCAATGCGCAAATTGTGCATCCTACTCTGACTGCGTGAAGGTGAACCGTCCAGCAACATGCTCTTTCCCGGCTCTCTTCAAAGGTCGGCCTCTGCATCTCTTCACCTGCTTTGATCTCTCGGTAAAACTTAACTGTCAGATTTGAACCGGTATGCCTCTGCTTAGTCGTGACGCATTGCCGCGGGAGAGGGGCCGAGTTATGCATTGAAAGCATATGTTTGGAGCGCGAGTCAAAACTATTGTTCTGTTCCCGCCATGCAGACAATTCAATCGCTTAGTTTGATCACAGTCGAGGACATCAACATGTGTGCGTAATGGTGTACAACAAATATCCCTTCTCTGCTGAAGCTCTATGCATAATATGCAAGCATTGCTCGGCGTGTGCTCGATGAAAACAACACAACATATCTGCAATGGTCAATACAGCTGACATGGCGGAAGGAACGAATACTCCGAAAGTGGCCCGAGCTTTATATAGAAGGTTGATTCATCCTCGGCCTCGCCGAAAAGTCTGGAAGACTGTGCTGCCGGCCTCAGCACAGTTCACATACATATGTCCAAATCATAAGATTGTGTTTAAGTGACACTAAATGAGGACTGTCCAACAAGGACTCTGTTGCACCTTGCGTTCCACTGGACGGCTCGAACGCTAAGGATCCGGAAAACGTCCTTGATGTTGGACAAGCCTCATCTGTGGTGCCCACCGGAAGCGAAGCGGGAGGTTCACGTCAGACGCCCTGCAGAACTTCTCTTCGTATCTTCGTACTCGCTGGACCCCACTGTCCGGGCCTGAAGCCGGAGACGAGGCTGCTCGGGGAAGTGGCCGCAACCTCAGATGCCGCGAGAGCGCGCCACAGACCTCGAAACCTACTTCCGCTCAGGTGGCGGCCAGCCACTCAAAGCCCAAGCAGGTTCCCCAAACCGGCAGTTGGTCGTGAGGCTGGCCGGCCTGATGATTGCCGCGCGCGCATGGCTTCTCTGCTGATTGCACGGCTTGTTGCCTCGAAAAGAGCCCGCGAACGCTCCAGCACTTGCACGGCTGCAGGTGGCAGGTCTACGTCAGGACCTGCAACACGCCAAGGCATTCTAGCGCCTGCATCCTGTCTTCCGAACTCAGCTGCAAGACCTCCAGTGAAGAGGAAGCCATTGATCGAGTCAAGCAGGCGGTCCACCTTTCAAAGAATGGCGCAGGCCAAGTCCTCTGCAACGAAGCTGAGCCTCCACTTTGGTCGCATTGCAACTTACCGGCCTGAGATGCCCAGAGCCATGAGGCCAAAAACAAATCCACTGCGGCCAGAGTCACAGCCTTCCACTGAGGAACCCGCACAACTTGGCCACCAGCAGATTCGATGAATTTCACATACGAGGCGGGAAGGACCTGTTCCAGGCTTGCTTCTACCAGTCACGATGAAAACACGGTAACTAAAACGGTCAGAACCATGTAAAGAATCAAGAAGGCGGCCGCAGCTATTTGTGGTTGGGATTGTCCCCTTACTAACCTTCATCTACCCGGGTTTGATTGCGGCTCATTTGCTTGCTTCTGCAACAAGACTTGCAAAATCCGCCAGGCCTCACAGCTGCCTTGGCTTTGGCCACAAACCGTCCTGGCTTGGTCGCTAGCAGTCTGCGTGAAAACATACAAAATCGGCCGGCAGCACGGATCAGCTGGCAAGGAGAGAATGCCAATCACGGGGCTTCCCTGTCATTCCAAAGGAGATGCGTTGATCAGCAGCAGGGTGCCAGACCTCTTGAATGCGTGCGGCGGCCAGGGAGAATGACAGACACCTCGGCAACGACTGTGGCAAGCCGAGCTGCCAAAAGGTTCTGGCCTCCACCAAAAGCCACGCACCATGTCGCGAGCGGGAAAAAAGTGTGAGGCGTGGATGTGTTGACGGCTGTTACACTGTTTCTCCTTTCCAATGCCAATGCTCTATCTCATTACCCAGTCAGAGGGTGGCTAGAAGCACTGAATCATGCTGCTTGAGCCTGCTACAATGCGTGCACGAGCGCTTTCTCTCTCTCTCTCTCACAGAACAGTGCCCGGCAAAACCAGAAAGAGTGTCGGCCACGCCTGTTCCCGTGGGAAACGTGGCTCCTGGGTGCTTCTGAGGCATGAGAACCAATGTCATCCTGCTGCTGCCAATGCTCGTGTTTGTCATACTGACACAAAGTCTACGCGAACCCACAGGAATCACCGTGTGCTCGAGTGGCGAAATGGAATGCTGAGAGAAGCTCCGCGGCTCCAAGCTTTGGCATCAACAGTCCGAGGTACCTCACGGCCGGCATCTGAAGCGAATACGCTCAGTCACTCAGGCCCTCGCTGGTGCAGCTTTAGCCTAAGCGCTGAACGCAGTAGATACTAAAACCACCGGCAAGCGGCAACCAGGGAGATGGACTCACACACACGCACACGCACACGCACACGCACACGCACACGCACACGCACACGCACACGCACACGCACACGCACACGCACACGCACACGCACACGCACACGCACACCCACACACACACACCCACACACACACACACACACACGCACGCACGCACGCACACACACACACACACACACACACACACACACACACACACACACACACACACACACACACACACACAAGTGCAGTGCGGCCATTGGTCACTGAGGCCCAGACAACCACACGACCTGTGGAGCCAGCACGCCCAGATGTAACAGGGGTGCTTGCCGGGGTCGCCTGCCATCCGGCGTGTCTGGTTCAAGCAAACAGGCCAGTCCTGCCTGCCGTCCACTGACGGAAGCAGCCTGGCAATCTACGCAAGCGCAAACATGTGTCAACGGAGCAGAATCTGTCCCTTTTTGTGCATAGTCAATAATATCACAGCTGTACGTATTGGTTTTGCAGTGCCGGACGAAAGGCGCTCCAAAACACAAAATACACTCAAGCCACAGCCAATCTCGCAGCAGGCACCACGCGAATGGGTGCTGATCGGCCTGCGCAACTTTTGGCCAGGCAGAACACTGCATCATGTCCCTCAGGCCACGTGGGCCCTTACTTCAAGAGTCGCTCATGCGGGTGCGTGCTCTTGCCGAGTTTGCCACTTTTTGGGCTGCTTGAAGGACAGCCATGGCAAACCACCCCGAAAACGGTCACCACGATTTTGACACACGCCCATCAAGTTTCAGAGGCCTACAAGTCCAGGTCCAGCGCTTGACCTGGAAGCTGCGCAACATCTGCTCGCTTGGGGAATTTAAAAGTGGATTAATATGGGTATATTTGAAAGTGGATGTTAATATGGGTATACTTGGTGGGCATCATTTAGGTGAGGTTCATGTCCAACAACCAGCCACTTGTGAGTGGTTCCCTATTCAAAAAACAATGCGAGATGGTCGGATTTCGGCCAGCGAGTCCTCCACGTCCTTCCAAAGCGGACCACAGACTCCTGAAAATTTGACCAAGCTTCTTTTGGTAGAAATAGAGCAGGCGCGGTTTTGTTTGCACATGGACACGGCTGCTTGCACAGTGACTCGGCTACTTGGCTACTGCAGGTTTCCAATACGGTGGGTCGGATCTCCATGTGAACCAGTGATGTTCTAGCCGCGGGCCACTGAAGCCCTATGTCCAAGACACAAAATTGGTTTTGATCCAACATCTTCGAATTTTGGAAGCGGGTTCTGTACCATCGCCTTCTTCTGCAACCAAGCAAAAGGTACCCGCGTCTGGCATCTGCAAACTCGTTGCTTGTCGGTCGACCCAGCTGACCGCAACATCGACGGAATACGGAGGACCTGAACTCCCTGATGATCTGAACTTCAATGGCTGCACGTTTGCGCTGGCCGCCGATTGATGGTCGCACAAGCCCTGCGGCAGCCCTGAGGCGCTGGTGGACGAATGGAGAGGGACAGGCGCCTCATCTAAAGCCGGCGCAGGATGGCGGCAAGGCGTTCCAGCAGGAGTTTGAATGTGAGGACGTCCTATACCTGCCCAACCGCGAGTCGGATGACTTCCTCAAGAAGTCCCGTGAGGCTGGGTACGAGAGGTTCTACTAGCGCGTGACCACCCACCTGCATATGCGAATGCGTCAATGCTATCCATGGATCAGGCCGACTTCGGAGTGTACCAAGTGGTGACGATAGATTTCCACACAATGATGAAAGATTGGAATGGCTATGAACTTCGAGATTCCTCGAAGGAACTCGTCAAACAGCTGCGTCATCGGGTGTGTTATCCCGCAAATGAGCAGGAAATGAATCAGCGCAACAGGCGAGACAGGTGTAACGATGGTGGTTGGGTGACTTTTCAGGAGCTGATAAACTATCTGAGAAAGCATCCTCACATCCCCAAATCCTTGACGGCCAGCAGGGCAGCCACCGTTGACATGGTGGCAGCATTGCGCATCGACGTTCACAGGAACGAGATCAGCCTATTTATTCTCTTCTGGAAGGTGCATGAGAATGCCATATATTTGCAACGCGCGCCACGGCTTGGCGCACCCTATCTGGTAGGCGACGATGCCCTGCGGGCTTTTTGCCTTCGCCCTGCGTCACACACCTCTCTGGGGCTCCACATGCCCTCCAAGTTTAAAGTGCAAAAGTAGTACGCGAAGTGCATTCCCACGTGGCTCAAGAATAGCAATTCTCAAGTACAAAAATATAGCGCGATCCCCCTGCGCAGCGTAGGGGGGGGGGGGGGCTTTTTTTTCAAGGCCAACAATCGAGTCACCCGGCACACTGCCTCCTTCACAGGCATTGTGACCCGGCACGCTCAATTGCGGGACCGGACGCGCCGGAGTGCCGTGTCCTTCGCTGGACCTTGTCACCCAGCACACACAACTGCGTGATCCGGCGCGCCGGGTCCTACGCGGGCCTTGTGAAACGGCGCGCTGGGCCTTGTGAACCGGCGCGCCGCGCCCTACGCCGGGCCTTGTGAAACGGCGCGCTGGGCCTTGTGAACCGGCGCTCCGGGTCCTACGCCGGGCCTTGTGAAATGGCACGCTGGGACGTTCTTTGAAGCGATGCAAAATAGGGAGAACAATTGCGGAAGCGCTGCGTCCTTCCGCGTTTCAGCCGAGTGACCTGAAGCCTTGTTTTCTCACCCGCCAAAAGCAGGTTCCAGGACACTTGCAAAACCTCAAGATAGAAGCACTGAGCTGACTGAGCTGCGGCCCACGCGCCTGCAGCACATCTCTCTTTCATAGGATCTCCGGCAGCGGCTTGTTGAGAGCGCAGTTTCGCCTCATGTCTCAAGTAGTTTAGCTTACTTTCTGCGAATTGGTAAACAAGGAGAAAGCCAGCTCCTTTTTGCCCTCTGTGTGCTCCCACCTTGGGGCAGCACGCCCGACATACTGCCTGCCTTCTTCTTTCTCACCAATTCTCTTTCTTACCCAATCATCTCCTGCTCTTTGTATTCTTTGCACTTCTGCCACGCTAAGCCTTGGGGCCAGAAAGAATGCAAACCAGATGCGTCATGATGCGCAGAGCCGCAACTTGGCAAACAAGGCAGTTTCGCGAAACTGCTTCTTTTCATTTAGTCTGCTTACCGACGACGGCGGTAAGCAGCCTACACCATCCGAGGGCTGGATATTGGCTGAAATCCATTGATCCGAGCGTTTAGTCTGCTTACCGGTAAACTTACCGGTAAGCAGACTAAATGAAAAGAGGCAGTTTTTCTTCGACGACTGCCCGACGACGACCGACGACGACCGACCGACCAAAAGGGGAACCTCCCGCCGTGAGAGTTTCGAAAGCTGCAGTTCCAAAATTGGATGAAAAGGCAAATTCGGGAATCTGCTTTTAAGGCCCCAGGCCGCTTGATTACACATTTGCCTCTTGGAGTTGCGAGCTCCACCGCGCGCTGCCCCAAGATGGGGATCCACAGAGGGCAAGGGGCTGGTCCTCCTCCCTGTTTACCAATTCGTAGAACGCAAGCCAAACTACTAGCGACATAAGGCGAAACTGCGCTCTCAACAAGCTGCTGCCGGAGATCCTATGAAAAAGAGACGCGCCGCAGGCGCGTGGGCCAACAGCTCACACAGCTCAATGCTTCTACCTTGACATTTTGCAAGTGTCCTGGAACCTGCTTTTGGCGGGTGAGAAAACAAGGCTTCAGGTCACTCGGCTGAAACGGGTAAGGACGCAGCGCTTCCGCAATTGTTCTCCCTATTTTGCATCGGTTGACAGAACGCCAAACATGCTTCAACTTCATTTAGTGTGTGTCAGCTGCTCCCGAAACCTTGCTGAACGCTGCTGGGCGGGCTGTTCAAGTTGGGCTCACGCAGCGGACGGCCCGGGGCGCCGCGCCACGCATCTGAGAGCTTGCCGGCCCGGAGCGCCGGGTCCCGCGGTTGAGCGCGCAGGTCCACAAGCCCCGGCGCATGACCCTGCGCGCCGGGTCATGCAGAATTCGGCAGATTGCAGTTGCGCGTGGCTGGTGGTTTCATTGCTTTCGAGACACTCCTTCTAATTGCGCGATATTGCGCGCTGATGCGCGCTGCTATGCGCAACCACACGTCTCGGGCCGAACTGTTGGCGTTACAACCAACTGAGACGGAGCCCGAGCCCAGCGAGCGGGACAAGCGTGCACGGTGTGCGTGGGGCGGCGGGAGAAGGGCTCGGGGGGCTTTTAAGCCCAAAAACATTTCGTTTTATTGACGTAACCCCCCTCCTCAAGTTTAAAACGGATATAGTGCGGAAACTGTGCTGCCGCAGTTGTGGCTGCCAAATCGCAAGGTACAAAAGTAGTATGCGAAGTGCATTCCCGCAGTTCCGGCTGAAAACGCAAGTTCCAAGTACGCAACCGCCACGCGAAGAGCAGCGCAGCTCAGGATTTGAGATCGCAAGTTTTGAACGCATTCCCGCAGCTCCGGCTAAAAACGCAAGTTTCAAGCATGCAAGCAGCACACGAAGAGCATTCACGCAGCTCCGGATGGCAAATGGTAACTTTTCTGAGTGCAAAAGTAGTACGCAAAGCGCGCTCCCATGGCGCTGGCTCAAGAATCGCAACTTTTAAGTACAAAAGTAGTTTCTACACGCAAAGGTCGCGCGCGAAGTGCGCTCTCGCTAGAAAATCACAGTTTTTCAGCGCAGAAGTTATGTTCGGAGAGCGCACTCCGTCATGTCCAGCTCGCAAACTGCAACTGTAAAGCGCAAAAGAAACACCCAGTTGCACTTGCGCATCTCCAGCTTGAAAATCTTAACTTCTGCACGCAAAAGTAGTGTGCGAGGTACACTTCCGTAGCTAAGACAGCCAGCCTTCTTGCGCAGCCAAACTGCGCACTGCTTTGGACAAGAGAGGTTGACAAAAGAAACGAGTGGACAAGAGGTGCTGTAGAGCATCATGGGCAACACCACGCAAAGCGTCACACGCAGCATGATTTGCAACATCATGCGCAGCGTCACGCATGGCACCACGCACAGCTTCGCACACGGCATCAACTCACAACATCGCGCGCAGCAGAAACTGACATGAGAAATTGCGAAGCATGATGCCAAGCTTGCTCATCAGAACTTGCAGAGGCTAGGCTTGAGCAGGGACATTGACGTCTTTGCTTCTCATGAGGTGGGGGAAGCGTCAGAGTTGATTTAACGCGTTGCTTTGCTTCCGGGCCACCCATCGTCTAGTTGTTTTATATATATATATATATACTTTTTTAAAGGAGCGCAGGCTTCAAGCGTTTGGCTGCGGGCAAACCTTCGAAGGGTCATGCTGCACACAGGACATGTATTTTGGCCTTGCCAGCCTGTGTGGAGAGTGCATGTGGAGAAGAACGAGAAGAGTGGCAAAGGATGTGTGTGGGCCAAACCTGGAAGAAAGTGGCTGAGAGCAACGCCTGTCTGGAATATGCCGGAATTTCCAAGCCTTTCGTGAGCTTGCAAGGGCTGCTGGAAGGTTGTGGGAAACATTCGCCGGCAGCCAAGGGTGGCAAGTGTGGGTGAGAATTTCGAGCCAAGCTGCGGACGTGGTGTACTACTTTTGTATTTAGAAATTGCGATTTTGCAGCCGGAGCTCTGGGAATGCTCTCTGCGCGCTACTTTTGTACGTAGAAGTTGCGAATTTCGAGCCGGAGCGCGCTTCGTGTACTACTAATGTACCTTCAAATTGCGATTTTGCACTTTAAACTTGCAAGCTTTCAGCCAGAGCTGCGGGAATGTACTTCGCGTACTACCTTTGTACTTAGAAGTTGCGAATTTCGAGCCGGAGCTGCAGGAGCGCGCTTCGCGTACTACTTCTTATGTAGATGGAGCGATTGCGCAGCAGGAGCTGCGGGAGTGCACTTCGCGTACTACTTTTGCATGAACAAGTTGCGAATTTCGAGCTGGAGTTGCGGGAGAGCGCTTCGCGCACTACTTTTGTACTTAAAACTGCGATTTTGCTGTCGGAGCTCTGGAATTGCTCTTCGCGAACCATTTTTGCACTTTAAACTTGCAAGCTTTCAGCCGGAGCTGCGGAAATGCACTTCGCGCACCACTTTCGTGCTTAGGAATTGCGATTTTGCTCCAGAGCTGCGGGAATGTTCTTCGCACACTACTTTGTACACAAAAATGCAATTCGTGAGCCAGAGCCACGGGAATGCACTTCGCGCACCACTGTTGCGCCAAAAGATTACGCTTTTCAATCCTGAGCTGCAACGTACACCCGAAACTGCAGGAACGCACTTTGCGTGGCACTTTTGCACTCCCAAGTTTCCATTTTCCAGCCAGAGCTGCGGGAGCACAGTTTCCGTACTATACTTTGGTAATTGAGAATTGTCATTCTTGGCCGGAGCTGGCGCGACCAGGGGGGAATCGAACCCGCCACGCCGCGATTGCGAAGGCAGGCGCGCAAACCACGAGACAACTTTCACAGACTATTCGCGCGCAGCGAAAGCAAGAATTCGCACGGCGCCACAGCGAGAGTGCTTCGACGCGCACGATCTCCGCAGAGGGTTCGACGCGGTCAAAAAAACCGCACGGCGCCACAGCGAGAGCGCTTCGACACGCACGATCTCCGCAGAGGGTTCGCCGAGTTCAAGACAAGTACGGCGCCACAGCGAGCAGGATCTCCGCAGAGGGTTCGCCGAGAACAAGACAAGTTCGCATGGCGCCACAACGAGAGCGCCGACACGCACGATCGCCGCAGAGGGTTCGCCGAGACCAAGACACATTCGCACGGCGCCACAGCGAGAGCGCTTCGACATGCACGATCTCCGCAGAGGGGTGCGTTTCGTAAGCTCCCGTCGGGCCTACCCCCGCGAGAAAAAGAAGAAGAATCAAGAGTCGAGAAGCGAATGTACAAAAGAACAGTTAGCATGTGATTTTTGGATAGCGAAGTAACACCCGAAAAGTTAGCTTGTGCTTTTAGGATAGTCAGATAACACCTGAAAGTTGACATGAGAAGTTGGCAGGCGAAGTAACTATCAAAAAGTTGGCATGAGAAGTTGGCAGGTGACATAACTCTCGAAAAGTTCGTAGGCGAAGTTGGCAGGTGAAGTTGGCATGAGAAGTTATCAGGTGAAATAACTCTCAAAGGGTTGGCATGATAAGTTGGCAGGTGAAGTAACTCTCGAAAAGTTGGCATGATAAGTTGGCAGGTGAGGTAACTCTCGGCAAGTTGGCATGAGAAGTTGGCAGGTGAAGTTTGCAGCCGCTTTTAGAAGAAGAACCCTTCGCAATGCTTCCGGGAAAAAGAAGAAAAGAAGAAAAAATAAGAAAGAAAAAGGTCGGCTGGTGGCTCTTGCAGGAGCCCCTCATCAAAGGATTGATAGCCCAAACAAAGTTGCGCGGGAGACCCGGCAAGGTCTGCGCAGAATAAGCTGCACAAATTCGGGCAGCGTCCGTCGCGCCTTGCCAGGCTGGACGTCGTGCGCAGATGAAACAATAGAGATTTCTGGCGAGGCCAAATGGTTGCGAATCGGCAACGTCGAAGTGGATGCACGCTTCTTGATTGTTGCGCCAAGGCCAGCGCTTGCCAGTGTTCTGGCCATGCTTTGAGACCCGCCTGAGCCTGATGCTGTGTGTGGAGCTAAGCGCCGAACGTTGAGCTGGCATTGCTGTCGCCGGGCTTGCCTGGCGTAGCAACATACTTGGATACCACGAAGGAACGCAAAGCGACAAATAAAGAGCCATACTCATTGAGAATGGCTCGCTACGGGGCCTTTGCTGTTTGAAACACTGCTGCAGTAGTTGGCGCGTGCTGCGTCTTGAGCGGAACACGCAGCATATGTCTAACTCATGTCTGCAGCGCATCTAGCATATTCTACCACAGATCGGATACACCTCTAAAAGGACTCCAGTGTCTGGCATGTGTCTAGCGTAGTCCTAGCAAATGCAGACCCAAAATAGTTCCAACGCACGTCCTATCCGATTTGCTGGCTTGTGAGCAGCAAAGCTCATATCATTTCCAGTAGAGCCCCGCAGCCGGCGGGCGGGAGTTTCCAAAATACAGGAACCATAACTCTTCTCTTTCTCTTGTCTCTCTTGCTCTTCCTCTTCCTCTTCCTCTTTCTCTTCCTCTTCCTCTTTCTCTTGCTGTTGCTCTCTTTCTTGATCCGTCTCTTCTTTATCTTTCTCTTTATCTTTGTCTTTTTCTTGTTCTATATTTGTCCTTCGATTTCTCTTATCTGTCCTTTTCTGCCTCTCTCCTGCTTTCCCTTCTCTTGCTTTCCCTTCTCTTGCTTTCCCTCCTCTTGCTTTGCCTTGTCTCTGTCTCTTTCTCTTGTTCTATCTATCTGTTACCTACCCACCCATCTTTCTTTTTATCTAACCAGCAGTCCATTTAGCTAGCTGTTGACCTATCTATCCATCTTGCTGTTTATCTCCCTCTCTCTCTCTCTACCTATCTATCTACCTACCCACCTACCCACCTATCTATCTATCTATCTATCTATCTATCTATCTATCTATCCGCTTTATCTATCTATCCAGCTAGCTCTGTCTAATCCATCGTTGATCGAGTTATCTATCCTTTCTATCTATCTATTATCTATCTAGCAATCTATCTATTTGTCTATCCATCTAGCTAGCAATCTACCAATCCATCCACCCATCCATCTATCTAGCTAATTATATGTCTATGCACCTGCCTACCTACCTCTGTATTGATCTATCCGTCTGTCTATCTACGCACGCGTTCTTTTTATCTATCTAGCTAAGCTAGCTAGCTATCTTTCTGTTTGTCAAACTGTCTACCTATTTGTTTCTCTCTCTCTCTCTCTATATATATATATATATATCTATGTATCTATCTATCTATCTATCTATCTAGCTAGCTAGCTATCTATCTATCTGCCTCTCTCTCTCATCCATCTATCTATCTGCCTGCCTGCCTGTCTATCTGTCTGCCTATCTACCTACCTATCTATCTATCCATGTAGAGGGGGAAACTCGCGTGAGCAAAGAAAGTGCCGCTGCTGATGAAGATGCAGGGCGAGCAGCGTCTCATAGGAAAGGCGGCGCCAATAGGTGCAAGGCTGCTGCCACGCAGAGCAAAAACGGCGAAAGCAAACTGCATTGAGGGGCTTGGTGAGCGCAGCCTATCAGCTCGCCGGGGGCCCTGCGCAGCCTTGCGGCTGCCATGTGGCAGGACCTCTGTACTAAGAAAGCTGCGACTGCACACGTGTGCCTCGTGCATCTGTGCACTGAAGAGTTGTGTCTCTTGAGTGGGATCTATAAGGGATAAATGAGTTCTGCTGCTATCTGGTTTATGTACTGTGTGTGAAGCAAGTGTCCGTCTATGTGATCTGTGTCCATGAATAATCTCAATATGTTCCAGCTCAGTAAGGACTGTGAAGTGTATTATTGCTCACAAAATCGAAAAGGAAAACAAAAACGGAACTCAGAAAAACCAGAAAGTGCCAAGCTGAAATTGCTGACCGCAACGGAGTGGTTTCCCACTAGGTGAAGCTGGCAAGAAGATGCCAGAAGCAGAAGACTGCTTCAGCTTGGATTTCAGATAAGCACTTGACAACTTGAGAGCTGCGTGAGACACACAAAAGATCAATTCCATTCGTCCATGGCATTTTCCGCGTAGTGCCCAAAACCTAGCGTTCTCTGATTATCCAGGTTTGATACCGCCCCTCGAAACCATTGGTAAGCTGGATCTCTTCATTTCCCTTTCACGCATCACCCCATCACCAGTACTACAAGTACCCATCTGACATGAACTCCTGCAAAGGACCCTCTCAGAGCCCAAACCCAATCGGGGCGCCTGAAAATGAAAATGCGGTCGCAAAGTGCCTTGCCACCCGGTCAGTGCATCTAAACTGCAATGCTGGCAATGAAAAGCTTTTCGTTGGCCCTGCAACGCTGGAGGGTCCTACCAATTCTTGGGGGGAACCGTGGCCTCAGGCATGGTGGATGCGCCACAGCAGATGTTTTTCTACTACACATGCATACATAAGCCCTGCCGGATTGACTATCAACTGTGCTCTTCAGTCGCTGAAAAGCTCGGCACCAAGCGCTTGATTCATCGCAACATCCGGGTTGGCCACGGCTCAAACATTGTGCCAAGCCATCGCGTGCATCGCAAGAGTGTGATGTACGTATCGCAGAAGACACGAGATGCTGTTCCTTCCGTCCATCAAAACATGATGTTCCACACAAGGCAGCACAATCCACGCTGTCTGATGGAGGCAAGCAGAAAATGATGGTCTGACTCCATGCAATTGATGTTGGCAGTCCAAAGGCTCGAATCCGTGAGAACTTGCGCCCAGCGGACTGAGCTGAACATCTGCGGTAGAAGTGCTGCCAGGCGCATAAGACTCAAGATCAACCACGTGCTGCATCTTGAGTTGCTAGTCAAACTGGCTTCGCAAGAATCTTTTTATCCGCAACACAAACTCTAACCACACAAGACTACGCAGGCGTCAACTGCCATCCAAGCATGCTCTCAACGCAACGCAACAGTGAAATTGAGCCATGGCAAAACTTACGTTCACTATGCCTCTGAAGATTGCCTGAAAGAAGCCATGTACATCTGACGCCCAATCTTGCGACTTCCACCAGCTGCGCCACCGTTGGGCGCAAGCTTCTGCGCAAAGCCGCTCAGGCACGTCCTGTCAATGAGCTGTCCGTTGCTGGGTAATTACATCTGTGCGTGTGTGCATCACCAAATTCGGATGACGTGCTGAAAACCTTTCCGGCTCATCAACCACAGGTCGGCAGAAATGTTTCGCTCCAAATTGGGGGAAATCACAAAATAGGTGGATGCCCGAAATGTTGCAAGTACGGGAGCAGGGAAATCCTATGATTTGCCACAATCGAACACGATTGATTAAGGCGTGTAGTTGGATGCGGTGGGTTCACGTGCAATATGTTAGGCATCCTCCGTATCATTCGGCAACTTTCCCCTTGCTGAACAACGTGCATACAAAAGTTTCAAATCTTTCACCATCTTTCACCCACCGCAGGCATTTCTCGGCTCGTGTGAACCCTTAAGCGTGGGCAGTTGCGTAGGCGACCGTTTGAAAGGTTGGTGCGGTTAGTTTAGGGCGAAGGTGTAGAGTGTGTTGGTTCAGGGTTGGCTTTGGCTGAGTTTTTAGGTTGGTTGGTAACAAGCAGCACAGCGATACACTACGCGAAATCCAGTCCTTGTCTCACCGCCTGTTCCGCGGGGGTGCCTTCCGTATGCCAAGTCCGTGGGTGGGGCCAAGCATATGAGCTGTCATGACCATAAGGACCACAAGTTGGGAGCGCTCGAGCAAGCACCAGTCCACAAGTCCACAAGCCAAACTTTGGAATCCTCGTGACACCCCGTTTTGCGAATTGCTCTGGTCCGAGCTGTCAAAAAGGAGACCTCAATGGACGGTGCAATGCATGGCTCTCACCATGACCTCCGTCTGCGCACGATGACCCTGCAACGCACAAAACGTCACCAAGCTCCTAATCCCATGAAATGTCTGTCACATCTCCCACACTCATCCTCATATTGACTGCCAACAACAAGGCTTCAGAAATGGCGACTGTCGGAAAGCCGCAATGACATGTCCACTGCCCCAAAACGATGTGTCATCATGTGTCTGTAGCATTGTTCAAAGAGAGATGACAATGACCACGCTGATAAGGCCATTGGGTCCTCGCACGTCTGTGGCAACCACTCCACCACTAGGCCGTCTTTGGCGCTCAAATGCAGGTAGCTCGCCCTCGAACTTCGAAATTGCTGCCAGTGCCATAATGAATGCGACCCCTCCGCCCTCGGCTTACATACTGCCAACATCCTATCAAGATAAGCATGGAGTTGCGCGACTTCGCGCCGTCTTGGTTTGATTTGCAACCTGTGTTGTTTCAGTGCCCCACCTGTGCTGCAGCTAGCTAGCGTTAGTCCAATCAACCACAAATTCGGGTGGTCCTTGCAACTCGAGAACAGCTGATTCCTTTGCAGTTAACTGTGGCTTGGTTTTTGAAACAAGGAGAGCCGGGCCCAAGAACAAAGCACTGCACATCACAAACTCAACCAAACGCAGGTGCTCGCAAAAAGCAACACCGACAGCAACAACAATCTGTAGCGAAGTGGAAATCAACAGTGGTCACTGGGATTCGCTCAGCTGGTTGCTTGGCAAACATGTCACCAAACCTCCTCCCAATTTCCAGGCCAAGTTTGCGGCGCGTGGCGCGCGCGCCAATTGTCATAAGGAGCCGCGCGGCGCCGGCTGCCAAGACAGCTAAACTCCTCGGGCGCCTGTTGCCCCAGATCGACCAAGCTCACACGCTTTCCAGACCCCGACAATGGGATTGCGTTGGACGTACGAAGCTGCGTCATCACACACACACACAGGCCCACCGCCCGCAGCAACAGCTGGCCAACCCGCCAACAACTCGCGACAGAGGAAACGGCACGCTGAGTCTCGGGCAGCCAGGCGGTCTCCGGCACAGAAACATGCAGAAACATGTCACCAATCTTCAGCAGAAGCTTGCGGCGCAGGAGCGCGTGCCAGTTGTCATAAGGAGCCCGCGGCGTCCTCAGCTTCTGAAGAGGACTTGGTTTGAAGCTGGCCGCTTTTGTTGTTACGGGAAAGGTGTGCGTGGCTGCGTTGGCACCGCTCGGATGCACGACCCACTTTGCTAGCCCAAGAACACTGCAAGCAAACTGGGGGCAGGCCTCGTCACAAGGAGTGTCCCCAAGGTTCTTGTAAATCCCGGCGGCGATGTTGGGGGCACTGCTTGCGTCAGGGCTCGTCGCAAGGAGTGTCCCCGAGGTTCACTGAAGAAAGGGAACCCTGCCTCGGAGTTACGGCCCGCGGCATTTACGGCCACCCTTACACCACGAGCATTCGTGGCGCCAAAACCTTTCGCGACATTTTCCCGCGCGACCCGCACACTTGCCAATGCATGTATGGCTTCAAAAGCTGTTGGGTCACGCATCGCGCCCCTTTCACCCGCAGCACTCCAAACGCATTCATCGGCCTACCAACAATCATCCTCCATCAGTCCGGGCGAACGGCCTCCGGCACATCCCACCGGCAAACGAACGATGTGACCTCGTTATCGCTATGCCTCCCAGAGGCACACGGCCTCCGGCACTCTCCGTCACCTCCAACGTCGGCCGTTCCCCAGCCAGCGGCGTTTACATGGTATACTGCACTCTTGCAACGCTTCCGGCCACCGATCCTCGCTCCCTCACGATTAGACAATTAAACGAGAACCCACCCCCAGAGGATTCTTTGAAAAGAAGGCAAAAATTGAGATTTGCTCTAGCCTACCCACCAGGCACCTGGACAGCGATAATGACTGGACTTGGCAAGTGAATCAAACGGCTCGCGCAACGCACGGGAAGGCGTGTCAGACCAAGCATGCTCAGTGATTTCAATGCTACCCGTCGTTGCCTGCGATTCAATGGATGCACGCAGCTGCAGATGCCACTCGGCCATTGACCTGCCCAGGAGAAACACTGCAAAGATGTTACTACAATATGAACGATCCACAAGCTGTGTACTCTGCAAGGCAAATCCGAACAATATCTATACGCGCATCCTGGAACGAGATCTCCACGAAATGCACACTGCATAAAATACAAATAGAGGCTGAAGGGTGAAGCTTGTTATGTGGTTTTTGTAGCAACACTATAAAAAATCATCAATATCAATTGTTGAAGAGCAAGGGGCTCGTCCAGCAATGTGCTCCTTATACGGTCTCACTCATGGGCAGAACAAGGATGTACAAAGCCAGTAGCTTCACCAAAGTAACTGCACTGCAATGCGTATAAAGCCTTGCCCAGAGTTGAAGGTAGATCTTCTCCTTGTAGGCCACGAACGATTGCGATTGGAAGCGACAGTTCACGAAGAGCTTGGATAGCGTCGGCTTCAATGAGCTGTGCTATGTCTGCATTCTTGATCTTCATGGTCAAGCCATGCTGCCAACAATGTAGTAGGCTAACATCTTCCGGCGCAAACAGGGAAAGAGAGAAAGCATGTATCTTATATGCTACGTGGTATTGCTTGGAGTCGCATCATGCTTTAAGAGGTATCATACTTGTCAAGTTTAACGCTTCAAAATCAGCACATACCCAGCAGGGTCAAGACAGAGACGAAACAGATTCCGAGGTCATTGATGTGGCCGCCAATTCGCTCTGATGAGCTCATGATACCTGCAATCACCGTGGCTTTGCAGCAATAGATATCATTGCGTCCACCATGATGACATCAGGCTCAAATATGAGTATACAATTTACGTGCCCGAAGCCATAAATATTCCATCGTTTTGCTATGCAAGCGAAATCTGAAAAGCAAGCCGTCCGGCCCAGGATACTATCGATGCCGGATGTAGTTTTAGGCCTGGAGCCGCGCGCCTCTTAGAGCGTAGCTGAACAATTCGGTTGGATCAGACATTTGCCGCGCATGTGCTGAAAGCCAGTAGCTCATACTCAAAGGCTTCACAAATTGATAAAATGGATATGAGTCCATATGAGCAAACTCGGAGCCTTGTTTAGCGAGACACATCCTCCGCTACTTCCAGTATCATCACAAATGAAGTCCAGACAAACACCAAACTCTGCATGATTTGCGCTGCACCTCTCATCCAGTTCAGACACCGCATGTTCAGCATCGCGGGCGGAGCCATATTCGACCTGCGGCTTCCACCCGACAACATGGACCAGAGAGCCATGTCTGACGGAAAAAAACGGTGTGACCGTTTAGGTTTCAACACGGCAACGGGTGGACCCGGCCCATCCACGTTTTGGATCTCCACGAGGACCGTCGTAAAGCCGCAAAGCCAAGACCTGCCAGCCCAGCTGTCACTCGGCTCACGAGGCGGGCTGTGCCTTGCCATATGCCGAGACGGTGTCCTGCAATCAGACTCTCAGGCAACGGCCTCCAGATGTTTTCCAAGGAAGGGTGTGTCCTAAGATCCAAATGTTGAATGACCATATATCAAAACTCGCTTGCCCGATGAATGGACACTTGCATGACAGCAAGACCAAACTCAAGTCGAACAATGCCGTTTCCTGGAATTGTAAGCTCTCCAAAGCTCGCAAAACAAATATATTGGGATCACTTGCTCATCTCAATGATTTTCAGGACTGTTGCTGAGCCTATGAAAAATAGATTCCAAGTCAACTAGGCACGGAGCTAGCAGGCTGCCGCTGCGGGGCACGATTAGCACGTACGCCCAACCAACGGTCACAAGTTCGCGGCTCTAAGAAACGAGTCACGGCCCAAACTTCTACGGGGACTTGGCCCAAACCTCTGCTTTGAGTATCCTGTGAAGCCCGAAACACGCGGCTGGTTTGCGGTGTCCTTGAGCTCCGCCTCTTCCATATCGTTCGGAAGATTGGAGATGTTGACACGCACTCGCTCCTAGTGGGTTCAATAAGGCACTATATATATATATATATGTATGTATGTATGTATGTATTGTCATTATATTCATCTATATGTAGAATCTGTATGTACATCGGTGTGCCGGACACCTAAGAGAGGTGTAAGAGGATAGTCCGGGGAGTCCCCCACGTACCGCGCGGTAATTTGATGACGTTCTACTAAAAATAGTCTTTGGGGCGCTGGTGTGGCAAAACAGGGCAGGCTTGAATCCCCCCTTTGCTGGTTCGGGTTTTCCGCCTCCTTTTGCTGAAAACTTGAAAAACTCTGCTTTTGACATCATTTTTGCGAAAACGTTGAAGACTACCATGTGTGAGTGTGTTTTGTTTTTCTCGGAATAATACCGGGGAATGAAGGGGAATTGCAAGGGAAGCGTAGGGAAAATGAAAGAGACATGAACGGGAAATAAAGAGAAATGCAAGAACAGGAAATGAAGGGGAAAGGAATGAGAAATGCAGGGGGAATGAAGGGGGAATGAAAGAGAAACAAAGGACGAGGAAATCAAAAGACACGAAGGGAGATGTAGGGAAATGACTGCCAATGAAAGGGACATACATCCGGCATACCGAGAAAATGACAGGGAAATGAAGGGGGAATTGAAAGGAAAGGAAGGGGACATGACGAGGAAATCATAGGAAATGACGAGACATGCAAAGGACATGACGGGGAAATCAAGGGGAAAGCCAGTAGTAAGAAGACAATTTGGGGGTCCTGAAGGGGCAGTGCACGGAAATCGGGGCAACCCAGGGAGAAATGACGCTGCAATGCAAACAAAGGGAGAGGCAGAGAGAGGAGGTAGAGAGAGAGAGAGCAAGAGACAAAGAAAGAGAGAGAGCGAGAGAGATAGAAAGAGACAGAGAGAGAGAGAGAGAGAGAGGCATAGAGAGACAGAGAGAGGCATAAAGACGAGGGAGAGAGAGAGAGAGAGAGAGAGAGAGCGAGAGAGAGAGAGAGAGAGAGGATAGGGAGGACAGCGAGAGAGGGAGAGAGGACGAGGGAACAAAGGAAAAGAGAGAGTCCAATGTCGCCGGAGTGAGCCGGAGGCTCTAAAGTGTATGTATATATATATATACATATATATATATATATATGTATATGTATATATCTATATATCTCATGCTATATATTTGTGCCCACTCCCTTGTCCACTTGACACTGTCACTTGTGCACCTCGTATGGACGCCTTTGATCAGTGTCTTCGAGTCTCGCCGAGTAGGCTCGTCCCCCTCGATCCTGCAGCAGATTAAGACTAGCCTGCAAACCGCAAATCCTTGACGGGTCATTGCGAAAAAGGCTCCTCGTACCGCTGCGAGTCCCGACCATCGCGACCAGTACGCCCATCACGTTGATCCCGGCCATCACGTTGATCCCGGCCATCACGTTGATCCCGGCCGTCTCGCTGCTCCCGGCCGTCACGTTGATCCCGGCCATCACGTTGATCCCGGCCGTCTCGCTGCTCCCGGCCATCACGTGGATCACGGCCATCACGCTGATCCCGGCCATCACGCTGATCCCGGCCATCACGTTGCTCCCGGCCATCTCGCCCTTTCCCATCGCGGCCTTTACCTGGGCACAAACGAAGACAGGTAAACAGAACCTGTCCAGCCCCTTGGAAAGCAGAAGGCTGAACTACCCTCCAACCCAGGTGAAACTCTGTCATACACCGTCACCAGCTTTGCACTCCATCCCGGTCATCCTTAACAACACGCCATGTCCTCGTGCATCTGCGTTGCCATTGTAATTGCTTCTATCATTGTGGCCGGCTCGGTCACGGCCAGGCTCATCATATCTGCCACGGTCGTCGCGCCCTCCAGCACGGCTGGCATGAGTGTCTTCTCTCCGGCCATCACCTTATCATATGTCATGACAATTCCAGGTATGTCCGACAAGGTATTTGGCAACCTGCAAGCTGTTTCGTCGAGCGACGACGGTCGTTGAAGCTTGGCCGATCTCTTGACCGTGCAACTTCCTTGTCTCGGCCATCACGGTCACGCTCATCATATCTGCCACGGTCGTCGCGCCCTCCAGCACGGCTGGCATGAGTGTCTTCTCTCCGACCATCACCTTGTCATATGTCATGACAATTCCAGATATTTACGACAGGATATTTGGCAACCTGCAAGCTGTTTCGTCGAGCGACGACGGTCGTTGAAGCTTGGCCGATCTCTTGACCGTGCAACTTCCTTGTCTCGGCCATCACGGTCACGCTCATCATATCTGCCACGGTCGTCGCGCCCTCCAGCACGGCTGGCATGAGTGTCTTCTCTCCGACCATCACCTTATCATATGTCATGACAATTCCAGATATGTCCGACAAGGTGTTTGGCAACCTGCAAGCTGTTTCGTCGAGCGACGACGGTCGTTGAAGCTTGGCCGATCTCTTGACCGTGCAACTTCCTTGTCTTGGCCTGTGCCTTCATCTCGGCGAGCTCTATTGTCAACACCTTGCAAAAAGGGCAAAGTAATCATTGGTATGTGTCAAAACATGGGGCACCCCCCCATGGTGGCTTTCCCACCCCACAGAAAGGATACCTTCAAACAAAAGCACACCCTAGCACTGACAGCACGGAATAAAAAAAATGAGTCCTTCACGGGACCCCCGATGTTCCTCCGTATCTCGACGGCCGCCCGCCTGGGCGATGCAAGGCCAACAAAACCCAAAAGTGCGGTCAAAGCTTCGCGCGTCCCATTTGTCGGAGCCCCACGGTTTGTCCTCAGCTCTTCCCATTTCTGTTTCGGGTATGCAAAACAAAAGATACACAATGCACATAACCATAATATGTGTAACCTCGATTGGCAGTTGAGTGTATGCCTTTATGTTAGCTTGCTTGCACGCATCCAAATGTCACATTCCCGCTTGCGTGCCTCTGTGCAGTGCCCGTGCATTGAAGGTGAACCTCTCCCCCTATGGAGGGTTCCGAGTGCGTTGCAAAAAAGCCTCACCTAAAAACATGATGTTTGTGCGTGCTTGTTGCATACAAGCTGATGACAATCCTCAAGGAGCAGCTTTGAATGCTGGACCTACTTAGCACAAGGTGACAAACCACGCAAAGTATCGCGACGCCAGATTGTTTGGCTTGATGTATTCTGCTCAGGTTTCAAGCTTTTGCGCAAACAAAAAAGATGAAGAAGGTAGATTCTGAATCGTCCAAAGAGTTGGCAGTGCTCAAAAAGCCCGAATCTGCCTGTATGCCCACTCCTGCCAAAATTGCACGTGTGCTCTGTCCCGTGCCCCGAAATCCACGTCTGCCAACGGGGCCTGCATTTGTGAAGCTTGGATGCTTGCAGCACATGAGTATGCCACAACCACCTCTCTTGGCATCTTTGTGCTTGGCATGTCGCAAAAGAACACCCAATCTTGCAACTTAGTGTAGGCTAGGTGATTCAAGCCTCTCGATGTCATGTGCCTGCGGCAAGATTATCAAATAAAATTCCAACAAGCCTTCATCAAGGGCACTGAGGCATGTGACATGATCACATTCCAGGTGGCTGGCATGATCAAGGACACTATATCTGGTGTAAACGCACCGAGTATTACTAGCAAAGTTCATTACTAGCAAAGTTCAGTACTAGCAAAGTTCATGCGCATATCTGCGTGCATGGGCGTCAAACATGCTATGCTCGGCTTCACCTTGTTTGACTATGCTGCCTATCATCGCACAATGCTGCTGCTGCTGCTATATGCTTCGCATCGCCATGACGACTCTCTGCAAACAAGCTACAGAGCCGCCTTTACCCTCTCGCCGCGTTGCTGGTGCAGCCTCGCCGAGAAATCAGTGCAGTCACGGCCCAAAGTCTCCGATGGCCTTGATCACACCAGTGCCAAAGGCCCTGCTCTGGTCAAGCCCCTTGATGGCATCCTCAGTCCGCCAACTCTGAGACTCTAACCCCTGCCATTTGGCACCCAAGCCAGCCTCGGCATGCTCCAGTCGGTTGAACGTCACAAACACGAAGGTGTCGCGATCAGAGTGCTTGATGTTGATGTCTGCGACAACTCCATACCTGTGTGCGGTTTTGCCATGAGAATGGATTGCCTTCCTGCATCCTACGTTCAGCAATATGGAAGTTGCAGTCAAGGCCATGTTTGGCCTGCAGGGAAAGGGGCAGCCGCAGTTGAATGCTAAAGAGGCACCTTGAGCACACACCGTCCACCTCGCTATCTGTGATGTCCTTTGGAAGACCTCCGAGCCATATACCTCGGGTACTGGAATGCATCAACCGCGCATTGCCGAAACTCTCGTTCTGAAACGGGGTGCATGGCTTGGTCAGCTCCAGAGTCGGCCTGCAACAGAGTGATAGTGTCTGGCCCAACACCAGCAAACTAAGCTGTGAACGCGCTCTTGCCCTTGCCGCCACGGTAGCCTGAGGTCCATCAGCTCAGCGCAGCAAAACAAGCACAGTCCGCTACGGCCTGCATCATCGCCTGGGCGAACAGCATTCCTCAAGCCCTGAGAATGTTCCTATTGCTTCACTGCTTGGCCTTTGCCCCAGCACTGCAAATGGTGTGCAATTACCCAGTTTGTTCTGGCCGAAGCTCCTTCTTCTCCTTCTCTCTCTCTCTCTCTCTCTCTCTCTCTCTCTCTCTCTCTCTCTCTCTCTCTCTCTCTCCACAACCTTGCAGTAATACCTCTCATGTGTTCCAACCATTCCGAACCCAGCATGAAAAACAAATAGATTACCTCAGCATGGATCCCAAATATCCAAGATGTATTGCCTCAGCCGCACCGTTTCGTTTCAAAATGAAGATTTCATTCCACTTGGCAGAAGTGTTCTTCGATGTTGAACATGAACCCAAGCAGTTCTCACGTGCGTGCAGGTTTTTTTCAAAGTCTGGGGTACCAGCCCCATCGGTTGCCACCCATCCAAGCGCGGCCAAACACCTAGGCGCTTCCCGCTGCCCAAAACAAAGTCACGGACTCACACCTGTCTCACGTGAACATGCATCACCTTAGTTCCAGACCAATATCGGCAGTCTGCCGTAGGCTTAGAGCCCAGCTGCGGAAGCACCAGTCAAGCAAGCAAGCCAAGCCTGTTCGTGCGCGCATATGCCGCATATGGGTGGCCCAGGCAAGTTTTACCATGCGTTGGCCTCGTCTTCGGCCAGGCATCATTGAGCGTGTTGCCAATGAAACGGCTCTTGCGAGAATATGTCCAGTCAGGCTTGATGCTTGACAAGCCCCAAGCTCATCCTGTCCAAACAGGATGCTACAATGAAAGCCGATAGTGCATCGCTTTGCATTGGCGTTGCTACTGTACCGAAAGACGTCTGAATGGAAGATGACATCCCAATGACGGTTTCCAGTGTACGGCGCCCGAAAGATGAAGCGTTCTTCTCTTCAGCGCTTCCTGCTTCGCCTTTTTCCCTGGGCCAAACTGCGCTCATGATGCTCATGCTCCAGCCCGGCCTTTGGAGGTCCGTCCATCGGACCCATGCCCATCGGGCCCATAGGGCCCATGGGGCCCATGGGGCCCATGGGGCCCATGGGGCCCATGCCACCCATGTCAGGCATGCCCATGCCAGGGAAGCCCTGGACAAGGAAGTGGAAGATTTTTAGCGCAACCTGTGGGCGAAGTGCCTCCATGGCTGCTCCAAAAAGAAGTGCCTCCAAGCCATCCATACCTTACTTTTCAGCGCAAGAGCGAATTGAATCAAGTATAGTCTGGCCTGAAGAGGACGAGGCGTAACCACCTCTCATTTCAGCGCGAACTTCGTTAGCTACCGCCTGACGGAACGATGCATAACAGCCATGACAAACAGCTGGCCACATAGGGCCATGCCAATCTTGGCTGCCAGTACTGTGGCCTCGAATTCTTCTGCGTGCTCGTCAACAAGATGCCCTGAAGCCTGACAAACAACTGATACGAGCCCTAGCACCTGCTATCAAGGGCTAGGGGACCGTTTGTACCCCAGCAAATGAATCATCTCTGCACCATGGACGGAATCGAGGCTTGACATTGGGTGGGAAGTAGGGGGGCAAATAGTTTCACGTCAGGTTCTTGGCTTGGATTCCGGTTCTTGTGTTTAGGATTCAGGCTTAGGGTTTTACAGCTTAGGTCTGCGTCGGTGAATAAATGATCCGATTTCTCGGTGTACCCGTCAAGGCCTCCTGCTGCGAGTCCAGCATCTTGGTGCACAGCACGCAACGGAAACGCAGGCGGCCACCCTGCCCCGCACTCAATGCCGGACAAAACCCCTGCTTGGCATTTCAAGGATGTTCCCAACAGGATACCTGCAGACCATGCTAAAGTCCCTCCCCCCCCTTCTCTTCCCCCGTTTTTGGTGGTTCAAGCGCTTGTCACAGGAACCCAACCATTGGGTCCCTCAATTTGCCACGGAAACCGAAGAAACGTTCACGTCAAGTCCGGCCTGGCGCTCGGCACGAATATTTGCCTCACAGAAGGCCTCAAACAGCTCCCCCTCCTCCTCATCCTGAAGCGACGTGGTGCGGGGTCCCCGGATCTATTCTGCAAGAGAGTCCAATGTGCCAACAGTGGAGGAACTGAGAATGGATGTCCCTGGTTCTGTGTGATATATCCCTGCAAGGCGCTCTGCTAGGTCCTTTTGTAACGGCTGCGGGATGAATGCAACTATTGTACAAAGAGGGGCCTTGAGCCAAAATATTAGTGGTGATTGCAGGGTCAACTTGCGAAGCAAAAGCAACAAAAAACAGACACAATTTCTTTTGACCCTGAACACCAAAATGGCATTCTTGGCTTTATGGCCTTTAGCCGTAGCCATGGATGTGGTGCGCTTGCCGTAGCCACATCGAAATTTAAATCACCCTATGTCTGATTCTGTCGCGGATGAACTGTCTAATTGGCAAAATGGAAAACGCTTTGCGCTGGTTGGACGAGATAACTGTATCTAAAACGGAAATGTGAGAAACACTTTGTACACGCGGGATGTGTGAAACTATTGATCACTCGCAGGCATAGTCTTGATGCGCAGGTGGATCAAGTGGTTGGAACTTGTGGTGTCGTTTTCCGTGACGCTCAGCGTGGACTGTAGTCAGAGTATCTCGTCGCTTCTGCGAGTACCAACGATAGCTGCTATCGGATTGACTTGCATATCCTCCGCCATAATCCTCTGGTAGCCAGAGCTCTTCCATCCTTGCTGATAGGATTGGTCCCATGGCTTCCATGCGGTCTCTTTCTCCTTTTTCTTGTTCTGGATGTACTCCTTCTTGCGGTGGAGATTTCTTTCTTGATCAGCTGCGAGGCTGCGAATATAGACCAGCAATGGGGTGTGAGAATCGGAGTCGCATGGTCCAAGCATTAGCATCTCATTTTTGATGCGCTTGTAGCGCTCGGCGGAAGTGGCCTTGTAGTCGGAGATGACCTTGCCAGCATCTTTTATCATGGAGTCCATCGTGTCTTGGCCGAGCTTGGAAATCTCGAATCGACGGAATTCTTGTTGGATGCGAGTCTTTCCCCAACTGAATACGAAGGTCACCATGCAATCCGGAAACGTCCAGTCATATCCTGAACCTTCCTTCGTCTTACGAAGACGGTGGCGAGCAATGGCTTTGATCGTGCATGAAGTCGACATGGTGAAATCCAGTCGTTCCGCCAACGGCATGTCTTGTGTTCCACTCCAAAGGTTTTTGAACTTCTCCGTGATGTAGTTCATGAGGCCGTGTTCAGGATTGTAGACGGATTGTAGCTTGCTGAACGTATTTGCGGACTTGTTGGCATCGCCTGTGATCGCATCGCACTGGTACTCCGTAACGAGCGGCACGATACTTTTCTGCACGTCTTCTTTTGCTGCACCATGGCTGACGTCCGGATGAATATGGAACACTCCAATGGTGGCAAATGGAAGATCAGCTCTGGTGACATGGCGGGTGTCGTACGAGAGAACATGGATGTTCCGGTGGACGCCAGGCAGTCGGATGTTGGAGTGTCGTAGTCCGGGTCAGGGCAACCTTCCTTGAGTCCGAAGAAGCATCTGAACACTCCGAATGTAGCACTCCGGAATTGGCTCTTTGTTGAACTGTAACGCGCCAACAGTTCGACTCTTGCATGTTTTCCACCTCGGACAAAGCATGCGATGGACTTGAGTGACCATAGCTTGATAACGATGCCCTTGTGTCCGCGTTTTATGAACAGCTTGATGAGATCGAGGGTCTTCTCTTCTTCTGGGTAGAGGAACGCGTCTGCCTCGTTGATGCAGAGGATGTGTGCACTGTTCTGCATCATCTGCATGATGAGCGGTCGGTGCTTGGCCATGACTTGAGTTCTCGACTATCCAGCATCGGATTCCTTGTGAGGTTCCCGTGATTCACTGTCAGGATGTTGAGTGAAATGCTGGATGGATAATCTTTTCTCTTGAGGTAGTCGACAACGTTGCCATCAGTTCCTTGCATCAAGGATCCCAGAATGTTCGTGAATGACTTGATGAGCTCGGGATCGTGGTGGTTCTTCAACTTCTTGAGTCCGATTGGAAGTCTCAGTGCATACCCCGAAGGGTTCTGCGCTGCTCTGAACTCTTCCATGGTCGGATGTTCACGTGCGTGCTCGAACTGGAACTCATTGTCCTCGATGTTCTCATCTGGATTCACGTGTGCCAAAGATCTTAGTTCGCACTCGGTCAGGTCCTTGTGTGCCTGAAATTCCTGATTGAATTCAGCCACATTGGCCGGATTGGCAGGTTCCACGATGACCTTGACCTTGACGGATCGATCTGCCTTTGCGCTCACGCTTTCCTCATCATGATCTATCGAATGCCGTCTTTTCTCGAGGTTCTTCTTCATGATCCAGTAGCTGCTATAAGCAGGGTCCGCCCATCGGTATCGAACACTGCGACGATGCTGCATGGATCGATGGTGTTCTCTACAGGGCAGTCTTTCTTCCGTGACTCGGATGTTGTACAGGCTTCTTCATACGCGCACCGATGTGTGGCGGATATGGATTTTCCTTTTTCTTGTCCGCCCTTTCCTTTGCCATTGTCATAGGATGGATAACCTTTGTTTCCATCATAGGGATATTGGAATTTCGATTTTCCTTTCTTTCCCTTCTTTCCTTTGCCTTTTCCCCAATATGCCTGGTTGTAGGGATCCTGATTTTCGTTGGCCATATTGGCCTTCCCGCCAGAGCTACCTTTTCGAAAGGGTTTGAAGCCACCTCGTTGGTGACTGCCCTTTTTGCTTGTTGATTTTCCTTTTCCTTTTCTCTTCTTGAATCTGAAATTCCGCCCAGGCACCTTTCTCGCAATGAACGCATCGTTCTCCTCCAGTACCCAAAATGTCTCCTCATCGTTGGTTGACATCAAACCTTCCAGTCCTTCTTCGTCTTCCACCCCCTTGTTCCAAAATGTAGAAGGTGTTTCCTCCGGATGGTCGGATGGATGGATCTTGGATGGATGTTCTGGTCGTGATGAAGAGGTCACGGTACTGCGTTTTCATCATCTCTTAGGTGTAGTTCTCAAGCGAGATTCTTCTCAGCGACTTTGCACTGATCAGATTTTCTCTCTGCTGGTCTGACAACTCACTTTGGATTATGAAAAACTGCGCAATGAGGTTGTCGCTGAGGGGTAATGCGTCCCTGCGCCTTGCATGCCGTAAGGTACTGCCTGAGTACTTCTGGATTGTCTGTCTGCAGCAGATCTGGAGGCGGTGCTCGTGCGCCAGCGGCTTGCTGGTGCGCGGCAGCTATGATCTCTGGTGACTGTGCCATATGAGCTGGCATCAAGTCCATCCAGGCTGCCTTCAATCTCATCAAGAGGATCTCAAATTTTGATGTGACTATGAGGAACTCGGTGGTTCCTCCTGGGTGAAGAAACTGAGAAGTCTGTATAAGTGCAGGTTGGTCGACCCTTTCAGGAAGAACTTCTTCAGCGTGTTCTTGAAATAGTTGACTCCTTCGTCAGGATCTTGCAAGAGGTCGTTCTGGAGGACTGCCTTGTACGTGTGAGCGTCTCCTGTGAGACGGATCTTGAGGAGTGGAGTGGTCCTCTCTTGGGTGCTTCAATGGTTGCGAAGGTCACCCAATCATCTACAAGCTGACTCTTCCGTCGTACGACGGCGGCTGCTTGGCGGGCATCGATAAGTTGAGTGTCTCTTCAGTGTAGCCGGCTGAACGGCCAACACTGCAATAGGCTTCCAAGGTAGTAGGGAATGTGTGGTTGGCCCTGGATCTATTCTGCAAGAGAGTCCAATATGCCAATAGTGGAGGAACTCAGAACGGAAGTCTCTGGTCCTGATAATGTGTATGATATATCCCTGCAAGGCGCTCTGCTAGGTCCTTTTGTAATGGCTGCAGGATGAATGCAACTATTGTACAAGAGGGGCCTTGAGCCAAAATATTAGTGGTGATTGCAGGGTCAACTTGCGAAGCAAAAGCAACACAGGGGGCGGGGCGGGGCGGAGCGGGGCGGGGGCGGGGGTACCCAAGCACAAAAAAAGGGTGGCTGCTATGTCGGCTTTTGACCCTTCTCCCAATTATGGAAGTGTGGAGATGGAGGCCTGTTTGACAGAGTCGTCCGCAAGCCTCTTCACGTCCTTTTGAGCAGTGCAACACTGTTTGAGGACTTCCCTTTCAAGATGTAAGGACTAGGCAATGGTTGTATCCAGACAGGATTGCTATGGGTGACAGTAGAAAGTAAATCAATGTTGACTGCTAGCTAGCCTCGTCTGCTGCGTCCATTGCTTGAGCTTCTGCCTTCTTGTGACACCTTTGCAGCTCAAAGCCAAATGCTTGAGCGTGCCTAGACAAACACAATTGTGTGTTGGACTTGCTGAACTTGGTCAAGACAAAGGCAAGCTATTGCAGTGGCTAAGGCAGGAACTTAGAGCACATGCTGAAGTCGCACTTCCGACAGTCAAAGAAGCGCTTTCCTTCTTCGATGTCCTTGTTGCAAGCGTCGCATTCGTAGCCTCGGCCGATGGAGGCCTATCTGCCTATCTCCCTAGCTTGGAAAAAACACTTTTCACAGACGCATTGATGAACAGGCCTCCATCTGCTTTCTTTTTCTTAAGGGCATGCCTTGCAGCATCGCATTGGCACGTCTGCCACTGCACTGCCGCGTAAGGCAGCAACCCAGAAGGACACGTGGGTTCAAAGGTCGGCATTCCTGTCATTTGAACAAACTCCCACACGGGGATGGCAAAACTGGAACGTGTCAATATCAGTGACCCTTGTGTGGGTGTCGACACTAACCGGGAAAGCCTCTGATGTGCACAAATGCTCAAATCAGCTACGATCTGTGCATCCTCCCCACCTGTCATTGCAGCCATGAAGGCCTACGCAGGATCATGCACCAGGCCGTGATAAACTCAACGC